TTGTTGTTTTGTTTGAAGGTTAAGCCTAATATGAAAAACTTACTGGTATACTTACTGGAATATTAAATAAACATTTAGTTTAATTAAAAATGGGTCTAAAATGTATTCTAGGCTATTTATGCAATATTAAAAAAATTGTGAAAAACTTAACAATTGCACATGATATTCAGTTTCGGTATACGGCCAAGCGTTTAATTTTTATTCGGTTTTGGTTTCTGCCACAAATTTTCATTTCGGTGCATCCCTACATTAAACTTTATCTACACTGAGACCAAACCAGACCAAGTTACAGGTCAGATCTGTGGAGAGGTGACCACGCTCACAGTCAGAATGTCTGTTTTTCTGGGTCTTTTTGAGTTATGAAACCACCTCTAATTGAATAAATATAAAGTAGAGTTGTTTAATATCAGACTGTGGAACATTCCAGGCAGAACAATGACATATCCATAGAAACAAGCAGGTGATGGACCTCCACCAGAAAAGTTACACAATGCACCTTTAAGGCAGCACAGGTTCAGTGGTGACTGTAGAGCCGTCTAAAGTGCTCAGACCACAAACAGCTCCATTAGGCCTGTGTTAGTTTTGGAAAGACTTTGGAGTGAACGTTTGATAAAAAATCTTAAATCAGAGAGAGAGCAAACAGAAGGTGGTTACATAATCAGAATGAAATCATGTCACAGACAACACAGTGTTTTATTTTCCATCAGACGCCAAAGAAGTCATGAATTATGAAGCGAAGAGATGAGGTTCAGACGAGGTTCAGAGCCAATCAGTGAAGCTCTTACATAAGTGCACATGTGGAGAGAAGCTGTGAGATTAATACTGAAATACTCAAGGTTAACTGACTGTAAGGGAATCCAGTGCAGAGGAGGCTGGGAGTTCATCAAAGCTTTTACACATTCACTTTATGGTGATGGGTCCATCAGATGCTTTTTTCCATGGAGATGTTATTGCTTTGTCTAGAATGTTTCACAGTATGGCATTAAACCTTTCTATCTTCATGGAGACCAAAGCAGAGTTGTTTTTTTAAGTTACAGATCTGTGGAGAGGCAACCCCCCTCACATTCTGAATGTCTGTTTCTCTAGGTATTTTTGAGCTAGAAAACCAACTGTATACAGTTGTTTGAATACATACAAACTATGGACTATTACTGAAGTTGTTTTTTTTAAATTCAGTTTTAATGGAAAATGAGAAAATATTAAATTAATATTATATTATTATTTTACAAAAATAATATAAAATATAAATAAAGAAAAAAATAAAGGTAACGTTTCTGGTGAGTGGGACTTTGCCATGGAGATATGACAGCTTTGCTTGGAAATCCATACAGTATTACCTCTTTTTTATTGTAAAAATATATATACAATTAAAAACAAAAAAACAAACAAACATGAATTCTGAAGTGTGATAGAGGATGCCTCTCCACAGATCTGACCTGTAACTTGGCTTTGTGGCATCACGTGCTGTCTCTATGGTGATAAACAATGCCATACTGTGGAAAGTTCCAGGCAAAGATTTGTGAGAAGTTGGTTACATTTTGTGTGTGTGTGGTTTATAAGTCGTTTATAAGGCATTTTGGTAAAATATATATTTTGTTCAATGCTTTCTTTTCTAAACATGCATTGTAGTCGTTTCACAGTATGGTCTTAAACTTTTCTATCTTCATGGACACCAAACCAGATCAAGTTACAGGTCAGATCTGTGGAGAGGCGACCCCGCTCACAGTCAGAATGTCTGTTTTTCTAGGTATTTTTGAGCTATAAAACCACTTGTAAGTGAATAAATGTAAAGTAGAGCAGTTTAATGTCATACTGTGGAACATTCCAGCATGGCAATTACATTTCCATAGAAACAAGCAGGTGATGGACCCCTAGCCACAAACTTACATAGTGAACTTGTAATGTTAGACAGTTCAGTGGGGTAAGTGGCGTGAGAAAATATTCACACTGTCGCGCTGTCTCTCACCCATGTGCATGTGAGATGGTTACTTTCAGTCTCTGAAACCACACACAACTTTAGAGACACTCGACATCCTGTCTTTTCAACACACACACTATTCACGATTCAAACTTAAAGGTCTTATATCACACAAAATTGACTCTTGTGAGCTTTAAGCCATGTTATAACGTCAAAAACATGGACGTGGACTTGTGTTCTGTTTCATTCACATGTTTGAGAAATCCTTTATTATTAGTCTGTCTACATCTTGTGATGTCATGAAGTGGCAGTTTTCAAGTTAACAGCTCTTGTTACTTTGAGTTCAGTAGAGACTGGCAATTCCAGGTCTGAAATCATCCAGATGATTCTAGTGAAAGTGTATGGAGTTTAAAAACACAGTGGAGCAATTCTTGTATTACCCATAGACTGTAAGACTGTAAGAAGTGGACTAAGAGAGTGTGACACCACCCACAGAGTTCAGCGCCGCTCAAATGAGGCTTGCAATGCTCACGGTTACAGGAGCGAATCTGGAGCCAGGATCGATATTATGAATAGGATTTTTATTGTTGGACAAAATAGCAAAAAATCCCACCAGGATCATGTCGTGGGGTAATACGAACATTTTAGTCCAAAATGACGGGGCTCACAGCAGCAGTTACAGAGAGAGGGACCACAATTTTCCAATGGAAATCAATGGAAGCCAGGGTTAGAAGGAGACGTAAGAGCCGTATGAGAACTTCCTATTTGGAACACGGCAGCAAGCGCTTTAGTTGTGTCCATTTATATATAGTCTATGGTATTACCATGACATCACAGGGTGGAACAGAGTGTTTTCAGTTTGAGAGAAGTTGGACTTGGTCTAAATCTGCAGGGTTTGTGTGTTAAATGTGTGAATGAAATAAAACAGAACTCCAGGTAATATGTTTGATGAGGAAAATACATTATAGTTATAATATGGGCCCTTTATTGCTTTGGCCCTCAAGCACCAAACTGCTCTCACCAAACTCTGTCTCCAATTAACCCGTAACACAATTAACTGGGCCATTCCTAATTAAATGACACAGGGAGATTTAATTGAATTGGTTTATAGATCTCTGTAATAATGTTTGCACGCATTTTAGAATCAAAATGTCCGTTACTGAAACTGGCGATTGTGTGAGACTGAGATTAGATACAATGCAACAACTGTATTACTAGTTTCACGTATTTCTTCATTTAAGATTCACATTTTCGAGTTGGTTTAAATTATTATAATTTCGCCATTTCAAGTGTAAGTAGATTAATTAAAAGGTATAGCAGGTGAATACATAATCCTAGTCTCTGTGTAAATAAAACATACAAGTCTATTTAAGAAAAAAACAAAAACTACTAAAATTCTCTCCTTCCTTCAGTACACATCTAGTTGCAACAAAAGGCAATTAAAGGAAATGATGTAACCTTTATGGAAGAGTGTCCGCTGCCTGATTGTCTCCATGGAGATGTTATTTCTTTGCCTAGTAAGTTCTACATTATGATATTAAACAGATTTTTTTATTTATTCATATACAGTTGTTTTTATGGATACAAAACACCCAGAAAATGATTAGTTACTACTGTGAGGGGGCCTGCCTTGACTTATAACTTTGGTTACGCCACCCATTTGTCTACATGTTGATAGATAGGTTTAATGCCGTATCATAGAACATTCCAGCAGCAGACCCTCCACCAGAAAAATTACACAATGAAGCTTTAAGTGACACAAATCCATTACAACCAGTTAGAATAATGAGCTTTCACTGATTACAACCCAAAAGACAGACAAAAACACAAATTAATGGGGTAAGCAAAAATATCAAAATATCGATATACGGTATTGTTTAATGTAATGATACAGTATCGATATATCGCCAAGAGTATTCTTTAGGATATTTTACTAAATTATTTTGTTTCAGCACTACAGTTTTTTTGTTTGTTAAGAGGAAGGAAATTCGGCACATTTGACATATTCACCGTTTTGAGGATTAAAATGGCCATGTTTCGCATAACTTTGCACAAGAAGTGGTTTAACGTAGACTTGTAGTATCACAGCCACGATTTTAGTACAAATTACAGTTCTGCGTCGACTCACATTGCCGTCATCACCTTGTTGTCGTCGTTTTTTATTTATGAATCTGTATCGACAATTATGCGCCGCAAAGTAATTCACCTCCGCAACTCTAGGAGGGCGGAATATAAACTGCTATCTGCGTTTACAAAATCAAGCGGGAAAGCGGAGTACTGGAAATGTATGTAGAGTAGATGTAGAGAGGACCAATCACAGCCCTTATTGTCTGCTTTCCCCTTGTTGTCTGTGTCATTTTGCCTCGTAGTTAGAAAATTTCGGTCGACGTAGATGCTCTGAGGAAGGGGTTCAGGGCAACAATTTGACGCACGACCACAAATTGTGCTTTAGTCGTTATTTTTTATTAAACCATACTGAATCGATTTGAAATATATCTTATATCAAATCGAAAGCTCACAGTATCGAGAAATGTATCGTACCGTGGCATATGTATCAACGTATGTATCGTATCGGCAACTTCTTAACGATACCCAGCCTTACCAATTAAGCTCTAGATTAAAACTGTCTAAACCTGTTGCAAATCATTCGGGTCACTGTGAATAAATATAAAATGAATAAATAATTATTTCTTCTTTCTTTATTAGCACAATCGCCTTTTGTCCTTTGTTGAACTGTCACACACTCATTATCGCTGAGCAGCCGCGGGGAAGTACCAGATGTCGCCCAAACAAAAGACTTATAGCAACGTTTTGCACGTATTGTTCATTTAATTACACATATATCCGTATAATATTTTGCATACAGATAACATGATTGCATCTGAGCTAACCACGCGTAAAAAGCATCAGAAATTGGCGCGTAAAGGTCCAAACATTCACCAACATTGGCACGAAATTAAGAAATAGCGTGTTAGCAAGAAAGCAGCTAGCGTTGGTCCGAATCGCAGCTGTTGCATGGTGCTAGTTTGCAGAAAATGTAAAAATAAAATGTGTTTTTTTAGTGCGTGTGTGTGGTTTTTACCTAGAAGACTCCTCCGAGAATCCGCCGTCCAGCAGTCGGACTTTGCAGAAGAGCATTCCGTTGACAAAGGGCACAGACGACAGCTCATCCAGCTCAAAGTCCACCTTAAACTTAAATTTCTTCTTCTTCATCATCATTAGATCCATGCACCGCTCAGACGTGGAGAGGGGACGCCGAGAGCAGGAGAGACATACCGGGGAAGGTTGTGTCGGGCTGAGGCAGAAGAGAGGAGACACTGGAGCTGAAGAGGAGGCGAAACTGTAAATGAAAACAGAGCAGGCTGTCACACCGGAAACATGCGCCGCACACACTTCCGCTCTACACATTTCATAATAAAAGTCTAAATGAGTTATGCCTCAAGAACTCCAGGACCAGTTAGTTACATGAATCATAAACTCAGTTGTATTTACTCAAGAAATTGTAATTCTCTGCGTTTACTTAACACTTAATTTGAGCTCTTTTTTGCTACTTATTTAGAATTTATTATTACCATTTATATATTTTTGTCTTTGTTATTATATTATATTGTGATGTGTGAGCTGCTGTGTCCAAATAATTTCCCTTGTGGGTCAATAAAGTTTGTCTAAGTCTAAGTCTAAAAGATGTGGTTACTCTTATTGTTGGGTTTCAGATAACATCACAGCGTTCTATAGAATAATAATATTTAATACAGTTGGGGGCAAAAGTTGGGAGTAAATACAGGTAAAATGTAGTTTTTTGTTGTAATATAGCAAGTTAATGGGTTTATGGTTTGTGGGTTTTTGGAAATTTTATGACAAAGTAAAATGTTTTTAAGAGTGAAATCAGTCTCTTGTCTCCGTCTGGGAGTATGGCATCATCACATTCTAGAATCTGAAAACCACCAAAAAGGCAGTGGTTCCCAAAGTAAGGTTTGGGGAGTCTCGAGGCGTCAAAAGCCTTACAGGGGAGTCCTTAAAGGTTGTCCACACAACAAGAAAGTAAGAAACTTGGTTTTTTATATAAAATTTACATAAGATATTTGTTCATATTTTTTTTTATATGAGTATTGTTAAGCCCACAGGAATATGTTGTTTGTATTTAAAGAGAAAACATCACAAATTCTTTTATATATAGTGTAAAACATTTTTAGAGGGGCCCTGTGTGATCATTGCATTGATAGGGGCTGCTGTAAGGCAGATCTGGGCATTGTACAGCTCCACAGCCACATATGGCCATTTGATTGACTCTGACCGACCCCTTTAAGCTAATTTGGAATTAATGTACAAAAAAAAAAAGTATAATTTTGGACTAAAACTGCATTGCTTTTATTTTAGAGGTGTTTTGCTAAATGACATTTTTTGTAAGGCCACCTCACGTTTTCATTGCTTGGTCGTGACATACACTCTTACCGGTCTGACCAGCTTGTCAAACTATGCTATTTACTGCTTTTTATAAAATAATACATTTAATAGAATGCAGTTAAACATTTTGACCCAGGCCTCCACAGTATTTTATGTTTCTCATATGGTCCCATGGAATAAAGTAATTGCCCACCCCTGCTATAAGGTCTACACACTATAAAATGAAAATGTACATATTTGAACAAATGGAACACGTCTTCAGAAAGACTCCTTTGAAAAGAGATAATTCATCTAAATGGGGCTATCCAAAATAAATAAATATGGATTTTGTCCCTTTCAATGCCACTGCTTCTACTTGAGTGATGCTATTTTTTGTGTTACATTGTTGAGTACAGTTGACAGCTCTGCCCAGCCACACCTGGTCATAAAATGACTGAATGAAGAATTTGGGTGGGGATGCCTGTTAAAATCACACCAGAGCACATATTGTAGTTATTCCTTTAGGCAATACACTTCAGTCACATTGCACATTACAGTCAACTTTTTACCTAGACCAGGGGTGTCAAACTGCTTTTGGTCCGGGGGCCGTATCCAACCTACTTTGATCCCAAAGGGGCCGGATCAGAAAACTCATGACATATAAACCCCAAAAATAACAATAAGTTCAAATATTTGTGCAGAGAAACACAAATCTGTTACAGAAATCTTTTTTAATTGATGAACTCTTTCTTTTACAAAATATTATAATATTATGAACAACCTGAAACTTTAAGAAAAATGTAATTTCAACAAATTTTTTTGACATTAACTTGTTTATAAATAGGAATAAGTCAATTTTTCTTGGAAAATCCTGCACTCGGCTCCACTTTTCTCATTTTTGACATTTTTCTGATGAGGGTGTCACGGTCAACAGTCAAAACGATCGTCCTTTAAGAGCGTTTGGAAAGAGACAAGTCTTCATTTGCGCTGCTCTGGTGGGAGGGGCCACGTACAGAGACGCTGGAGACGCTGCTGTGATAAACACCACAGAAAATTTACAATGTTTTAATAGAAAAGATAATTAAAATATTTTGGTAGAAAATCAACGGAGGGCCAGATCTGGCCCCCGGGCTGTATGTTTGACACCTGTGACCTAGACAAACTTTACTGATCCACAAGGAAAAATTCTAAAGACACAGTAGCTAATAAAAAACAACATAATTTTACCATATTATATTATTATATAGCAAACAACCAAGAATATGCCTTTGTGTAAGTTTGAGGAATAAAAAAATAAAGCTGCATTTCTGTAAGATAACAGACTAAAGACAAGCCCTACCCATTGCAACAGGAAGTGTATTTTTAAATTAACATTTGGTTTCACATTTGATCATTGTTTTGCATAGGCCAACAGGATGTCCAAACAGGTCTGCATAAAAAAAGCTTAACAGCATTACAAATTCACGTTTAAACCATTATACACGCGGGTCTGCCTCCCTCTAGTGGTCAAAGCGGTACACTGCTCCACTGCACAGATTTGATCATGATTCACTGTGAAGGAAGTTGCTGGTTTGCACACTTACCCTGTATTTGTAACACTTCAAATGATTTCACTTCAAGAAACGACCAACACAACTATTCTACAACCAGTTTCATAATATAGGGCTACTTTTTGGGCATAGCCTATAGTTCCAAATGACTTCATTGACATAAACAAAAGCACCATTAACAAACTGTGTCAACTTAAAGGGTAAAATACTGTTTATTTAGACATTTTCAAACGTCCAAAGTCCCGTATTACTAAATTTGTTTAGCCTGGAGCAGCTGTTGCCAGGGATTCCTATGGGTATGACTCATCAAACAGAGCTGCCCACAACCTCCAGTATTGCCCATAGTCGGGGTGGGGGGGTTGGCCATGCTTACTGTAATAACCATACGATCTATTATATTCTATAGGAGGAAAGAAAATACCGTGCGTAACCGTGCGTAATTTCATATTTTTGTTTGCGAATACCGTTTAAATGCAAAGTTATAGCCTGGTGGTTTGAAATGTAATCTTTTATGGCACGGTTGGAGCTAGAGCGTAATAGTAAAAAGGCATTTGCTGCAATGTTGATCTTGAAAAAGGGTGTGTACTTGTAAGTATTGGAGAAGAGGCGGTACCCGACCTAAAGCGAACTGTCTCCTCCCTCTCCTCCCTCGTCATCCGCATTCAACTACCACTTTACAACTTTTGCATTGCGATTTCTCGTTTACTAGGCTACTACTGCTACTACAATTAGGAAATACCAACCCATGAAGACGCTTGCATCACCAGTTTTCCAGCTTGCTGCTACAAACGGGTTTTAAAACAGCGCGACTCCCCTCCCTCCCCCCGAACCAGCATTTACGCAGTCTGGATCGCTTCCTTGGCGTCTTTCAGATTGGCGTTTTGTTTTCCTAGCGTTTTAGGTTTTTAATTTTTTGGTTTAAAATGTATCAGTGTGTGCGGAAGTTGTTTTTCACGGATTGCCACTGCGCGCAGGATGCAACGAAAACATACGAGGAGCTTTTCGCGAAATTAGACACGAATAAGGATGGAAAAGTGGATGTCTCCGAGCTGCGGGAAGGCCTGGCCGCAATGGGGTTCAAGACCGGGAAGGGAGCCGCGCAGGTAAAGATGGGGCAGTGGGACTATGGAAAAATGTGCAAACAATAGCCTGATACACGTGCAAATATGGCGCAAATATGAGTGAGTTTAGATATTATGGAAGAAACAAGATAAGGAATCCCAAGAACTCGCCAAGTGCTGTAGCAACTTGCACCAGCCTGCATCTATTAAAGATTCTATGAGCTTTAAGCCATGATATTATGCAATTAAATCCTCAAGAACACAGCTGGAGTTGTGTTTATTTCATTCACACATGTCTGGGTAATCCCTTATTATTAGTCTCTACATCTCCAAAGTTCAGAATGCTCAGTTTATTTTAATGTTTCATTTATTTATTTTGCACATATACAACAATAAAAAGCACACTATATAAAAAGAGGTTATATTAAAGTCTCCACCTTATAAATACATTCAAATTGAAAATTATAGCTGTGCATTCATTAAAAAAAATGCATTTACACACCTTAGACTAAATACATTTGATTAAAACATGGATTAAAATATAATGAAACCTCCACAAATGAATGATTATCAAAGATTATCATGAAACTTCAACCATTCCTCACACTCTTTTTAAACAATGCTTCTGATTCCATCACTAGCCAGATGTGAAAAGTGGCTCTGTATTGTATGCAAAACTGAGCTCCTGATGTTCCACCTTGTGATGTCATGAAGTGGTTGTTTTCAAGTTAACAGTTAACGTTTTACCTTTAGTTCAGTAGAGATTGGCAATTCCTGGGCTGAAGTTATCCAAATGATTCTAGAGAAGGTGTATGGAGTTTAAAGACACATTGGAGCACTTCCTGTATTACCACATGACATCACAAGGGGGAACAGTGTTTTCTGTTTAAGAGAAGAACTCAGCCTGAATATGCAGAGTCTGTGTGTTAAACATGTGTGAATGAAACAAAACACAAGTTTCTGATGAGGAAACAACATTATAACATAGATCAGAAGTGAACATATAAACCATGTAAAGCAGTGGTCCTCAACCTTATGACCAGTAATAAAAATAAAACATTTTTCAGGGACCGTTGGAGGGAGCGAGACCAGTACTAACAGCAAAAACGTGTACAAGTCTTAACCGTAGTTTGAAGAAAGTATAGTTTACTGTTCACCAGGTTAATTTGTACTGTAGTTTAAGAGTAGAACACATGCATATGGTGGTAGACTATAAAAAAGAAATAAACCTCTCTCCAAAGATTATACAATATTCCTTTCATTTCATAACATTTATTTTTCTGTGGGGCCTGTACCAGATGACCCGCGGATTGGTTTTGGGCCCTGGACCGGTGGCTAGGGACCCCTGCTTCTTAAAGGCACACTATGTAACTTTTCTCATGGAGGAGTTTGCTGCCTCCTTGTTTCCATGGAGATGTTATTGCTTCGACTGGAAAATTACACTGTATGGCATTAAATGTAACAGTTTCCAAGGAGTCAAGTAAGTAAGGGATGTACCCAAGCGAAGTAACTGATAATATAGATAAGTAATAACATCACCATGGAGACGAGCATGTACGATACCCCCAGAAAAGTTCTTAGAGTGTTGTATTGTAGATATAAAGTGTTGCTTGGTTACGCTTTTATAAATAGTCCCCACTGTCCATTGTCCTGCAGCTTCAGGCTTTGATACAAATGATGAGAAGTTGCCAGGAAATGTCTTTGACCTAATTATTTGACTGTTGTATCTCATAAATAGATAGTCCGGTTGTTCCTGGTTTTAATAAAACTTAATTAAAAAGGGAGGAGAAGAAAATGTTCACAATATGTAGGTGAGTCAGATAAAAGCACAACTCTAAAAGTAAAAGTATTCACTACAGCTTATAATACTACTATTACTTCTACTGCTGCTTATGCTACTGCTATGTTACTACTACTACCACTGCTACTGCTGTTATTACTGCTATTAATGCTACAGCTGTCATGATCCTCCAGTTTGTCCCTGCCTCCTCCTGTCTGTGTTTCACCTGCCTGGGAGGATTCACCTCACACACCAGCTGCAGCTCTTTGTCATCACACACCTGAGATCCATCTCCAATCTCCTGCTGCCTATATCAGCCGCTTCTTCCTCTACTCCCTGACACTTCCATACTTGTGCTATCACTCCTGTAAAATAAATCTGTCCACTTTACCTGAGTTTTAGTTCTGCTTTTGGGTCCTAGATCTGCGCTTTATAACAACTACAGCTGCTACTACAACTACTGCAACTGCTACTAGTACTATTGCTACTGCTGCTGCTACTACTATTGTTACTACTACTGCTGCTACCAGCATTGGGCTACTATTGCAACTTCTTTTTTTAATTATTTCTACCTCTAAGACTACCACCACTCTATTACTACAGTACATATTATTACTACTACTACTACTACTACTGCTACTGCTGCTGCTACTACTACTAATGCTACTACTACTACTACTACTACTATTACTGCCACTTTATTACAGCTATCACTACCAAAACTACTACAACCACCTCTACTACAACTACTACTACTATTTGGTCTATTTTTCTACTGTTATTGTTACTACTACTACAACTACTACTATTTGGACTGTTTTACCACTGCTCTTGTTACTATGACTACTACTACTATTTGGTCTATTTTACTACTGCTCTTACTACGACTACGACTACGACTACGACTACTACTGCTCTTGTTACTACAACAACTACTACTACAGCTACAATTACTACTACAACTACTGCTATTTGGACTATTTTACTACTGCAACTACTACTATTTGGACAATTTTACTACTACTCTTGTTACTACGACTACTACAACTACTACTATTTTATTACTGCTCTTGCTGCTATGCCTACTACTACAACAACTACTGCTATTTGGACTATTTTACTACTGCTCTTGTTACTATGACGACAACTACTACCACAATTACTACTATTTGGACCATTTTACTACTACTTCTGCTTTCTGTCGCTGCTGTACAAATCCATCAGATAAGCAGAATTTGAAATGGAACATATGGAAACTGTCGAGGCACTACAGGCTCTTCTTTGTGCTGTAAAAAACAAATGAGCTCAGACCAGAACAACTTTGCATTAGAACACTCATATTTTACTTAATAAAGGTGCACTGTGTAACTTCTTTGGAGTCTCCGCCACTTGCTTGCCATCATGGAGATATTACTTTGGAATGTCCCGGTGTGGCATTAAACATACAGTATCCATGTTGCATTTACTCAATAACATGGGCTTTTATTGACCTAAAAACTTGCATTCTTACTGAGGAGTGGGCTCGCCTCTCCACAGATCTGACATGTAACTTGGCCCTGTGGTGTCACTTGTTGTCTCTGTAGAGATAAAGAAGTTTAATGCCATACTGTGGAACATTCTGGGCAATATCTCCTTGGAGAGAAGCAGCTGATGGACCCTCTATAAAAAGTTACACGGTGCACTTTTAACTAATTGATTCATACTGTATTTTCCATGGCAAAGTCAAATCCTCCTCATCATCATCACCATATTATTATTATTATTATTATTTTATTATTATTATTAGGGGTCTGTCACCTGCTTGTTTCTATGGAGATGTCATTGCTCTGCCTGGAATGTTCCACAGTATGACGTTAAACAGATTTACCTTACATTTATTCAATTACAAGTGGTTTTAAAGCTCAAAAATACTTAGATAAACAGGCATTCTGACTGTGAGCTGGGTCGGCTCTCCACAGATCTGACCGGCAGCAACTTAATTCTAAAGGCTTAATGCCATACTGTGAAACATTCCAGACAAAGCAGTGACATCTCCATGGAGAAAAGCACAGACTCAAAACAGACAGAACACAGACAAAATTCATCTTTAATCTATCTTGCATTTATTCAACAAACAAGAGGAGACAAAGACAGTTACTTTAGTATAAATACATTTACAATTTGTTGTAAAGTATCTGGTTTAGGCTCCGCAGTACGGCATTACGTTATCTATTTTGCATGTTTCAAATTACAGGTGTTTCTAATTGTTTTTTGTTACAGAAATTATTTTTATAGCAACTGTAAGCTGGATTGCCTCTCGATAGAATTGACCTGTAACTGCCTGTTAGAATCACATAGCTGTTTCTGTAGAGAGAGATAGTGTTTAATATCATACTTAAAGATGCACTATGTAACTTTTTGATTGGGGTTGTGTCACCTGCTTGTTTCTATGGAGATGTCACAGCTCCATCTGGAATGTTCCACAGTGTGACATTAAACAGATTTACTTTACTTTTATTCAATTACAGGTGGTTCATAGCTAAAAAAAAATACCTTGAAAAACAGACATTCTGACTGTGAGCGGGGTCGCCTCTCCACAGATCTGACCTGCAACTCTGTCTGGTTTGGTCTCCATGAAGATTAAAAGGTTTAATGCCATACTGTGAAACATACAGACTTAGCAATCAGATTTCCACAGAGAAAAGCATGTGACGGACTCTCCAGCAGAAAAGTTGCACAATGTACCATAGTAGTTAAAGCCCTCAGGGAAGCCTCTCCCTTCACATGTCACTATTGTGTTCGTTTAAACATGCACGGCTTCATTTCTGCTGCAGTTAATATTAATAAACTGAAGAGGGTCAGTGAGTTGATCTGTAATATTATGTAGGACAGAAATAACACTAGAGTAGAGAAACATTATAGTCATGCATAGGCCCTATTCATGTTTACCGGAGGACATTTAGAAACATGTGGATGATGACTTCCAGTGTATTTCCTGACAATGGGCATGTGATAAAACCATGGATTCAGCAGCAGCGTCTTTCGTCTTTCGCCAAAGCTTTCCATGGGGGACAGGACTCTAATCGCATCTTCAGAGTCACTCACAGGCAGCTGGATGGAACTGTTGATCTGACAAACATAATGGAACGCTACAATTAAGTAGCTATTATTAAATTAGACAAATTATAATACACAAATTAATAGCTAATTTATAAAAGGAAAACAGAAAGAATAAAATGACATTGAGATATCTAGATGAAAAAACGGGCCATTTTCTATCGCCAACAAAGCCCAGGAAGTCATCCACGTATTTCCAAACGTCTTCTGGTTTGTGACGTAAACGTGAATAGAGCTCATAGGATTTATATCTGCACACACCTCATCCAAACTGGGCTTTTGGTCCAAGATGGGATTAAACCTGGATCAGAATCAAACCAGGACTAAGAACTGTTCTAATCTGGGCTCAAGGAAAAGTTAAACAGTGAATCTTTCAAATTGCAGATTAGATAGTTTTGTTTTATTTGTCATAATGATACAGTTGTAGGGAGTATTATCTGTTACATAAGGGTGAGTTGTTGTACAGTTGTAGGGAGTATTATCTGTTACATAAGGGTGAGTTGTTGCACAGTTGTAGGGAGTATTATCTGTTACATAAGGGTGAGTTGTTGTACAGTTGTAGGGAGTATTATATGAATGTATTAATCACACTTTATTTTTTAACTCTGTTAACTGTATATTTTGAGTGTTAAGATAAATTCTTTAAATTAATATTATTTCTTATCAAAAACAAAAAGATTAAAAAATCGGGAGTTCAAAATCGAAAGTTGAATTGAAGGAATCTGTAAGTAATTCTGTGAACTTTGGCGCTGTAGCAGGTTTCACAGTGAATCTTTAAAATAGCAGATTAGATAGTTTAGTTTTAATTTGTCGTATTGATCCAAACCACACTGGAAAACATGTGCGACAAACTCAAAGTGCACCACAGAATCATTAAGGAACAAAAAACAGTTTCACCTCTCAGACTAACCCAAAGTGTAAATGGAATTCCTAACTTAATCTGTCTCAAAGTCCACACTGGGATGGGTCATGTGGTTTAGGAGGTCCCACCTCTGCTCCAAACACATCATCTATTTCCTGTGAGATAACACAGAAGTCAAGGCTTTAACAGGGGAGCTGCGGGTGTGTGATAAACTCTGACTTACTGACCATAAAGCCTCATTAGATTATAACTTCTGGCTGTGTCTCAATTCTTTTTCCTCGCTTCCTTCTCCTTGATTCCTTTCCTTGATCCTCCATTTTTCAGCTGTCAATCAAATGTACCAGATTAAGTGGTGTCTCAAAGAAAACCTCAGAGTGAAGAAGTAAATCTGAGGGAGGCTTCAAGAGCAGACATCAGAGAAAAGAATCAAACTTTATTGGTCTCAGTGAGGCTTTTAGATCCTCTCTCCTCGCTGCATCTCCTCTGTGTGTGGGACTTCCTCACCCGTTTCATACAGAATACAGGAGAGGAATCAAGGAGAAGGAAGCAAGGAAAGAGAAATGAGATGCGGCCCCTGTCTCATATGTAGGAATTAAGTCATCTTTGACCTGTGGATTTTCTCTTTCATACCAGACTATATAAGGCAAAAAAGTCATGGGGCTCACTTAGAGGAATAGAATAGCTAATGAATATATGTGGTAGGGTTGTAGTCAAAAAATAAAGAAATTCTTGGTGAGCTAAATTGATCAGTCGACTAAAAAGACGGTACGGGAAAAGCTCTCAAAACTATTACGTATCTCTGTGTATCTGACCCAAACTGCGCTCACAAGAGTTCATGCAAAAACTACTATTTATGCAGAAAAAAAGTACTAGGAAACAATGTATTTATATAAAAGAAAAACATATTAGAATTGTGAATTATGAGTTGTTGTTTTTTTTAAATATATAAATACAAAAAAATAAATTTTCACTCACTCACTTTACCTTTCAGCTGTTGTCCCATATAAATCCTTATAATGTAAATAAAAACACATTATATAATAGGTGGCTTTATTTTTATTACTGTTAACTGAAACCTTATAAAGACAGTACTTAGATTCTGCAGTAATAAAGGAAAGTATGTCCCAGTAGGTTGCGTTCACGTTCCAGAAGTGGATGTCGTAATTTCAGATGTCTAGAGGGGCCTATAAAACTCTAAGGGAGATTCACAAGCCACTAACTGAATTTAACTTTCTTATTATTTGGGATTTGGGATCTCGTCTGTAAATCCAATGTTTTCAAGTCGTTTCAGATGACAAAAATCATGTGTTGGAGTTGTGTAAATGTAATTGTGTGACTTCCCTTTTCTTCATTCATACTAATAGAGAAGACACTGAACTTTGTGACTTTGTTTGACGTGGATACTAGGTCCAGAAATGATAGAGATATTTATGGTTTAGTAAAGAGATATTAACCATAAACCAGCTCAACACATCTGCAATCTGACAGTTACACTGACGGGTTGAACTACTAATTTCATTAAAATGCAGTTAAGTTAGTTATATTTAAGATTTTACCAAAATACATTGTAAAAATTGCCCAGTTTGCTCATTTTAAAAAATGTCCTGGTTGGATATTATGGAATTCCATAACTGTTACGTAGCAACCATATTGTACACTGGGCCAAAACTCCTCTAATTTACACAAAATTATTATTTGACAAATAAACACCTTGATCTCATTTAAACAGTTATTTAAGTTTATGAAAAAATGTGTTTCTTTTGTGCAAATTGTGCTGAACTTTTGAACAGAATTCTCCCACTGTGATGTCTTTCTTATGGGACTCTCTAAAATAGATCTCTCTATTTTTCAACTTTTCCTCACAAACTGCCTCTTGATTGGTGCTTACTTTCATTCATGAAGTATAAAAAAAAAACGGTGTTGTGAGATGTGTCTTGAATTGCAGCTACACTAATGTGGTGCCTTTGCCTCTAATCCACAACTGAGTCAAATGTATTTCTCAAAGCATGGATGTTAGTCTGTAGGAGTTTGAAAATATTTGGCTCTGGAGTGGGTGACAAGGTGTTGAATTGCTGAACCTGAGGTTTTTGTAGGTTCTGACAACAAGGGGCAATATAAGATGATTTGTACTCCCTTACTCTACTTAAGATCTACCCATTGTGCATGGTTTTGATGCACTGCACAGGTGCATACACTGCAGAACACTTGGAACCAGGGTTCTGCTCAGTGCCAGCCTTTAGGAGAAGAAGGTGGAGCAGGGTGACTGGCATCGACGGCTCCTCTCCACAAAATTGCATGTTACCAAATGTTGAGAATCTGCTGCATAACTGAAGGTGTTGAGTTTCTTGGCTGTGGGAAAGTGATGTGCAGGGAGGGAGTCCCAGATCGAGCACCCTTCCATCGAGGACCAACAATGTCCTAATATTAAACATACAAACAATGAATGAAATGGAACAGAAAGAGAGTCATCTTCTGTTATCTGCCCCCTTTTCCCTTTTCCAGACACCACATTAACAGTAATGTGATAGTACTTTAAAAAATAATAATTTATATTTTAACAGGTTTTATCCCACCAAATAAAGTACAAATCCTGTCATGTGCACTTTAAACGACAAATTCCACCACAGACTTCCGACCTGTCCTCCAGATCAGTTTAAACTAAGAGGAGTTGCATTTATATGTATTTGTGCAAACTGTCGCTGTGACTATTCAAATAAGTTTGAGTTAAATGAGTTCATTTGTCACACAGATCAGGATATCCCCTTTGAGCTGTCGCAGAGTGGTTAGCACTTTCACCACACAGACGTCTGTTACTTGGAGCTTTGTTGTGTGTGTTGTATTGTCTTTGTATCTGAAAGTTTCCTATTTTCACAAGTGATGAGTCAAGTGTAGCGGACAGTTCCTTTTTTCAAACCCACATTGGTTTCTGGTTAATCCATTCTTCATTCTCAACTGAAAAACGTGATTTGAAACACTAAAATACATATTGGTGTTGTTATGATACTAAAATGTCAAACTTTTCCAAACTTTTGACAACCTTAATACACACGGTAACATACTGCATTATTAAGTTTTGTTTTTTAATGAAACAAATGAAATGCTTGTGTTAAATATGTATTTATATGTTGTTTTCAGAAAATCGTTTCCTCCGGAGACAAGGACAAAGATGAGGGGCTGGACTTTGAGGAGTTTTCTAAATATCTGAAGGAGCACGAGAAGAAGCTGCGCCTCACCTTCAAGAGTCTGGACAAAACAACGATGGTACGAAAACAACTTTAAGACTCCACACAGGTTTAGGATGGACTGGGAGATATGACACAAAATGCTTTACGGACAGTAGAGATTTTGCAGTAATAAATGAAATAAGTTGTGTTCATGTTGTAGAATTTGGTATTATAATTTCAGATGATGGGCAAGAGTCTATATAGCTTTAAAATGAATCTCATGAGACTGAATCTTATGAGACTTAAAATCTCCGATCACAAAGAATGCAGTGGAATATGTCTGCGGACTACAGGATTTAAAGTTGTGAGTGTGATCGTGTCAGCTGTTTCCTGTCTATAGTAAAACCACTTACTTTGAGACTCTTAAGTGTTGAAAATATCAGAGCTCTGCACTTCCAGTTTACATACAAGTCAAAACTGTGTTGTTATTATTTGTGAAATTTAGATTTTAGAAAAGTTATCATCCACATACTGATACCAAAGTGTGGGTGGAGTTCCTGGATAAGAGGCCAAGGCACTCTGTTCAAATAGTTCCATATATAAGTTTATAATGATAGGAGAGACCGGTGAGTCCATGGCACAGCCGTGAATTTGCCTGTAGAAGTTCCCTCTGAACTGGAAGCACGTGGTATTTGAACAAATTTCCAGAAGTTGGCAGATTTGATCCAGTGACATTTTAATTCTCTCTTATAGTTTAGTATCCTACAATAGCCTCCTTCTTGCTGCCTCCACCTTTACTGATGTAGTATACTAGGGATGTAACGATATCCAAATCTCTCTGTATGATATTATCATGATATGCATCTCACAGTACAATATTAGTACAGTACACAGTATAATATTTTGTAGATATGACACTGTTTTGCTTTTAAAATACTTTGATAAGATTTTGGTGTGAATGATTTCCGTCATAATCCCAAGAAATCAAGTCAAAAACATATTTCTTCATGTTGTTTGCACTGAAATGAATCATGGGATATATTGTGATAGCCCACGATATTATTGTGAGACTTTTGATGATACAATATCACGATATTTCCGTTATTGTTACATCCCTAGCAGTGATGTAGTGGGGATTTTTTAAGTGGGGGTACACGATTCGTGACGTTTTGATGGATCCCGCCCACCTGCCACATAAACCAGGACTAAACCAGAACTGAACCAGGACTAAACCAGAACTGAACCAGAACTGAACCAGAACTGAACCAGAACTGAACCAGAACTGAACCAGGACTAAAACAGGACTAAAACAGGACTAAACCAGAACTGAACCAGGACTAAACCAGGACTAAACCAGGATAAAACCAGAACTGAACCAGGACTAAACCAGGACTAAACCAGGACTAAACCAGGACTAAACCAGGACTAAACCAGGATAAAACCAGAACTGAACCAGAACTGAACCAGAACTGAACCAGGACTAAAACAGGACTAAAACAGGACTAAACCAGAACTGAAACCAGGACTAAACCAGGACTAAACCAGGATAAAACCAGAACTGAACCAGGACTAAACCAGAAATCAACCAAACCTAAACGAGGACTAAAACGGGTCTAAAACAGGACTAAACCAGAACTGAATCAGGACTGAACCAGGACTACACCAGGTCTAAATCAGGTTTAAACCTAGACTAAACCACGAGTAATCTTGGATTTGAGAGTGAGCGAGCCCATGGACTAGGGTGTCCACAAAACACGATTGAATGATGGCTGCGTTTCGCCACGTGGGGCGCCGAGGTCTGGACCGATTCTTTCACCTGTTTACGTAGACGCACCTCTGGGCCCATCCCGACAGTCAGTCCTGGTTGAGTTCTGGTTTAGTCCTGGTTCAGTCCTGGTTCAGGTGGTCCCTCATATGTCAGGTCTCTATAGAACAATAGTGCAGATATCATGAGCCTATGCAGTTTGTTTTCACCATTGCCAGTAGCTCCAGTTTGACATTTAAGTTGCAGCTATTTTATATTTGTTATTTTTTTTATATCTCATGTCGGGAGAAGTGGATGGACGACGTACATCCGCATACAACGCCCACTACACCCCTGATCCCTATATGCCTATACCTTTTATGATTATTTGACACCCGTATCTTGCTCTTTTTTGCTACTTATTTAGAATTTATTATTACCATCTATATTTTGACTCTTTGTGATGTGTGAGCTGGTGTGTCCAAATCATTTCCCTCGTGGATCAATAAAGTTTGTCTAAGTCTAAATTTGAAACAGTAAATATCATGTTCATGTATCAAGTTACATATATATTGTGATTTTTGCCCACAGGTCGAATAGATTTCATGGAGATAAAACAGTCTTTGGCAGATCTGGGTTTGGACATCAGTAAAGAGGAGGCAGAGAAGATTCTACAGAGGTAATGTAATAAAATGGTACACAAGGCTGAGCAAATGAGACACTTTATTTATTATTTATTACGACCCATGTTCATTTAGTGATTTACAAACTTATATATGCTACAGCAGAAATACCATTAAAAATAAGTCCACATTTTAAGAGCTGCTCTATTGAGGGTGTGGACCAGTGTGACCAGCTGATAACAGAGACACACTTACACCCAATCTACACACAAGCACACACACTCACATCAGTTGACCCCAGCTTCACAGGCTACAAAACATCTCCTTCTCTCCAGGTAAGAGTCTAACAACTAGATAAACTGAACTAACATCTGTTCATTCTATTTTTGACCTTTAGAATCACCATTATCATAAGATGCATGAGTGTGTAGTGTAACTTTCATTCTATAAACTCTACTCATTCATTAATCAGTTATTTATCGTAGATTTTTGTTTCTGTAATCAGTATTTGGACCATTCAATATTGGTGAACAAAAAAGGTCCTGTAACCCTTTTTTACCCAATATCTTTGTGTTAGAGCGGTGAGTATATGGAACAATCTGAGTGATGATTTAAATAAACAGTATAAAGCATTATATTTTCAAAGATATAGAGCTCTGGAAGGAAGGAATTATGAATTAAATTTAGTTTGTTTTCATTTATATTTACAGTAAGTGAAATTGTAAATGCAAGCTTGCTTTTTATATGCTGCTTTTTTCTTGGAATTTTGTCTTTGTTTAACAGGGTTTAGCATTATAAGTACTGTTTACTTCAGCGTAAACCCTTTCGGTCATGATCCATGGGGTTGTTGTCTATGTTTTGTTTTGTGTTTTGTTTTGTCAAGCTGCAAAATGATCGAATAAAACTACTACTACTACGTACTGTATATCTGAGAAACGTGTACTGGCCTTGTACAGTTATGTTGTATAAGTAGTTCTTGAGGTCAGAATAAGTCAGCTGTGTGCTGTCTGCGTCTAATTATGAAGTGTTTCATTGTCTGGTAATTAGGAAGTGCACTGTTAGCATGCTAGTTGTCGTTAGCTTTACAGTCACAGCAAAACTCTGCTCTGGTGTCTGAAAGTTGTGAAAAGTGCTTATGAACTCATCACGGTGAATAATTTGGACACTCTGAATACATAAATTAAGTGAGGAATAACTGGATCACTGCAAACTGTTGAACTAGTTCTGTTTTTTGTGTTTTTAAGACATCCATAATCAGCTACAGCTCCTTTAACAGGGGTATTTATCAAATATTTATGCTTTTTAGAAAGGTACTCAATTAGTTATAACATGTTCATTAAGATGTGTGTAAAATCCCTCAGTGGGTCCAGGTAGAATCCATGGCAAAGGGGAAATTCAATTTGTCAACTGGACAAACGTTTATTTAGGTCAAAAATGTTTGGCAGCCCATCCAAAGTGCTTCTTCAGTTCTGGTCAGATGTTGGTGGACACTGCCTGATATCTGCCTGAAGGGAGGAGTTAAATACACTGAAATTAAACCTAACACACACCCTTGTTTACAGTTTGTTTTTTGGCCTCTATCTGAGTGTGGGATCATATTAGCAGAATGATTCAGGTCCATAATGTGTGTTTTCACACCTCTGGCCTTGACCTGGCTCCCCTTATTGTTTTCTTTGTTTTAGGTCTGAGGATTGAGTTGTAAATGGGAGACAGATGATGTCTGAGGTCTCTGAGGTCTTTCGTAACAGAAATAGCTTCTTAAACTCCCCTCTCATGTCATTTCTTTTCTCTGGCTAAGATCTCTTGATGTATTTATTATTTATGACTGTACTGTATTGATTTTTAATCATTGCTTTTCTAGTACCATATTTTCCGCACTATTAGGCACTCTGGATTATAAGTCACACTGTCATTGAATGGTCTATTTTCAAACTTTTTTCACAAATAAACTGCACCGGACTATAAACGAAACACAACAGTTAGATGGGTAAGTTGGACTTTGTTTGGCGTGTTCATGGTGATTCTGTAGTTTACTAAAGTCGTGCTGGGACACCCGAGTGGATTCATGTATAGGGCGCTCTGGATTGTGGGGCGCGCAGTCGTTTTTTGTTGGGGTTGGAGGCTTAAGAGTGCACCCTATAGCCCGGAAAATACGGTACTTTTCTTCTCTGATGAGACTTAACAAGACATTATCGGAGGCTTTAACTATATATAGTTTTTAAACCTGTCCTTAATTGCAAAAACTGTTCTCAAGTGTTGTGATGAGCAGTGTCCAGCAGGTGTCTCACTTCTAAAAGAGCTCAGTCTCCACAGCTTACACTTAAAGTCAGGATTATATTTGACCCTTCTATCAGGGTCAGACACAAGTTCAAATGGATAAAACACCGCGTTGTCATGGTAACAGCACTTACCACCATTTGTTTAAACATGTTGACTGTCTGATATAGGCTAGTCTGATGCATGTATGTAGAATATGATGATATACTCAATAGTCAATCATTGTAACCAAGTCCTTTTGTTATCCTCCAATAAGAGTTTAAAATAACAATCAATATGAATTAGCTCTGGACTAACTTTCTGATTTGGATAAATAAATTCTTTTGATGTAATACAGTTGATTTTGCGATTGTGATCATTAAAATACATGTATTTCATAAACAGAATGTGCAGTAAGTACCATAAGTAAGTACTATTGTAAAAATGTAGAATAATATGTGAAATATGCAGATTATTGCTGTATCAGTATATTGATTATTGTTATGTGTGTATTGATTTGATTATTTGACTCTGATTTCCACACAGTAACATTCTCTTGTGTAGTTTCTTTCCTCCTTATATTTATTTTTGGATTCAGTTTTAATTTAGTCTTCAAAAACATGACTCAAATGCAACTGAAGACATTTTCCTAAAGGGACAATAAAGTGACCCTTAACCTTAACAAGAAAAAATGTCTTTCAGTGAATGCTGCGACTAACAAAGCCAAACTGATCCTTGTCCATTAGAAAAGCCTGACTGAATGTGTTTGTTGTGCGCAGTATTGATGTGGACGGCACCATGACTGTGGACTGGTCTGAGTGGAGAGAGCACTTCCTGTTTAACCCGGCCACAAACCTCCAGGAGATCATCCGCTACTGGAACACACCACGGTGAGAGAGAGAAAGGCGGTGGTGGGAGCGAATTATTGAAAAAAATGGCTAAAATGGTTCATGGATATATTCCCTCTCCAGCACGGCACATGAAGCAAGTTGGATTCATCATTTTGACAGGTTTGCCATGACTGGCTCAAAAGAAACTATGGGGGGTGGTTCACTCAGTCAGTTCAAGACATTCTGTTGCAAGTCCCTCTTTTTCCTAAATGCTTTGGAGAATGTGTAGAAGTCAATTCAGAGTAATACACATTTTAATCTGGAGTGAGCCTGGTTAGAGATTTGATCTCGCAACTTAGAGTATTTGTCTGTGTTTGCTATTGTGTGCCTTGGGTTACCATAATGTTCTAGCTTTGTTTTTGTGTTTAAATATTGCCACAGTGCTGCCTCGACTAGAAAATGGGTCCAAGGCAGTGACATTCCGCTGGAGGAGGACTGCATGTCAAACAACTTTGTAGATTCTGGTAATGACTAGTTGGTTACTGTGAATTATTAAATCACAAGTCAAAACAGTAAAATGTAGTTTCAGGATAATATTAAGGCCAATACACCCCAGAGCATCAAACCCATAGGTCAACAGACTCTTCCAATCCAATCCAATTTGTATAGCCCATTTTATAAACAAGACAGTTTCCAAAGTGCTTTACATAGCAATGTAAAAAAAAAAAAAAAACAGAATTATGTTCTAACCATGAGGAAACTAGTAGAATCAATAAATAATATAATAATACAAAAAAATCTATGAAAAAATTAAATAAATTCAGTACACAACAGCAGTACTAAAAATAGATAAAAACAATAAATGAATAAAATTAAATAAATAAATAAACAAAAGACACAGAGGAGCACACAACTCACATTGCATTAAAAGCCAGAAAATAAAAGTGTGTCTTAAGACGAGACTTAAAACTCTCCACTGTGGGGCTGTTGAGACATGGGGGGGCAGAGTGTTCCAGAGTTTGGGGTCAGCCACAGAGAAGGTCCTGTCCCCCCTGGTTTTAAGTCTTGTTTTAGGTACCACTAGCAGGAGCCGGCCCTAGGACCTCAGCGCACAGGGCAGTAAATTTGGAGGAGGTCCAAGATGTATTGTGGGGCCAGTCCATTCAAAGCTTTAAAAACAAATAATAAAATCTTAAAATCTGTTCTAAAATTAACAGGAAGCCAGTGCAACGACACAAGAACTCTTGAACATGGCTCTTGAACAGACGTGAAGACAACTGTTCAGAGCTGTCACTTCCTGGATGTGTGTAAATTGGACTATTAATAGAGAAAGTTGTGAATGAGTAAGACAGGCTGTTACTGGATTTAGATTTGGTTTGGCATCACCGCACCGGGTCTGTGCCAAGACCAGAGTCTCATTCAGAAAATCATGTGACATTTCTGAAGCTTCTAATGAAATAAAATATCAATATAATCCACAGACAAAAGTGTAATCATTGAAATCCTCCAGACAATGCAGATCATCTGAATTAATTCTGAGTAATTTTGTTTCAAAAGAAAATAAAAAAATCTGCCTGGATATTACAAAAAGAGTTGTCTCCATGGTGATATTACTGCCTTGAACATTATGGAATGTTGCACAATATGGCATTAAACCTATCCACCTTTGCTTTTATTTAAGTACATGTGTTTTTATTGCTCTAAATCAAGGCCACCAAACTTTTTGAAAGTGAGAGCTACTTCATGGATACTGAATCATATGAAGGGCTACAGTTTGATACACTCTTCTGAGATAACACTTGCTCAATTTGCTTTTAGTTCTATATTATTAATAATGATTCATGATAATCATCTATGTGAAGACACTGATCACGTTAATGATTTCTCACAGTAATTATCAACAGTGACAGGGAGGTGGGAAACAGATATTCAGTATTCAGCTCTTTAGCTTTATTCATCTCAGTAATTGTTACATTTTTAAGTACAGTGTTAAAATTGTCATTGCTTCTGTGAGTGTGTTTACATGCACATCAGTGCCCTGGTTATAAATGCACTATCCCACTTTCTTGACATAATCTTACAAATGCGCAAGTGCAAAAATTAAATATTTAATAAACCAGGAAAAATACAAACCACCATGAGCTCCTTTAGCAGAGGAAGCTCGTGAGGTTCTAATCAGCGGTGAGGAGCTATGAGGTATCCCACAATCCACTGCACAGATCAAACTCAATGTTTCCAAACACGCAGCAGATTCTTAATTCAAATCTTCTGCATAAATAAACTAAACTTTACAACATATGAACTATAACCACGCTAGAGACACATCAGCCCATTTGAGATTATAATGTTTTTAATGCAGCTTCGCCCCATTTGTTTTATGTTTTACAGGAATGAAACTTAAAACCACATGACTCATTTGCATAAACTGTAAGCACTAAAAAAAAAAAAAACTGCTCGCTCATCTAAATTACTTATCTAAACTTCATGTATAATAAACATATTTTTAAGATATTGTAATTTTTAAATCTATATAAATGCAAGGGTGATTAAAAAAGAATAGCAAAAGAATAAAATTAAATTTTAGTAGATGCAGCTCACTAATGAGTTATGCTATATTTAGAACCGGCTTGCGGGCAACTCATGTAGTCCTTGGGGGCGGCCTGATGCCCACGGGCACCGTGTTTGTGACCTTTGCTCTAAATCAACATTCTTACTGTGAGAGGGATCGCCTGTCCACTGATCTGACCCGTAAATTGGTATCTTGGTAACTGATGGCAGCTATTGATAGTCTCCATGGAGATGTTACTGCTGTGCCTGGAATGTTCTACAATATGAAATTAAACTTATCCACCTTTACATTTATTCAATTACAAGATTTTTATTACTCAAACTTAAAAAATACTGTGAGCGTGGTCTCCTCTGCACAGATCTGACCTGTAAACTGGCCTGGTGGCTTCACTTGCTTGTCTTTGGATAAGTTTAATGCCATACTAGGAAACATTCCTGGCAAAGCAATAACCCACTTCCAGAAAAGTTCCGCAGTGCCCCTTTAATACATTTAGCTCAGGTGAAAGTCATTGCCGTGAACCCGGAAGCGCCAGGCCAGCCCGCGTCTAATCCCAGACGTCAGAAGAGATTAGCAGATTTAAAATGGGATTAACCAAAGGAACTGCAGGAATAGACCAAAGAGAGGAGACGGAGAAGGAAAAAGAGAAGAAGGAAAAGGAGAGGGCAAAGTGTGGAGCAACAGATACAAAAGTCACGGAAATCTGTGAATCTATGGAAGAGTCTGGGCGGATTTTATTTGGAGTTTTTGTTTTCATATTTTGGGCTAAACCTGTACGTTATGTGACCGGACAACTGCTCAGGATCGTGTGAGGAGTTAGGGGAAGAGAAGAGAGAGCAAGAGGAAGAGAAAAGAAGAAAGAGAGAAGAGGACAGAGGAAGAGGAAACGAGCTAGGAGGAGAAAAACCAGGAGAAGGAATGTAGATTGTTTTTTGTTAGTGCTGAGAGAGAAAAGGAGATATTACTTTTGTTTTTAGACTTTAACATCCGTCCTGGGATTTCTAATGAAACATTTATAGAAAGGTTAATTAATATTGACTGTCCTTGAAATAAAGAAAAAAAGAGGGGGAGGAGAAGGAGAGCGAGTGAGGGGTGGAGGAGGAAAGAAAAGAAGAAGAGATGTCCATGGCTCTGGTGCAGCCTCAACCCGAGCTCAGATCTCACAGGACGTGGCTCTTCCTGGACTTTGAGGATGATGGACCTTTGTATGAAGTGGAGGTGGAGATGGTAAAGTCAGAACACATGTTTAATACAACTGTACAGTCAGTAGAGTCTGTAGGTCCATTCACACATCCAGTCAGACCAAGGAATTGACCTGCATTTTGCGAGAACAGGGTCGGGTATGAATGAAACCAAAAATTTCCCTGCAGTTTAGATATAACGGGAAGTCTTATGTGAGAATAAAGCCAGAAAATTGCCAGGACAATCACTTAAAGCAGGGGTGTCCAAACTTTTTTCATCAAGGGCCACATATGTAAACACAGACGAAGCAGAGGGCCGATCAAGGGCCATAGACTGGTGCTCAATACAGGGAATAATTGAAATATGTGCATATTTAACACGTTAGAATGAGCCATCAGTCTTTATTTCTGCTAAGATCCTTAAAATCACAGACAAAATATTAAATATTGGCTTTATCAAGGTAGATTTTCAAAAAACTTGCAGGAAAAAAATATTTTTTTTAATTGATGCAAGGTAATTTGGACCTGGAAGCCTGAGGTCCAAGAAAAATTTGTCTGAGGGCCGCATTTGGCCCCCGGGCCATAGTTTGGACATGCCTGACTTAAAGGGACAGTTCGGAATTTTCGACATAGGACCTCATTTCCTAGTGAGCCAATCTTACCCACTCCACAAAACACCCAAAACAAATCTATTATTACACCAAACTGTCCATGTGAATGTCTGTGCTGATAAAATAATGTTTGAAATAAAACTAACCTTGTATCGCATGAATCGTCGCATGTTGAGGGACTGTTTTCTCACATATCAGTCCACCACTGCCGAGCTTTCTATCAGGAAGTACAACTCACTGCTGCTCAGACATAAATCCTTCAAATGCAATGTTAGTTTTACTTCTAAATAGGGATGGGCATGATTAGTCGATTAATCGATAATTGATCATTAAGAATTTCATCGATTACGTTCATTTTAATCGACAAACCGAATGTAGGTTGCTGTATGTAGCGTGACCAAACGGGGGTCCGTACATGTAGCTCTCTGCACTCAGAAGGAGCGAGACACAAACAGTCGGTCAGTCTGCAACGTGCCAAAGCACAAATGTGTATTTAACGATGACTTTGTACAAGAAATTCCACGCTTTCCGTTGCGTTCGGGACAAGTGTGAGTCCATGTGCACAGTGTACAAAGCAGCACATATGTTTCAGTGTCCAGTGGGAAAAAGCTTTGCCAGGTGAGAGTCGCGCAATGTCGATGACGAGTCCCCACCTCCCTCCCCCCGTACGGTGTCCTGGTTTTGACAAACACAAATATGGTCACACTAACCTGTATTCCGCTGAGTCGTGCCACATCAGTGCACAAGAGCTGTTTTTTCCTTTCACTTAGTTTATGCAAATTAGCCATGTGGTTTTAAGTTTTGTTTCTGTGAGACTTGCACAAAGCTGCATTAAACACATTATAAAGTCAAACGGGCTGATGTGGCTCTAGAGTGGTTATGGTTTATATGTCATAAAGTTGAATTTATTTATGATGATTAGTGCAGATAGTAATAATAATGATGATAATTTTAATATAAAAACGTTAATGATTAATCGATAATCGATTGTTAATTCTCCTGATGCTCGATTAATAAAATGTAATCAAATGCCCATCCCTGCTTCTAAAATTATTCTACCAACACAGACATTCACATGGACAGTCTGGTGTAATAATAGATTTGTTTGGGGTGTTTTGTGGAGTGGGTAAGACTGTTTTTAGTGGCAGGAGAACTATGACCATTGACATGCACTAGTCTAACACCAGCGACCTCTGCAAATACAAGGACTGGATGGAATATTTCAAAAAATGTCTTCACACGTCTCCAACACTCTGGCTCATTAGGAAATGAGGCCCTATGTCCAAAATTCCAAACTGTCCCTTTAAGAGCTTGGTGTCCTTGTTATGAAATCTGGTTGAGTTCTGCCATTACCCGATTTGGCGTCCGGCCCTCTTTTGACACTTTTAATTTAACTCGTTTAACTATTTTAAACATTATTTAAATGATTTATTATGTGTTCTGTCTTCTGTTGCCACAATTGTTGCTAAGCGTAAATGTATTCTTATCAAAGTTTGACAATTTCACAGTTTATTCTTAAAAATAGAAAAAAGTTGTACTGTATTTGACCATAATTTTCAAAGTTAGCTGATTTACATAATTTTTACAGATTTGAAGCATGTATTTATCAGTTAATCAAACTAGTCAAAAAAATAAATAAATAAAAATAAAAAATAATAAGGAAAAACTAACTTTGTTAGTGGCGAGGGCCAAAAAGATTGTCCCAAATTCATGCCAAAGTTCAAAATTGTGCATAAATATGGTTTCCGTGGTTGTGCATTTGTTTTCCTGGCTACAAGGTTAGTTTCCTGGTTACACCACATGGTTATGTTTCGTTTTTGTTCAGTTTTAATGATGCAGCAGTGTGTTGCTGAGAGAGCAGAGAGCTGAATATAGATACTTTATTGATCCCAAAGGTGAAAGTGTGAACAGAGCAGAGCCGGTCATGTTCTGGGACTGGTGCATGTGTGACTAATGATGGTCATGGCTGAGCTTGTACTTGTCAATTTACTGGGATCTCTGTGTGAATGGGACTTATGTCTATGGAAGAATTTTTAGCAGTTACCATGGTGACACAATGCACACATTAGCAAACACAGCCTGATATGTTTATGTGTCTGAAACCTCAAGAATTTCAGGAGATGTTGACATCAGCGGTAAAGTGTCAGTTATACTAGTATTTATAAAATACTTTTTAATCTTGTGTAAGTTTACATCTTTGCCCTGTGGCGCCCCCTGCTGTAGGTGCTGGACATTGGGGACAGTCTGACCATCCCTGATGAGTTCACTGAAGAGGAGAAGACCTCAGGGCTGTGGTGGAAGCAGCTCTCTGCAGGAGCCATGGCCGGAGCTGTGTCTAGGACGGGGACGGCCCCTCTGGACAGGATGAAGGTTTTCATGCAGGTCAGACACACTCTTATGGAAGTTTAAACATATTTTTTACCTGTAGGCAGGGCCCCAGGGTGTTCAGGGCCCAGAATTTGAACTTTTTTCTATGAATTTATATTGGAATATATATTATTTTATATTTGAAGGGAGCCCATATGAGGTTTATGTCCCCCAGGCTACAAATTTGTGTCGACAGAGCTGCTCGTATGTGGACCCAGGAAGAGTAGCTGGTGTCACTGACATCAGATAATGGGGATCCGAATCAAATCAAATCAAACTCGTAAGTGAGTGAGAACAGGTCATGTATTTTGGGAGGCCGTAGTAAATAGTCCCACACAGTGTTTCTATCAGTATGAGAAGTGAGTTTTTGAAAAATTTTGTGGCTAATTTTATTTAATTATTTTTATTTAGTATCAAAGAAAAGCTTTATTAGCTTTCTTCATCAGTAAAATATTATAAAAATCTTTCTGAACAAGTTGGAGTTACTGAGATAAATTGTAATCTAAAACTGCTATCATTTTTTTGCACAGTAGAATCCTTAATATGTGGTATCAGATTTATGATATAGGGAAGTGTGTTTTGCCAACTTTTTTATGTGAAAATGTAGCTTAAAAGTCTCAAAATATAAATAAGAACCACTTGCTATTCTGCAAAGTTCCTGAAATGTTACGGCCTTTTGATAAATGAATTGTTTTTGGGGAGACTAGGATTTCTGACATTGTCATTTATTTGCTTCTTTTTTCCTGTATGTTTTAATCTTAGCAAACCTGTATTTATCATGTGAACTGTGCACTGTCAGGTCCATGCATCCAAAAGCAACAAGATCAGCCTGGTGGGCGGCTTTAAGCAGATGTTAAAAGAGGGCGGAGTCACGTCTCTGTGGAGAGGAAACGGCATCAACGTCCTCAAGATCGCTCCAGAGACGGCCATCAAGTTTATGGCCTATGAACAGGTTTGTACAGATTTATTCTGATGCACGAGAAAGATGGAAGACAGATGGAAATTCTATGTCAATTTGTGTTTAAGAGAAATAGGCCAGTTTCTTAGTTTTCCTTTTAATTTTACTGCTCCTTTCAAATAAATACTTAAAGGTGAACAGTGTAACTTTTTAGCTGGGGGTCTGTCACCTCCTTGTTTCTATGGAGATGTCATTGCTCTGCCTTGAATGTTCCACAGTGTGACATTAAACAGCTCTACTTTACATTTATTCATTTACAGGTGACTTTATAGCTCAAAAATACCTAGAAAAACAGACATTCTGACTGTGAGCGCGGTCGCCTTTCCACAGATCTGACCTGTAACTTGGTCTGGTTTGGTTTCAATTAAGATAAAAAGATTTAATTCCATACTGTGAAACATTCAAAGCAATAATATCTTTCATAGAGAAACGCTTTTAACGGACCGTCCAGCAGAAAAGTTACACAACGCACCTTTAATTAAATAAATAAGTAAATGAATACATACATATAATAAAAACTTTGAACCAGATACTGGGCATTCTTAATAACGATTGAATTAAATGCCTTCTTCAGAGATTTTATTGTTCAGAAGGTCTTATTTTATTCTTTAGTCTTTCTACAAACAAGTTCTTTTCATATCATGAGGACACGTAATATCATTGAGAGCACTTTTAGATTTATCTCCAGCTGGTTTTAGTCGTAGCATCTATCAACTAAAACTGAGGACTTCCATCTCCTTCTGTTTTGGTCCTTATGATATACATGAGAAAGCAAACAAATTAACATGAACAGCTTTTACTACTTTTTTGTAATCTTGACATTGTGAGTTTATCAGAATTACAGTCTTCAGTATCTGAGGACATATGTACAGCTAAAAAACACTGTGAAAGTCATTTTAAAACCAAATTTCAATTGCATTATTTATCATAATTATTAAACATTTTACACACAATACCGTATTTTCCGCACTATAGGGCGCACTTAAAAGCCTTTAATTTCATCAAAAAATGACTGCGTGCCTTATAATCCAGAGCGCCTTATATATTAATTTACTGGAGTGTCTTAGTACGACTTTAGTAAACTACAAAGCCGCACCACTTGCAGCATTACGGCTCCCGTAGTCAGGAGCATCAGGAGTAAAACATACTGTGATTCCTTTTAATATCAAAATGCACCTGTCAAGAGACACATTTACAACACCCACTTTAAACTCAAGACTATTATAAAGTGAAAGTGCATTTAGCTGTGTGGGAGCAGTGGATGTGAATAGGAGAACACACATTCACCAAGACAGAGAGACAGCGCCGAAGCCACTTACGCCACGATCTGCCAGTGGATCGTGGACGCCTGGGCTAAGGATCAGTATCAACTGTGGTCCGAGCTTTCACCAAGACCAGAATCATCACTGAACTGTCAGGGAACAGTAACCACACTGACTCGGATAATGACGAGAGGGATGTGGGCGTGCTGGACTCCGGAATCGCCCAACTGTTTGAACAATTATGAGTTATTGTGAATACACTGACAATTTATCGTCTCAGACAGTATTTTTTTATGCGTTACAATTGAAATAAATTGAGAGATTTTGTGAACGCATTAAATAAAGTTTGACTTTTCATTTAATGCGCCTTATAATCCGGTGTACTTTATATGTGAAAAAAGTTCAAAAATAGACCATTCAATGACAGTGCGCCTTATAATTCAAAGCGCTCTATAGTGCACAAAATACGGTAAATTCAAATACAAAATTGTTACTCTCCAGTATGTTGGGATTTTTATGCATATGTCTGTAAACTTGACTTGTTGTTCTGTGTGTTCAGTACAAGAAGCTGCTCTCCAGTGAACCTGGAAAAGTCAGAACACACGAGAGGTTTCTGGCTGGGTCTTTGGCCGGAGCCACTGCACAGACGGCCATCTACCCCATGGAGGTGAGGAGACAGACTGACCAAACAAACCATATGAACCAGAGGAGAGGGCTGGACATAGTAACATTTTGTGAGGCATTTTGATTGGATAAACTGGCACTTCAGAATCATAACTGCATCTAAATCTGTTCTAAACCTGGAACTAAACCAAGACCAAGACTAAACCAGGACTAAAACAGGACCAAACAAAATCTACATTAAAACCAAACTGGGCTCAAAGCAGGATAATGTGACATACTAGGTGAGCGCAGTACTGAAGAGGGGAAAAAAAGGACATTTTAGTTTACTATATCAAGGATTAATATCAGTCTTTTGTATCCATCACCCGAAAAATAGTTTAATTATCTCAATATTTTAAACGTGCATTGTGTAACTTCACCTGCTTGGTATCACCTGCTTGTATCCATGGAGTTGTTATTACTTTGGCTGAAATATTACACAGTATGCATTCACAACTAAAAAGAATCAATGTTGTGAATGTTAAAAGAAGACAAGACATGTTTTTCAAGATCTTTTTAAACGATAAAGAACATGGAATTGAATAAACACAAGATGGATGCAATAACATTTAATAACAATAACATTTTCATAGAGAAAAGCGGGATTCAGACCCACCACCTGAAAAGTTACACAGTGATCCTTTTAATGTTTTACCTAAAAAAAAAAAAAAAAAAACTAAAAAAAAACATTTAACTAAAATTGTAGTTTTAATGTACATGCAATGTTTTATGTTTTGTATCTATAAAACCCCAGAGGCATCCTGATACACTTTTAAAATACTAAATGAGACTTTAATATGAATACTGTGAATATAATTTGATCTTTGCCCTTTCCTGTGTTCAGGTGATGAAAACCCGTCTGACACTGAGGAAGACGGGGCAGTATTCTGGAATGTTTGACTGTGCCAAAAAGATCCTGAAGAGAGAAGGGGTCAAAGCGTTTTACAAAGGGTACATCCCCAACATCCTGGGCATCATCCCGTACGCAGGCATCGACCTGGCTGTCTATGAGGTCTGTACTCAACCATCCTGACGAGATTAGAACAAGAAGAGCAAATGAAAACGCGTCAAGAGTTTAGTTTAAGGATGCAGAGGATGAGAAAAATATTGTATGTTATTCATAGGTTTCAGGCTAATTATTCCTTTGTGATTTTAATGATTTGTGAAGAGTTTTCTACATTTAAAAGATATAATATTTAAATTTTGATTGCTTAATTGCTACGGTAACAGAGAAACCTTGCCAGTACTTAGAAACACATGACATGATATGAAACGTAAATACAATGACTTGATGATGTTTTGAGATAAGCAAATGTAGAAATAAAACAGATAGAATTCTGCACTTTGTAACTTTTATGGCGCAAGGACTGCCACCTGCTTTTAGGTTATTTCTGAGCCTGGAAAGTTTCACAGTGTGGCATTAAACTTCTCTGTCTAGATGGAGACATGCAAGTGACAGTACTAGACCGAATCACAGTAAGAATGAAATTTTTAGCAAAAACACCTATAATTGAATGAATGTAATATGAATAGCTTTAATGTCATACTGTAGAACGTCCCAGACCAAGCTAGAAGATCTCCATGGAGACAACAAGCATGCAGCAGACTCTCGACCAAAAAAAAGTTACACAGGACACCTTTAACCTTTCAGTATTTTCAGTAATAACTCTCTCTCTTCTCTCTTCTGTGTTGTCTGCTGCAGTCCCTGAAGAACATGTGGCTGTCTCGTTACGCCAAAGACAGCGCCAACCCCGGGATCCTGGTGCTGCTCGCCTGTGGCACCATCTCCAGCTCCTGTGGGCAGGTCGCCAGTTACCCCCTCGCCCTCATACGCACGCGCATGCAGGCGGCAGGTACACTACTACGCGCTTTAAACACTCCCTTTTACTCTTCTTTTGAGAATATACAGGTACAACTGTAGCCTGCACTTTTGAACCTGAGAACCTGCAGATAGAGGGCACAAGTTTTCCTCATTCTCAGGACAGGCCTCATGTGAAAGCCCAGAACCTCAGATCGCAATCAAAACCAAATTGCAGTTTGAATTAGGAAATGATGAAGACTGCAGTTATGTAAGGCACACAATTTTCAGTTTGTCTTATTATGTAAAAAGCTGTTAAACCTGGTAAACCAAACATCTCCAAACATATACTGAATAGCATCTTTTGTCATGTTAGCAGTTCAGATTTCTCAGTCTCAGATGTGAATGCTCCTGGACATATTAAAAATGTGATCAATGAACAGAATCCTACTATCAAAACAGAGATCAAAAAATCTAATCAGAATCACAGTGCTTGTCAAAAAGTTTAGAACAGAGATTTAGAGTTTAGAGTTAGCTGGACGGCAGTGGCTCAGTTGGTTGTTTGTCCACTGATCTGGAGGTTGGCGGTTTGAAACATCATAAAACATCAGTTGCTTGAGTGGTCAGATCCACTGTCTCACAGGTTGGCAGTGCAGTTCCACCTCCCACAGAGTAGTGACCATTCAGATCAGAGAGACACATTTTAGGTTTAATTTAACCAGCTGGATTTAAACTGGAAACTCAAATCAGAGAGTTGTGTGAGGCTCATACTGCTTTTGGACTGACCATCCACAATAATGTAGATAATATACCATACCAACTTTATTTCTGAAGCACTTTAAAAACTTTACAGCTGGCCAAAGTGCTGTGACAAACACAGGACAGACAAGAACAATCACAATACAACACAACACAATACACAATACAAACACAATACAACTACTAAAAAACAATAAGATACTCAACAACAAGAAATGTACATGTCACTTGTTAAAAGCCAGTGAAAAAAGGTGCGTTTTTAGGAGTGATTTAAAAACAGATACAGACTTGGCCTGTCTGATCTCTAATGAAGACTGGTTCCAGAGCCATGTAGCAGTAACAGAAAATGCACAGTCCCCACGACGCTCAATGGCGAGCTGCTGACCTGAGAGTGCGAGACGCGAGAGGATGTAAGGGTTGATTAGGTCACCGCGGCAGGAGGGCACTAGGCATTGGCAACACTTAAAAGTAAATAAAATAATGTTAAAATTGTTAAAAAAAGTGGGAGGGCCAGGCGGGCTGTCCTAATGCTCTGGAAAGATCCTAACTCAGCCACCAACTCCCAGTGGATGAAAGATGCCCTCTCGTTCATAAAACTGGAGAAAATAAGGCACTCTCTCAAAGGCTCTGGCTCTAAATTGACTGAAGCCTGGTTACCTTTTATAGATCCTGTCATGTCTCTGACACTGGAGGTGACCCCATGAGCTGTGTGGTGTTTTATCTCATGTATTCATGGCTGTCAAGTGGTTGATATAACTAAATGTTTTAGTAGCACATATTCTGTGTTTTTGTTTTTTGTCTTTTTTTTTGGTAGGCCTTTTTTTAGGCCTTGTTTTTGTTTTTTCTTTTTTCTTTCTTTTCTTTAAGGTGTGTACATTTTAAGCTCTTAATATTGTATATTGGCCCTGGATATTACACATCTCTATGTAAATTATCTTTTATATTTTGAAAAAGCCTAATAAACAATACATAAAAAAACACACAGGGAGCCAGTGGAGAGAGGCTAAAACAGATGAGATGCTCTTGTGTTTCCGAGTTGCTTTATTTAATATGAAATAAATAAAGTGTACTCTTTTATGTCCTCTCTTGCAGCGTCTGTGGAGGGCTCGGAGCAGATGCCGATGGGGAGGATGGTGAAGAAGATCGTGGAGAAAGAGGGATTTTTTGGACTTTACCGTGGAATTCTCCCAAACTTCATGAAGGTTATTCCAGCTGTAAGCATCAGCTACGTGGTCTATGAATACATGAGGTCAGGGCTGGGCATACAGAAGTGACCGGCCAATCAGAAACACAGGAAAGATCACATGTTTACCCCTTTTAACACGTTTCAGTGGAGCCATAATTAATTCTGTCCAGTTTTTATCTCTTGTTTACAAAGTGCAGCTTTAAAATAAAATGTGTGGTTCGTCTTGCCAATAGTCAGTGTTCTACTTACTGTATATGAGCCGACTTCCTACTGTGGATGAGGAGACAGGCTGATCGACTAAGTAAGTGAAAGACTTATTAGAGTATTGCATTTAGAAAAATTGCTTGAGGATTATAAAAAATATTAACAAGCAAAATAACCTTTTAATCAAAAAATAGACTAGTAAGAGAAATTTTTTTTTCATTATGAATTTTTTGTTGCACTGGGAAACATACGTCCTTACTGTGAGCGGGCTTGCAGCTCCGCAAACCTGTCTTCATCTTGCTTGTCTCCATAGAAATGTGGAGATTTTGTTCCTTTGGCTATAATATTCCACAGTGCAGCATTAAACTCATCTACTGCCATCTATGATTAAACTTTCTATTTCCATAGAATCATCATAATGCACGACCTCCAAAAAGTGACGTGGTGTTGCTTTAAGCGTGGATCTCACTCCATGAGCGCTAGTCTGACCTGGACACAACACAGCACTAAAACATTTAGTGTTACAATTAGGAGCGGGACCACACTTTGAACAGTTATATTGTAAATCAGCAGCTGTTCATGCTGATTTTCCAGACTATAAATTGCACCAGCCAAAAAAAGCGCAATGAAGAAGAAATAATCCGGACTATAAATCTCACTTTTTGGGGAAATGTATTTTATAAAATCAGAGACCAGGAACCGACATTTCATCTTGAAAAGCAAGTTCTAGTAACAACAACAGAACGGAGAACAACAGACTGAACAGGCTTTAATATGTTAACGTCACATATGAACATTTCTTCAGATAACTATAGCATAAACAATATAACATACGTTTACCAAACTCACGATCTCACTCCAAATCACTAAATCCATTGAATTCTTCATCCTCTGTGTCACTTCTGCGCAACCTCCAGAGATAAACCATAGATCCATGATGTAAACAGAGCGCCGCTTCCTCTTCTGTGTAGCTGTTGTCAGACTCAGCATCAGTTCCAGTTAGAACTGATGGTTTCGGTTGTCATTAAAGTTCAGGCTTTGTCGATTCATCCAGTGACTTCCAGGAAAGTTTCATGGTGTATCCGCCTGGTTGCTATGACGCTGTGCTCTCCATCCCCGCTTTCCGCCAGTCCCTCACAAGTTTCTCGCTCACTCCAAACTTTCTTTCTGCTCTTGCAGCGAGACAGCGGACTTTTCTACAGGAAACATGCGCAGTAGAGTGAAGTGACAGTGGTACAGGAGCAATAGTACGAGATACTGACACACAAGACTAGAGCGCCCTCTCGCGGCTGTCAGTCTGAAAATTTAAAAATATCGCACCAGAGTATAAGTCACAGGAAGCACCCAAACCATGGAAAAAAGTGCAACTTATAGTCTGAAAAATATGGTGTTATTATTATTATAAGTAGGTAGAACACTGACTATGTATTTGTACAATCATACTTACTATACTATATTTGTAACTTTTTACCAAACAGCACTTTTGACCTGAGTTACAATCAAAGAGTGTATATATAAATGGACATGGCTAATGTGCCCGTCACCCCATTCCAAATAGAAAGTTCTCATGCGGCTCTTCTGGCTCCTTCTGACTCTGGCTCCCATTGACTTACATTGTAATATTGTGGCTCCTCTCTCTCTACCTGCTGCTGTGAGCCTCATCATTTTGGTCTTAAAATGTTTGTAATAACCCGCGACACATGATCCTGGTGTTTTAGTTTTGCTGATTGGTAATTAAAAAATCCTATTCATTAGGGATGTAACAATAACCAAAATATCGTGATATATCATCAAGTCTCACAATAATACCGTGGGCTGTCACAATATATCAAATTACAAATTCCTTTGCTTAAATGCAGGTTTTATAGTACCAATGGCTAATAAACATCAGGAACTACATATCCCATGATTTATTTCAGCGCAGACAACATTATTATGACAGTAATAATTCACATTAAATTCTTGTCAGGGTATTTTAAAAGCAAAAAAGTGTCCTATCTAAAAGTACATCAGCTTCTCCAAAATATTACAATAAATATCGTACTGTGAGATGCATATCGTGATAATATCGTACTGAGCTTCATTTGACTTGAGCCGAACGCTGTGGGTGACGTCACACTCGCTAGTCCACTTCTTTATACAGTCTATAGAACCAAAGTAATGAACCTGAGAAAATGGAATATGCAATGCGTTTAGCAATCTACATTTAATCATACAAGATGTCCAAAAATATTTGTATTAAAATAATTTCTTCCATTTAGAAACATGTTGAAAAGACAGAAAAAGAAAGTGCAATACTGTATTTCCATCTAGATGCTGTTTGAGATTGGTCAGATTTAAGGTGCCTTTAAAATGTTATTGTCCCCAAGATTATAATAATGCCTTTATTTTCAATGTTTGGTTTGTTAGAAAATAATGTTTACTTTAATAAAAATGTTCATATATTTTAACACTTTTGCATCTGCTTATTTACTTCATTACACATTACATTACCTGCTCTGTAATTGTACTAAGACGCAGCCTTTTAAGAGCTTCAGCTTCCTGTTCATAGGCGCCATTTTGAGGACTTTTCTCAATTCAAAAGGTGAATTTTTCTTTTTGGATTGTTAATTGCTATGGCAGCGATGCAAGATTCTGAAGACAGTGGATATATTTTCAAAAAACATTAGGGTAACTTTTTGTTTTTTAACGAGAAAGGAGGAACCTCAGTGTCTTGCTCAAGGGCACTAAAGAACATTTTTAATTGTTAACTTTTTAAATTGTTCTTTCTTGCTTCATATCGTTCCATATTCCAGTAAAGAGTGTGATTTTGAAGTTTTTCTCATAGTATTAAAAAAAAAAAAAAAACAATGGGTAAAAATATAAAACGTCATTTGTAGTTTTGTCAAGTTTAGATTTTTTTTTAAACTTGCTTAAAGGTGCATCGTGTAATTTTTCTGGTTAGAGGTCCATCACCTGCTTGTTTCTATGGACATGTCATTTCTCTGCCTGGAATGTTCCACAGTATGCAGTGTTGGGGAGTAACAGATTACATGTACCAGAGTTACATAATCAGAGTACAAATTATGACTAACTCTATTCAGTTACAGTTACTGTTTCAGTGAATGGTAATTGGATTACAGTTACTTTGTTGAAATAAATGGATTACACTGCGGTATTTTCCTCTTTTCGCATTTTGGGCTATATCTTTTTTTTTTATTTTATTTTTTTAATAATTCCAATCATTGCCAGAAACTAAACTAGATCTTAACCAGGTCTAAACCAGGGTTAAAATAGATCTAAACCAGGACTAAAACCAGGTCTAAACTAGATTTAAACCAGGTCTAAACCAGGACTAAACCAGGACTAAAACCAGGTCTAAACTAGATCTAAACTAGATCTAAACCAGGTCTAAAACCAGGTCTAAAACCAGGACTAAAATAGATCTAAACCAGGACTAAAACGGGTCTAAAACCAGGACTAAAACCAGGACTAAAACCAGGTCTAAAACCAGGTCTAAAACCAGGTCTAAACCAGGACTAAAACAGGATTTAATAGGATTTGACAGGACTAAATCCTGCTGTGTGGACGTGTCTCCTCATCTTCTATCAATAATATTTTTAATTTGGTTCAGTAAAGTCTGGGCTTTTTATTTTCTTTTAGCAGATAAAACATCTTATGTTACGATATCCTCGTCTTTGCTTCTCTACAGAAAGTCAAGTAATCCAAAGTACTCAGATTACGTTACTCACCTTAAGTAACGTAATGGATTCTGTTACAAACTACATTTTGGGGTATGTAATCTGTAATCTGTAGGGGAATACATTTTAAAAGTCACCTTCCCAACACTAACAGTATGGCATTAAACAGCTTTAGATTTATTCAATTACTGGTGGTTTTATAGCTCAAAAATTCCTAGAAAAACAGTGATTACGACTGTGAGCGGGGTCACCTCTCCACAGATCTGACCTGTAACTTGGTCTTGGTTTGTCATACTGTCAAATATTCCAAACTAAACAAGTTTTTGACGGACCCTCCATTGAAAAAGTTACACAATGCACCTTTAGGTAATATTGTTTGTAAGAAATTCTATTATTATACTCAACTGCCAGCTCCCTTCAAGACTAGATGTTGCTAAAAAAGACAAAACCGTGTGACTTGTAGGTGTTCTCGTCAGTCTCTGGTGTCATGTGGTGCGCTGGCTGTAGTTGGCGGTGACCTGTCCCGGTGTGGCCCAGTTACATAAGACCTAAATGAGCGTAATCCTGATTCAGTGTGATGTCAGGCTCCTTTAGTGGATGATCTCAGCACAAGGACAATTTACACTTTGAACAGAAGCAGAGGATCATGGTCAGAACTTAATGTGCTCCACAAGTCAGATCTGGACAAGACTCAACTCAAACAGGAAGGCAAACGTCAGGATTAATGTATTACTATTATTTTAGGGGGCACAATATGGTTTGATTAATAAAAAAAAGGTGCAGTAAGTTTTCTGGGTGTGTCTGTGATCTTTTTGTCTCCAGTTATTATTGCTCTGTCTGGTCTGTTCCATTAAATGTATCTTGCATTTCCATTCCACAGATCCAGTTAACAAATCTGGCCTCACAATTATTTTTTACATATATTTTTTGTAATACAGCTTCTTGTAACTATAGCTTATCAAGAAGTGTTTTTTTGTCCAGTCCAAATGTAAAACCAACGAGGAAAAGACCAAGAGAATTTTTCATCTTGTGGCAATTGTGTCTCACAAAGCACAAGATTGTGTCCTGTCCCTAGGAGTAAGGGCATTAATCAAGTAGATACTGTAAGAAAATTCAAGTAATTTCTGGTGCCTACTGGCCTTCATCATCTCAACACACTTGCTTTATAAACCTGCTCCTTTGGAAGCAGAGTGAAGGGGCTTGAACACTCAAAGATCACACTATGTTCACTTTTGAAATCACATTGTTAATTTTTCATGTCCTCCAGACCCGTATTATTGATGGTAAATAAACTTCTCCTGCTTAAGATTCCACATGATCTCCAGCCTTTTACTTCCACCATTTCTTGGACAAACTGAAAACTTCTTATCTTCAACAGATACCAAGCCTGAATAAGTATTTTTACGCTTTATGAAAGCTTATTATGGTGAAGTTATTATAAAAGGTACTGTCAAAATATGGCCTTAACATACTAAAATAATTGGCCTTAGTGGCACCTATCTGTCTGTATGGAGATAAACAAGTTTAATGCCATTCTCTGGAACATTTCAAAGACAAAGAAAATCAAATCTTCAAGGAGAAAAGCAGATAACGCCTCCTTCAACATCTTGCATACACCTTTAATAAAGTTGTAATTAACAATATAATCACCATAAATAAAACTTTACATGGGGAAAAAACTTAAACTCATACTTTTGTGGTAGATTATAGTCAAAGGAAGGAGGAGGAGGCAGGAGGAGGCCCTGAAGTAAGAGTCAGGTTTGTTGAGATGGAAGCCCGCTCAGTAAACACGCATGTTTTTCAGTGTAATCAAAAACATGATTTTAGAAAATTTCTTGGATAAAATGTTGCAAGTGGGTTTTGGTAATAAACCAAAACTTACTCAGACAGTTACAAATGAAAACAGTAGTAGATCATAGATGCAAATTAGCACACCACACAAGTCCGTTTAACACACTTTAATTTAATCTATTTTTCTTCTGAGAAAAGCTTTTTCTCAGGGAACACCCCATACACTATTAACATCCCCAAGAGAGACAGAGACGCCACGACAGTCAGGACGGACCTCAGAGCTTTGAACCAGCTCGGATACGTGGGCAACAAGGACAAATCGTAGTGAAGCGCAATACCCAAACCCATAATCACCATGGTCGCAGCTGGGACGATGTTTTCGCTCATCAACATGGCAACCCAAGCTAAAAGAGACGGCACCACGCTGTTGGCCAAGTTTATCCAATCAGGTTTCGCCGGGCTGCTGGGAGGAAGCGCAAAACCCCAACGAGCCCCGCCCAGAAATGACAATATCGAGGCCCCGTAAGCAACCTGGGCGTATGCGACTTCAGGGATATAGTTTTCAGTCATCGCCATGAAAAGCGTAGGGCAGACGAAAGGAAGGAGCCCAGAGAAGCCCAAGTATAAAGCAGGTCTGGGGCTTTTGGGCAAGTCTCTCATGTTATAACGAAGCAGGTCCAGTTCCCGTGGGGGAGGTTCCGGTTGGGGGCGTTTTTTGAGGCGTACAGCGGAGGAGTGGATGGGGCGGGAGTATACGGGAAAAGTGGGGAGGTGAGAGGCGGGGCTTAGGTGTCCCGTTGATCTGTGATTGGAGGAGAAACAGAAAGTTGTGCCGTGTTGAGAGAGCGGAGAAAAAGAGGAGGTCCAGCATCTTTGAGAGGTGGTAACAGACTGCAAGAGCTGCAAAAGAGAAGGAGAGACAATGTTAAAGCTGCAGTACATAACTTCTCTGGTGGAGGCTCTACCACTTTCTTGTCTCCATGGAGATGTTGTTGCTTTGCTTGGAATGTTCCACAATTTGGCCTTATTGGCTTTATTTGTCTTGCATTCATTCAATTGCAGTTTTTTTTTATTGCCAAGGAAATTTGTAGTGATGTGTTGAGGCTTCGAAGCATGTGCCGAGTAATCCAAAAAGGCTTTGGTGAAGCACATATCGAGGCTTGTATCGGACTTGGCGTGCGATTCGAAACATAAGGGCCAAAGAAACGCAACGGATTCCCCCTCACATTTTGTGGTGTTGGGTTATTATGAGTTTGGTACATTCTATTTGAGATTCTTTTTTTTTTTTTTTTGCGATGGTGCCAGCAAGAAAAAGAATATTTTCCCCTGTTTGGGAACATTTTGAGCTGATATCTCCTAATAAAGTATATAGTAATAATGATGTCATTAAATAAACAATATTACTAAATACACAAATTTGACAACACACTATTTCCCCTGGTCTAATATATTTCTTGTAAAGCGAAGTGTCTACTTTTTCTTTTAACCCAACCTTTATATCATGAACACAGACTCCATGTTAATAAATTCACAATTTATGCTGATATCACAAACATTCAAATATTTAATGGTTCATTTGTTCAGTATAAATCTTTCCATCAGAACCTCGATGATCATGTTGATTGTTCTAATTTCACTCTGCCTGTTATACATTTTTTGGCCTCTTGATGGCGCAGTGGAGCAAATGAAGCACCTTGAAGCATCGGCTCAAGAGTCGAGCAAATGGATGGAACGCTTCAGTGCTTCATGGGGCTTCATCTCGACATCACTAGAAATTTTGCAGAGAGCAGAATCGCCTCTTCAAAGATAACTTGGTCTGGTGCCGTCACCTGCTTGTCTCCATGGAGAAGACCAGTTTTATGCAGTGGAACATTCTAGGCAAAGTAATTACATCTCCATATAGAAAAGCAAGAGGCAGAACCTCTAAGAAAAAAATATTTTTATTAAATCTGTCATTTGTGAAACCATGACAACTTGTAATGTGATGATACAGTATTAATATTGTGAGCTGCTGTATCGATATATCGCGAAGAGTATTTTTTGGTACATTTTACTCAATTATTTTGTTACAACTACAGTTTCGTTGCTTGTTCAGTGGAAAGAAACTCGTTTATGTGGCACATTTGACATTTTCAAAGTTTTGATGATTAAAATGTTTGTGTTTCATATGAACTTTGCACAAGAAGTGGACTTTTAGTGCCACAGCCATGGTTTAGCCTTCATTTTTTATTGAATTCTATCGAACTGAAAGTGCACTGTATCGAGATATGTATCGTGGCCTATGTATTGAGGTACGTATCATATTGGCAACTTCTTAATGATACCCATCCCTAAGAATAATATGTGAAATAAATATGAGAAATATAACAATAATAGCTCATAATATTATCATACCTTGTGGGAAATGAAGGCCCCTCTTCTTAATGCAAAAGCGAACATCTGCAAAGGGACAAGAACATTTAGCAACTTTATACTATGATGCAGTTAAAATCAATTACAATGACAAGAGTTGAGATTCTTAAATAATAATCTTTGCACTGACTTCCACTTCATTTTAGAATTGATTTTGAGATTTTATAGTTTGTTTTTAAAGCTTTGAATGTTCTGGCCCCACATTACAACTCGAACCTCATCCAAATTTACCCTTTGCGCTGTGAGGTCTGAGGGCCAGCTCCAGCTCGTGGGGCATAAGATGAGACTTAAAACCAGGCGGGATGGAGCCTTCTCTATGACCGACCCCAAACTCTGGAACACTCTGCTCCCCCCACATCCGAACAGCCCCCTCAGTGGAGTTTAAGTCTCGTCTTAAAACCCACTTTTACTTTCTGGCTTTTAACACCACATGAGTTGTGGGCTCCTCTGTGTCTTTTCTGACTGGTAAGAGTTAGTGTTATGACTAAGTAATGAAAAAGTGAGGTGGCCTTACAAAAAATGTCATAAAAAACCCCCCTCTAAAATAAAAGCAAAGCAGCTTTAGTTCACGTGTGAGGTAGAGTTATAAAATATGTTTATATTGTTTTATTTGTTAATTATCTAAAAGGGGCTGGTTAGAGTCAACCAAAGGGCTGTATGTGGTCACTTCATGTCCCTATTTCCCCGGGACAGTCCCAGTTTTGAGCCCGTGTCCCCTGTCCCAGCAGATTTATCCAAAACCTGTGATTTTGTCCCAGTTTTATACAAGACAATGTCCCAGATGTCCCTATTTTTGACCAATTTATCTAAACCAGGTCTAAACCAGGATTAAACTAAGATTAACCCGGACTACATCAGGTCTAAACCAGGACTAAAACAGGACGATCACATTTTTTGACTAACCTGATCCCTGCCAATAGTAAAGAGAAGTATAAATTCTCATTTGTTTTGCCAAAATACAGAAAACTGTGTTTGGTAATGACCATCAAACAAAAAATGCAGCGACAGAAGCCCCTCAGATTATGACTGAGAACGCACAATGTTACACGCTCTTTTCACTTTTTTATTTATTCCAAACATCTCAGTCCGGTTGTGTCCCAGTTTAGAACAAAAAAACTGATCACCCTAGATTTGTCAGCTCAGATTTTTGTCGGATCGTATTAAATTTTTCCCGGAACCTTCATTCTTTGCTGTTTTCTTTAATCTTTCGAGTATCGTGAGGAAAAAGAGCACTTTAGACTCTGGATATTTGGCCAAAATATGAACATGTGTGTTTATACTTTACAGACTGGAGCTGCTTTTCAACATCGTACCTACACATTCCGATTTAATATAGTTTTTTTACACTGACATTAGAATACAATAAAACCACATTCAAATACTCATCATTAAACTTACCTTGTCGTTAAATAGACCTTTATAATTCTTTTAATTCAAGTTTTTTATTTCTGAGGTCAAAATCAAATCGCAGAAGACGTCCATGCTGTACGTCTGTGTATTCATTCCGGGTTTGCGACGAGCCTTAAAACATTGGTTCCGCCAATCAACTAAGAGTAAAAAAAAAAAAAAAAAAAATATATATATATATATATATATATATATATATATATATATATATATATATATATATATATATATATATATATATATATCTCACCTTCCACGGTGGTAGGTCTCTCTCACCCTCATTGAGCTCGGGTCCTCTACCAGAGGCCTGGGAGCTTGAGAGTTCTGCGCAGTATCTTTGCTGTTCCCAGTACTGCACTTTTCTGGACTGAGATGTCCGTTGTTTTTCCCGGTATCTGTTGTAGCCACTCTTCCAGTTTGGGGGTTACAGCCCCGAGTGTCCGATCACCACAGGCACCACTGATGCCTTTACTTTCCAGGCTCTCTCCAGCTCTTCCTTGAGCCCCTGGTATTTCTCTAGCTTCTCGTGTTCCTTTTTCATATTACCATCGATTGCCACCACCACTATGTCTGGTTGGTTCGCCATCACCATCCTGTCAGTCTGTATCTGGAAGTCCCACAGGATCTTGGCTCGGTCATTCTCCACAACCTTTGGAGGTGTTTCCCACCTTGATCCTGGGGTCTCCAGCCCGTACTCTGCACAGATGTTTCTGTACACTATGCCCGCCACTTGGTTATGTCGCTCCATGTATGCTTTCCCTGCCAGCATCTTACACCCCGCAGTTATGTGCTGGACTGTCTCAGGAGCCTCTTTGCACAGTCTACACCGTGGGTCTTGTCTGGTGTGGTAGATCTGGGCCTCTATTGCTCGAGTGCCCAGGGCCTGCTCCTGAGCAGCCAGGATCAGTGCCTCTGTGCTGTCCTTCAGACCAGCCCTCTCAAGCCATTGGTAGGATTTCTTGATATCAGCCACTTCAGTTATGTTCCGGTGGTACGCCCCATGTAGGGGTTTGTCCTGCCATGATGGTCCCTCCAGCACCTCTTCCTCTGGACCCCACTGTCTGAGACATTCTCTGAGCACCTCATCTGCCGGGGCCTTGTCCTTGATGTACTCAAGGAGCTTGGATGTTTCATCCTGGACAGTGGTTCCCACACTCACTAGTCCTCGGCCCCCTTCCTTCCGGCCTGCGTACAGTCTCAGGGTGCTGGATTTGGGATGGAACCCCCCATGCATGGTCAGGAGCTTTCGTGTCTTAACATCTGTGGTCTGTATCTCCTCCTTTGGCCAGCTTACAATCCCTGCAGGGTATCTGATCACTGGCAGGGCGTAGCTGTTGATTGCCTGCACCTTGTTCTTGCCATTGAGCTGGCTTCTAAGGACTTGCCTCACTCTTTGCAGGTATTTGGCCGTAGCCGCTTTCCTTGTTGCCTCTTCGAGGTTGCCACTTTGCTTGTGGGATACCAAGGTACTTGTAACTGTCCTCAACGTCTGCTATTGTTCCCTCTGGGAGTGACACCCCCTCTGTGTGGACTACCTTCCCTCTCTTTGTCACCATCCTGCTACATTTCTCAAGCCCGAATGACATCCCAATGTCTGTACTATAGATCCTTGTGGTGTGGATCAGTGAGTCGATGTCTGGCTCACTCTTAGCGTACAGCTTGATGTCATCCATGTAGAGGAGGTGACTGATGGTGGCCCCGTTTCTGAGTCGGTATCCATAGCCAGTGCGGTCGATTATTTGGCTGAGAGGGTTCAGGCCTATGCAGAATATATATATATATATATATATATATATATATATATATATATATATATATATATATATATATATATATATATATATATATATATATATATATATATATACTACTTACTACTACTACTACTACTACTACTACTACTACTACTACTGATTATAATAATAATACTAATAATAATAATAACAGGTTTAAATTATACAACTTGTTTTTTAAACCATCCAATTAGAATTTTACTCGTATACGCCGTAGAGCTGGTGTCCATTCATTTTTAAAATATTTGTAATTATAGTGCAGTCTAATGCTTAGGGTCTCCAGACGTCCCTATTTACCCGGGACAGTCCCAGTTTTCAGCCCTATGCCCCCTGTCCCAGCAGCTTTAAACAAAACCATTGATTTGTCCCATTTTTTTTTTTTTTACAAGAAATGTCCCAGTTGTCCCTATTTTGGACCAATCGTATTCCTGCCAACAGTAAAGAGAGGAATAAACTGTCATTTGTTTAAATAAATTTTTTTAAAAAGCTGCTTAAAAATGACCAAAACACAAAGAGAATGTGACAATACTGACTCACATGTTAGTTGTGAATGGGCTGAGTGTAGAACAGTTTTCCTTAATTATGCACTCGTTTCACAATTTTATTATTACTTTGAAAAATCTGATCATCTTACTACTGCTATGTCACCACATTTCCACTAGAGGGAAGTCAAGTCATGCAAATTAAACGTTGGAATAATATGAACGCTCCAGCTGCCACATCAACTTGAAAAACAACAACAACAACAAAAATGTATTTACCTTTCTTTAACCAGAAAGTTCCATTTCATTCAGATGTTTTATCAATATAAGAAAGAAATGACCAAGGTAGCAACCAAAACAATCAACTCATTGCAGTTGAATCACTAATTACATGATAAAAACAATTGTATCATTTGAGAAAACACAGACAGAGCTATGTGTTATGTGAGAATACAACAGTTACAATTACAAATGGCCGCTTTAAGTTTATGAGAGCTATGTTGACATTTGTGTAATTAATAATACAAATAATAATGATATGCTTTTCTGTAGATGTGGTGCAAAATGTACCTTAATATTAATAGTATATGTGCATTAGATTTTCCATTTTAGGGTCATTAACAAGAAAAACACACAAGCCTCACACTTATGTCACTGGGTAAACATTTTATTTTGTAACTTTCATTAGAACGGAGTGTAAAGAGCTCTGTCATTTCCAGTGTTTCGTGGTAAACACATGAATCAATGCGCTCTTTGCACTTCAGTAAAATATGAACAAAACATGCCCTGGTCCTCTGAGGAACTTTGAATAAATACAGTATAACAGGTCTCAGTGTAGACGCCTCACATGGCTCCATCGCTCTGAAACACAAAACAGAGAGACGTGTCAAAGAAGCTTGAACAAAAAATATGTTGGTTTGTTCCTTTAATTTTAGTGTCTATGCAGGTTGGACTCCCCATCTTGTTAAAACACAGTTCAGATCATTATATTTAAAGGTGCATTCTGTAACTTTTCAGGTGGAGGGTCCGTCACCTTGTTGTTTCTATGGATATGTCATTGCTCTGCCTGGAATGTTCTACAGTGTGACATTAAATAGCTCTATTTTACATTCAATTACAGGTGGTTTTATAGCTCAAAAATGCCTAGAAAAACAGGTATTCTGGCTGTGAGTGTGGTCGCCTCTCCACAGATCTGACCTGTAACTTGGTTTGGTCTCCATAAAGTTAATACCATAAAGTTAATGACCCTCCACCAGAAAAGTTACACAATGCGCCTTTAAGATTTTTTTTTAGGTTTCAAATTTTACATCCTGGTTGAAATCATGACATCACACTAGGGAATTTCATAACCGTTACCTAGCAACCATGTGGTAACCAGGGCCAAAACTCCTCTAATTTACACAGAAATTATTATTTGATGAATAGAAATTTAATGTATTTTGTTGAAACAATGTTTAAAATATTGGAAAAATATGCTTCTTTTGTGTAAATTGTGCCAAACTTTCGGATGGAATTCTCCCAGTGTGATGTCATCAGTGTGGGAAAATAGAATTCTGCACGTCCTGTAATTTTCAACATATTTTTCAGCTTTTCTTCTAAAACTATCAATTAATAAACTATCACACCAGGTATTATAATCAAGAATATGGAATTAAACACTTCTTATAATGCTATATTTATTTCAGATGTAATTTACTTCCCCGATGAGAACATATGATTGCTGGACTTGGGTAATGGCTCATGTTTATATGAAGTACAGCAGGGATCTCCAACCTGTAGCTTGGGAGCCACCAGTAGCTCTCCACCCCCTTCCAAGTAGCTCACCGAGGGATTTCTGAATTACATGTATTGTACTAAATAACTAAAATTTGATTGATTAAATGCCTGTTTTCAATGTAAATGTTTCATTTTGATGCCTAATTTTGTGCACTGATAACTGAATAATGGTCTATGTTTTACAGATCTCTAACTGTACCTCGTTGGAGGCTTATCGTGGCTCTTATATTTCCTCCGTTTCTGGCAACCGCTAAAACTAGGAGCTCTCTGGCATTTTCGTTTAATAGAAAGTAGCTCACAGGAGGAAAATGGTTGGAGACCCACGATGTAGAGTGTATACTGTGTTGTATATTGAGCTGTATATTGTGTTATACATTGTGTTGTGTGGACATCTCCTGCGCCTCACTTTTGGATTGGCCAAACGATCAGTGGCAGAAGTTTTATATGGGTGTGACACAGAGAGAATCATGAAGATCACAATGAAGATCCACTGACCCAAACGCTTGTCATCAGTGTTGGGGAGTAACAGATTACATGTACCGGAGTTACGTAATCAGAGTACAAATTGTTACTGTTTCAGTGAGTGGTAATTGGATTACAGTTACTTTGTTGAAATAAGTGGATTACACTGCGGTATTTTCCTGTTTTTACATTGCCAGACAATATACCAGGTCTAAACCAGGTCTAAAACCAGGTCTAAAACCAGGTCTAAAACCTATTCTAAACTAGGTCTAAACCAGGACTAAACCAGGTCTAAAACCAGGTCTAAACTAGGTCTAAACCAGGACTAAACCAGGACTAAAATCAGATCTAAACCAGGACTAAAACAGGATTTAACAAGACCAAATCATGCTGTATGGCCCGTGTCTCCTCCTCTTCTGTCAATAATATTTTTAATACAGTTAAGTAAAGACTCTGCCTTTTTATTGTCTTTTAGCAGATAAAATATCTTATGTGTAGATTTCCTAGTCTTTGCTTCTCTACAGAAAATCAAGTAATCCAAACTAGTCAGATTACATTACTCACTTTAAGTAATTAGTAGGATTCCGTTACAAATTACATTTTGGGGTATGTAATCTGTAATCTGTAGGGGAATACATTTTAAAAGTAATCTTCCCAACACTGGTTGTCATTCATGAAATGCAGTTTGGGAGTAAGTGTACAGCTTTGTCTCATTTTCTATTTTCACCAAGTATTATCTCACCAAAATAAATCCAAATTTGAGAATCATCTGAACACTAATTAGGTCTTATGAAATCAAACATTGCTTCTTTTTCCCGTTGTGCAGTCCTAGTTGTGACATGTGTGTGGTTTCTCCTCTACAGAGATTCTTTGTCCAACATTTACAGAAGAACTGGCCCATCTGACTCACATGGGTTTGGCTTGGGACAATAATGTTAAAGGTTCATCCATCCATTTTCTTCCGCTTATCCAGGACTGGGTAGGAAGAAGGAAATGGATGGCCCTTTAACCGTGACCCCGTAGTAAAGTTATAAAAGACAGACCACGGTGTTGTCACAGTCTCCACATTCAACTTGGGCTGTCCTTTAGAAAACATCATTAGTATTAGTCATTGTTTTATCTGTTTTATTTATTGCTTAGACTAAAATCAATCATGTGTTAAAGCTATCGAGAAAGGGTGCGTTTTTTTTTTTTACAATTAATTTACAACAGGCAAATACAGATAATGTTTAGTTACAAAGTGAACATCCAATCTATTGCAAAAAAAGTCACTAGACTGGTTAACCTTTTTAATTAACTTTTGTCTTATTGTTTTGTAGTCATTTTTAGTATTAGAATATTAACTTCAGTGCAAACATATTAAAGGTCTGATATTATTACACTATTTTCTGATCTATGTTATGTTTCTTCATCACAAACAAACCTGGAGTTGCGTTTTGTTTCGTTCACACATGTTTAACACACAAACCCTGCACATTTAGACTGAGTTCTACTTTGTGATGTCATGTGGTAATACAGGAAGTGCTCATTTGGATGATTTCATATCTGGGATTACCAAACTCTACTAAATTAAAGGTAAAAGGAGCAGTTCACTTGAAAACTACTACTTCATGACATCAGGAGGTGAAACAGAGCATTTTGAGCTTTGGAGATGTAGATAGACTAATAATAAATGAGTTCTCAAACATGTGTGAAGGAAACAAAACACAACTCCAGGTCTGTTTTTGAGGAGGGAACATTATAACATGACTTAAACCTCACAAGAGTCAATTTTATGTAATATAGAACCTCTAAGCCAGCGAGCCAGCGGTCTCCAACCTTTTTTCTCTGGTGAGCTCCTTTACAAAACAAAAATGCCATAGAGCTACTCATTTTAGGGACTGCAAGAAATTGAGATGATTATAAAAAAGAGGATGAGCCTTTGGGTGCAGTTAGATGCCTATAAAACATAAACCATTGTCCATTTATTAGTGCACAAAGTTGCTCTTCTTTTAATTAACCAAATTTCTGTTATTCAGCACAGTGGCTATAATTTCAAAATCCCTTAGCGAGCTACTTGGAAGGGGGTGGAGCTACAGGTTGAAGATCCCTGCTCTAAGTACTTTACATTCGTGCACATGCCCAAAACATAATTACATGAGTTCTAATGTGTGATCTGTTTGTCACTTTAAATCCCAACTTGAGTTTTGAAACTACACCTTTCTCATATGGAAAAAAACTGAAGAAGAAGAAGAAGAAAAAAAAGAATTTACCAATGTCTTTGTAGTAAATCTTTATATAAGGTTAATATGTGTCATGTGTGGTTTACTCCTGAAAGTGTCCCCCTTTTGCATTTTTCTCATACAACTCTAATATCAAAAACTAGTAAAGATACAGTGAACATTTTGCATGACATTTACAGGTAATGCGCATGATAAACTATATTTTGTAATGTTTGTATCCTTTAATTATATGTTGCAGTTAAAAAATTAAAAAAAAGTTGTTTGTTGCTCAATGAAAACATATTACTGTAAATGATGGAATTAATTAATTGTTAATTGTGAACATGATCACTTAATCGGTTGCTATTGCTGAGACTGAATTCAGTTCTAATGTAAGATGGTACAGTAGTACATGTAGTAAGGAAAAATTTGCATGTAATTTTGTATTTATTTAATAAAGTGATATGACCTCTTGTCAGTTGAGGCAAGTGAAAAAAACATAAGTGTATAGCTGCTTTTTTGAATATTACAAGTCAATATAGACCTTTGTAATAATTAGGATTTTGCAGAGTAAAAATCTTTTTACAGCACATGTATGTTCACTGTGATATCAGGGGAAGAGTGGGATGTCTTATGTTTTTTAAGGTTGTAATACAATATTTGCATTACTGTGTTTACCCCCATGCTGCCCAACACACACACACACACGCACACGCACACGCACACACACACACATGTACACGCACACACATGCACACACACACAGACACACACTGTGATAATTTTCTTATTCACTCTCATACACACACAACACAGCAATCAAGTTTAAGGAAACAATCATCATTTCATTTGTTTTTCTATGATTCTGTGGTAAAAATTACCTTTGTCCAACACTTGTAAGGATATTGTATGTGAGAAGAGTGTCATATTCAGCCCTTGCAGGTTACAAAGTTTTATATGTTTCATGCTGCACATATTTACCGAAGCCAGTGATGTTCATTTTGTCTTCTTATATACTTTAACTTCTTAGGTTCTTTTTAAAGACAATGCAGTAAAGTGTATTTACTTGTTGACATGGTTCTGCTGCTGCATCTTCAGAACTGTCCTCGGTGTTGTTGGTGATGTGTCGTATATCAGCTGTTGTTACTTCCTGTAGGCGTGGTCAACCTGATGGACCTGGCAGGTCGCTCAGACTGACCACGCCTCCCGTCGCCCGGTGTTCTCTGGAGGATGGAGGAGGGTGTCCCAGGTATGTGAAAGGAGGAACGTTCTGTCATCACGGTTAATGCTGTCCGTGCCTTGTTTTCTGATTTCAATGACCTCCTTGATCCAGCTTTTGAACTTGTTGTTTTCCGATCCAATGACCCGAGCCCCGACCCGATCCAGAATGTGGTTGTTCCTTTTACAGTGTCTGATATGGCGGATTTTAGGTTTTCCTGTTCTGCTTTATCTTTTTGTGTTCTGGTGAGTCTCCCTGACGTTTCCTTTTCGCATTCCTTTTGGTTTTCCTTTTTTTGGATGTGAAATGCCCGGCCTGTTTCCCCTATGTATGATTTATTGCTGGATTTGTATTGGATTTCGTAGATGGCATTGCATTTTTGTTGTTGTGGGATTTTATCTTTGGGTTGTACGAGTTGTTGGCGGAGTTTTGTGTATGGTTTTACTACAGTGCTTATGTTGTGTTTTTTCTTGGCTCTCTGGATGGGTTCGGTTATACCTCTGATGTATGGTAGTGTGACTGTGTTCTTCTGGTCCTGCTGCCCTGTGTTGGTTTGTTGTGTTTTTTTCCGGGGTTTGTTGGTTTTATTGATAACTTGTTGTCTGCCTTTGTTTATGGCCCAGCTGGGATATTGACATTGTTTGAGTGCTTGTGTGATGTGTCTCTCCTCCTCCTCCCTGTCTGTGTGATCTGTGATGAGTGTTGAGGGCATTGAGGGTGTGGTCAGTCTGAGCGACCTGCCAGGTCCATCAGGCTGACCACGCCTACAGGAAGTAACAACAGCTGATATGCGACACGTCACCACCAACACCGGGGACAGTTCTGAAGATGCTTGCAGCAGCAGCCAAAACATGTCAACAAGGTAAATACACTTTACTGCATTGTCTTTAAAAAGAACCTAAGAAGTTAAAATATTTACCAATGATCTTGCAACTGTTTTCACTGTCATATACAAATCTTTCAACGTTCAGATAAAACATGTTAAATTGGTGTATGATTTGTCTATACCATTTCCATATGGATTGACTCACCCCTCCACAGCAGCCGCAGCAGTCCCCGCACAGCGCCCCCAGCAGGCCGTTGACCACCTGCACCGCGCACAGAGCCACCTGGATGAGCCCCATCACCAGCAGCACAGAGAACAGAGACAGGTGCCAGTGGACGATGCCTGGGGGGGCCTGACACTGCGTCCATATCCCCTTGTCCTTCAGATAGTCACTGGACACACATGAAGGGTATGGCAGGTTAGATTTAGTCTGACATACATGGCAAGATGAATTGTTTCTTCAATTAAAATGCAAATAGGTTTTCATGTTTTTTCACATGCCCCGCCCCCTCGTCCTGTGATTTGGTTTGGTGGAATAGTATCTGTGGTGAATATTTAACATAGTTTCTCCATCAGTTAAAGTTAAAGGGCAGTTTCTGAAGTAGAGAAGAAAAGGTGAGTTCTAATATGAAATACCTCTACCTATGTGGGTCCGAGTACCATTTATTCTTTTGAATTTCAATTAAGAACAAAAAAGAATAAAATAGGAAAATAGTCTGTTATTTCATTTTTCTAATTTTGACCTCTACTTCCAATATTTAATTTAAAGTTTATTTCAAATAACAAAATAGTCTTAGTGCCTATTTAAATTTTAATATTTTATTTTCTCTGGTTTATTTGTCCCTGAAGTTCTGTTGCTCAAAGCCGCGTGTGAATTCAGTTTCAACTGAACAAAGGAGAGTTTATCGCCGCTTCCTTTTTCTCGTCATGGAGTTCAACAATTACTTTTTAAGACACGAAAGTAAATCCATCTCTATAAAAGAAGACAACATGTTTGTCCACAAAATTGCAACGATTGGTCAGGTGAGTCCTTCAAGCAGCAGAACTTCCAGAGCAAATAAACCAGAGAGAATAAAATATCCAAACCGAAATCGGCATGATGATTGTTTTTTGATTGATTTGAAATAAACTTTGAACTAAATATGACAAATAGAAGTCGATTTTTTTTTTCTTTTGACACAAAAACGAAATAATGAAATAACAAACTGTTTTCCCATTTTATCCTTTTTCGTTCTGTCATCAGCACAGAAAATTCTATCCAAAATGCAGTTTAAACCTTTATTTAACTAAATAAATGTGCTGCCATTTACTTTTATTCATCTAATCCATAAACTGTGAAGCTCATGAGGCTAGCAGTTAAAGGAGCAAATTTGGAACCGAATTCTATATTTGAAGTGGGCATTAGTTTACAGACAAAATGGTGAAATAAAAACAGCAGGATCATGTAGAGGGTGTTAATATGAACATGAGGAGGTTCACCGCAGCAGTTACAGAGAAGGGGGGAGACAATTTTTCAATGTAAATGTAAAGTCAATTGGAAACATGGGTCAATGGAGCTGGAAGGGCCCCGTGAATACTTCCTATTTGGAACACAGCGGATTAGCTATGTCCATTTATGTACAGGGTGTCCCAAAAATTTGACATCATTTCGCAGGCCAATCATTTTGGCAATTCTTGAAAATAACCTCAAATTTTCACAGAATATACAGAAACAGATCAAGATTTTAAATTTAATGTTTTATTTCTGTTTTGAGGTTGAGTCATTCACTCACAAAGACAAGTTATTTTGTGTCTTGGAATCTGCTGCACACACTCACCCAAGACTCCGCAGCAAATGCAACATTTGGAAAAACTTCTCCAACTGGCAAACAAATTTGGACTTGGTACCAAAAATGTGCAGAAGAAGGTGCTTACATTTAGCCAGGCTAAAGGATCTGGTACGCCAAACTATCATTCGAGGAATCTGTGTTTCCAGACTTGTTCTCCTTAAGGACTTCTTCTCTTCTGATGTTGATGATGGTACCAGATCATTTAGCCCTGCATAAACAGCTGAACTCTGCACATTTTTGGTACGAGTCTTGGGTTAGTGTGTGCAGCAGATTCCAAAATGCAAAATGACTTCTCTTTGGGAGTGAGCGACTCAACCTGAAAACAGAACAAAAATTAAACATTAAATATAAAATCTTGATCTGTTTCTATACATTCTGTCAAAATTTGAGGTTATTTCAACAAGAACTGCCAAAATGAATGGCCTGTGAAATGATACAGTCTGTGTTCTGTCTTTGTCATTTCTGCTGCCTGTTTCTTTCACCAAAGAAAAAAAAGAAAAAAAAACAACAACAACATAAATAAATAGCACAACTTTTAGTAAAATATTAAATATATTGATGTTAAGTGGATGAATAACTGGATGAATAAGTTGTCTTACTTGTCATATTTAAGTCATATCTCACCCATTATTAAAGGGATATTCCCATGTGGCATTAGTACTATTGGTTTGACACTTGGGTCCGTGGTTTATGGCCACAGCAGAGACTATGATGGAGTAACCTGCTCCCAGGACCCCCACGGCCGCAAACAGCATCGAACTCAGCATCTGCACAACACGAGCAGGCACAGAGACAATCAATACTTTACAACATGTCACATTTTAAACAGAGATACAATGGGGCGTCTGTTGGAGCACGCCTACACATTCCCCAACTATCGATTGTCACACAATGGAACTCTGTGTGAGTCAAGAGAAATGCGTCAGTAAAGACCTTTATTATGATTAAACTGATACTGAAGATGAATATATAACTGCTAATGTTTTTGGGTGTCTTTGTGTGTCTTGTGGTCACTGCATATAAGGTGACCAAACATCTCTTTTTACCCAGGACAGTCCCAGTTTTGAGCCCTGTGTCCCCCTGCCCCAGCAGATTTATCCAAAACCACTGATTTGTCCCAATTTTATACAAAAAATATCTCAGGTGTCCCTATTTTGGACCAATTTAATAGTTGACGACAGTAAAGAGAGGCATACATTGGCATTTGTTTGGGTAAAATACAGAAAAGCTGCTTAAAAATGACCAAAACACAAAAAAAATTTGACTATACTGACTCATGTTAGTCAAGAATGGTCTCTGTAGAACAGTTTTCCTTCATTACGCACTCGTTTCACAATTTTATCATTACCAACCGCCCCAAAACCGAGAGTGTCCCAGTTTTTCATTTTGAAATTCTGGTCATTTTAAATGCATAGACTGTGTAAAATGCCTTATTGACACCAGTTTCTTGCTCTTTTTTGCTACTTATTTAGATTTTATTATTACCATTCATATGTTTTACTCTACTTATGATAATATCTTGAGATGTGTGAGTCTAAAACAAAGTAATTTCCTTTGTGGATCAATAAAGTTTGTCTAAATCTAAAAAAGTGGACTAAGGGAGTGTGGCCAGGAGGAGGGAGGAGGAGCTGAGTTACATATTAGGAATAGGGTTTTATTATATTTATACAAAATAGTGAAATAAAAACAGCAGGATCGTAAGGACATTTTAAGACCAAAATGAGCAGTTACAGAGAGAGGGGTGACAGTTTTTTAATGTAAAATCAATGGGAAACAGGCAGAAGCTCCTCCATGAACACTTACCACTGGAACATTACTGTGGAATGTTACTGTACTGTGTCCCTTATGTTCATTTTAAGTAAATTTACACTATATATAGACCAAATCACACTACTTTCTTTAGACGATTAAGGGAATATATAACATAATATATAATATAATATATTGTTATAATGTGTATGTGATAAAATTCTATTCAAAATTCATCCATCTCCATTAAGTATAGTACAGTCTAAAAGAACATACACTATGAATCATCTGGAATGGTCTGGTATTTCATTGGAGTAATTTGGTCATAAAAACATTTCTCTATTATATTCTTGATATAAGACATTGAGCAGCAGAAAGAAAGTTTGGAGTGAGCGAGAAACTTGTGACACCGGGAGGATGCACCATGAAACTTTCCTGAAGTCAATGGATGGATGAACAAAGCCTGGACTTCAGTGACACGGAAACCATCCTGTCGGGATTCAGAAAGGCCTGAATAATTCTAACTGGAACTGATGCTGAGTCTGACAACAGCTACACAGAAGAGGAAGTGGCGCACCATTTACATCTGGAGGTTGCGAAGTTGCTCAAAAGTGACACCGAGGATGAAGAATTGAATGGATTTAGTGATTTGGAGTGAGATGGAGAGTTTGATAAATTTGTTCTGTTCTGTTGTTTATGCTATAATTATCTGAAGAACTGTTCATATGTGACGTTAACAGTCTGTTCTCTCTTCAATTGTTATTACTAGACCATGACTTTTAACTTAAAATGTCTGTTGTACTGGTCTCTGATTTTATAATCATACAGGAGTTGCTTTTTACCATAACATAGGGTGACCCAAATTTCAAAATAAGAAAACATCCCCATTTTTTGGAGGTTGGTAATAATAAAATTATGTTCATGTGTTCATTTGTGGTCATTTTTAAGCAGCTTTTCTGTATTTTACCTAAACAAATGACAATTTATGCCTCTCTTTACTGTTGGCAGGGATCAGATTGGTCAAAAATAGGGATACCTGGGACATTTATTGTATAAAACTGGGACAAATCACTGGTTTTCGATAAATCTATTGGGACAGGGGACACAGGGCTCAACACTGGGACTGTCCCGGGTAAATAGGGACATCTGGTCACACTAACTTAACACCTATGAAACACTTGACTGACACCAAATCCAGACTAAACCAATTCAAGATTTGTTTCCCCCATTTAAAATATATTTATGAAAGTCATTTAAAAGTTATTTCATGACTTTTACCATTATCCAGGCAAAAACCTTAACCATAATCTCCAAACCAGACCCTAACCTCTGCCATGATACAACACAACAAAATCTGGAAATATAGAACCTCTTAGAACAAAATACATGTTTACAGATGGATAAAAGTATTTAAATACATATAATTTTTTTGTGTTTTCACCGTTTTTGTTAGGACTTTTGAAAAAAAAAAAAAACTAAAGTTCACTCACAGCGAATCTTCGCCCACAGCTCTCATTTCCACAGCAACCGCAGCAGTCGTTGTTCTTGAGGCCGAGGAACACGAGAGCGGGAAAGATCATCTGAAACAAACAAGGAGGATCATAAAACCATAAAGTCTCTTCCTCTTTTTTGAAGCAGAGGGAAGGTTCAGAGATGCTGCACAGATAACAGGGAAAACAGGTCCTCACACATTTAGTTACATAATATTATTTTATATTTTTATGAACGGGTTTCAGTGACAACAATACTTCAAGATTTTATGAACATTTTGATTTTTTTTCCAATAAACATTAAACTTGAATTTAGCTGTTTCGTATTCAAAAATCATTATACAGGCTACAGTTTTGTGTGTTAATACAATCGCTATGGCAACAGTCCACTCTGAAATAAATAAAGACATATTTCCGCATCTATGTGTCATGTGTTTGTGTCCAAACGTTTTTCATGACTTTTCCCGTTCGTGTCCATATAATATTTTGTTCTAAATTGTCATAATTCTGAAATCCATGGATAGAGACTTAACCTGAGACACCATAACTGAAAAATTACAATATAACAAAGTTTTTAAAAATCGAATACAACTTATTATCTTGTTTGTCAGTTTTACTTTTAAGGCTTCCTTTGAACCAGGTAACCTCTGGTGAATGGGTGAATGCTTAACCTTCTCCACCACTATTCACTCATTTACAGTTATATAGCAATTTATAAATATATTTCTAATTATCTGAAATCATTTGATCATCTTAACGGCCTTCTTCTGCTGGAGTGTCTTTGGCCCCCTGTTCCTCCAAGGAGATGTTCATGATGGCCAGGAATGTCCCGCAGTGTGGCATTAATCTTATCTGTCTCCATAGAAGGAAGGTGATGACCGCACTAAGACTAAGTTACAGGTCAGATGTGTGGACAGGCAAGCCTGCTCACAATAAGAACGTGTGTTTTTCAAGGTGTTTTTGAACACTAAAAACATCTGTAATAGAGTAATTGCAAGATAGATTAAGTTTAACGCCATACTGTGAAACATTTCTCGCAGTTACCAGGGAGATCTTCACCAGAAAAGTTGCGTAGTGCATCTTTAAAATCTCACTGTGTAACTTTTAACTTTTCAAATTGTAGTTTTTTTTTTACTCACCAGAACTCCAGATCCCACAATTCCTCCAAAGTAGAAGACTTGAATTGTGATATTTTCCGAGCCCTGGACAGTACCTCCGGGAAAAAACAGTAAAATATTGCACAAAATACAAACAATGGCCAGAGGGATGAGACAGATCCCCAGACACTTTGCGAAACTACCAGAACACATGTTTTTGGCTCAAGTTTAATGGCAACGTAGAAAAAAAATAAGACAAAAATGTTACACAGATGCTAAATGGTCTGTGGGTACTTAGCTATCCGGTTTGAGGATGCTCTCTGCTCCAGGTGTGGTTTTATACCTGCGGTCGGTCGTCACAGGCCACGCCTCCTTCGCCCTCCTCGCCGTCGGCCCTAAAATGCAACGCGCTGTAAAACAAACATGAAGTGCACACAGAGGTATTAATGAGAGTCATATCCAAAGACAGGCCAGTTAATAATCCACCATGTGCTTTGTGTTCATGGAGATACAAGAGGAAGTGACAGAGAGACAGCGCCTAAAGACAAAGGACCAAATCTTACCAAAGTTTTGATCAGTGGTTGAAGTACAGGTACAGATATTGAAGCAAAGAAAATACTCAAGTAAAAGTTAAAGTAATAATTTTTGTGTATGATACCACTTTGACTGAGAAATAGAAGAGGCCCTAAGCAGAACAGAATACTGAATTAAATATATTTTATAATGTAGTCCAAAAATATTCATCTCTCCATGCTTAAAGTACGGAAGCTGAGAGGGGTCACAACAAACGCAAATGGCGCAACAAATACAAATGTGACAACACAACAAAAAGCCACAACAACCAAAAAAACACCCACAACGGAAATGACCGCGGGACTCTATTTTAATGCAAAAGCCGCAACAAATACAAACGCCAAAACGCAAATGCCGCAACACATTAAAAAGCCACAACACATTAAAAAGCCACAACACATTAAAAAGCCACAACGGAAGTGACCTCGGGACTCTATTTTCCGATGGACCGATCAAGCGGCAAGTGAAGAAGAAGAACTACAACGTGAAAAGAATAATGATAAAACAATAAATTACTTTTATTTACATTTCCAACTTCTCCGTTCCTTTACTTTTAACTTTGTAGTTCTTCTTCTTCACTTGCTGCTTGATCGGTCCGTCTGAAAATAGAGTCCCACGGTCACTTCCATTGTGGCTTTTTAATGTGTTGTGGCTTTTTAATGTGTTGTGGCTTTTTAATGTGTTGCGGCATTTGCGTTTGTGTTGTGGCGTTTGTATTTGTTGTGGCGTTTGCGTTAAAATAGAGTCCCACGGTCATTTCCATTGTGGCTTTTTTTGGTGTGTTGTGGCTTTTTGTTGTGTTGTCGCATTTGTATTTGTTGCGATGTTTGCGTTTTGTTGTGGCGTTTGCGTTTGTTGTGACCCCTCTCAGCTTCTGTATTAAAGGGACTGTAATAAGTTACTTTAAAAATCTCTGTTATAATGTTTCCTCATCACAAACAGACCTGAAGTTGTGTTTTGTTTCATTCACATGTTTAACACACAGATGCAGATTTAGGCTGAGTTCTTCTCTCAAACGGAAAACACTCCATACTGTTCCACCTTGTGATGTCATGGTGATACATGAAGTGCTCTACTGTGTTTTTAAACTCCATGCATCTTCACTAGAATCATTTGGACAATCTCTACTGAACTAAAGGTAAAAGGAGCTGTTCACTTGAATACTACTGCTTCCTGACATCACAAGGTGGAACAGAGCATTTTGAGCTTTGGAGATGTAAACAGACTAATAATAAAGGGTTACACAAATATGCGTGAATGAAACAAAACACAACTCCAGGTCTGTTTTTGAGGAGGTAACAGCATTATGACATGGCTCAAAGTTCACAAGGGCCTTTAAATCTTCTCTATCTATTTGCACCAACCCCTCATGATTTTGACATGTCAAACGCTAATGCAGATTTTTCTTCTGACATTTGTATGAAAGTCAAAACTATAATTATGGAACTTGACCCCAGGTTCAACCATAAGGTCCATAACCTATGCAGTACAAACAGAGTGTTCTTTCCATGACTCAAGTTTAGTTCAGTGACAAATGGACTTCTGCTTTCATTAAAGGAGTGCCCCACATCAGATAGATTGTATTCACACGTCAAATTACATCACTCTACTTTCCTAATGATACTTGGTGGTGATGATGCTGATAATGATGATCATGTCATCATCACGGGGGTGTGTTGCTAAGTTCAAAAAGTTCAAAACGTTTACTGTCAATTCTTCATACAAAAAACCTATAAAGAATCAAAATTGTGTTTCTCACTGCCACACATAATGTAAATTGTGCAAAAGTGCAAAAAGCATATAGTGAAGGGGGTTCTTCCTGGGGAATTCTGTTCTTGAGGAGACACAGATTCCTGCTTCCTGGTCGCCTGGTGGGTAGAGAGGGGAGAGAGATCAGCATCCTAACAGCCTGGTGGATGAAGCTGTTAGTGAGTCTGGTGATGCAGGATCGGAGGCTCCTGTACTTCCTCCCGGAGAGCAGGAGGTATGACAACAGTGGTACTAGGAAAACATCAGACTGACCTCGGTAACATGGTAACTGAACATTCCATCACAGAGATACATGTAGAACACCCCCAGCATGTAGTCATTGCAAGGAATCAATAGTTTACATTAAGCTGAAGGATAAGTCAGAATTCTGTGGTGGAATTTTCTGTTTTAATGTCAGACTGCAGATTTGTTGATCTGGTTTATGGTTCATATCTGTATATTTACTGGGCCTATCCACATGAAACAAAAACTGACACAAAACTAAAGTCTTCTCTGTCAGGATAAATAAAAAAAAGTTAAATTGTGTTTTTATTTGCCTGACCTGCCAGTCCCTTCTACATTCTGTTGATACCCAAAGCACGTGGTTCTGACTGGGCAGGTAATGGTTTTATAACTTCAGAATGTGTTGTCATCAGCTCTAAAGATGTGAATGATGTCAGCTGGAAAGACTTTAAGCCATAAAATGAGTTTGTAGAGCCAATCCCAAACAAATAATGATAAAGTGCATGTGAAAGGTTAGACTAAAAGGCAGTTAAGATCATTATAATTAAGATTTCTGCAAAAACATTTGCACTTGGTTTCCCAATTTGGCAATTTTTTAGGTTTAAAATTTGACGCTAGGGAATTCCATAACTCCTCTATTGTACACAGAAATTATGATCTGACAAATAAATACAATAAAATACAAACATAAGAAAAACACATTTATATTGTTGAAATTATGTTTAAAGAATCAGAAAAATGTCTTCTTTATGTGAAAATTGTGCAGAACTTTTGGACAGAATTCCCCAAGTGTCAGAAGCATTTTTGCACAAAAAGTAGTTATCATCCCACCAAATGAAGATAAAATTTAAGAATCATAAAAATCATTATGCACACATTTGTAGATCATAGGTCTGTGAACCGTTCAAAAACAGTGAATCTCAGTGAAATTGAGTTGGCACTGCTGGGAAAAACTGACCTACCATGTGAAGCTACGGCAGCAGAGTCATTAAAATAGCCTGCACATAACCCTACAGTAAACATAGATACGTGCTTACAGTATATGTACAGTATGTCAGTGTCTATTTATAACATGGTGATCCCAGTACAGTACAGCCCCATCTGTTTCTACAGTAATATCAATACAAGCTTTTAAATCACACCATTTTCACATCGCAAAAAAGGAATGTCTGTCTTGCTTTAATGTAAAATTTTAATCTGTTTTTGAATTTTAGCCAGGTTAGACATAAAACAAAATATCTGCCAATAGTAAATCAAATGTTTCTTACGACATTGACGGATAATTTGGTCTGAAATAATTGTCACATTTTTATACAGCGCTTTTCACCTTCAAGACTCAAAGCTCTTTACAACAAGGAACCACTCACACATTCAGACATTCACACACCAGCGCACACACACACACACCGGGGGCGAGGTGGGTTAAGTGTCTTGCCCAACGACAGCAATCATCTTTGAGAGCTGGAATCACAGCAGCCAACGTGTGGGTCAGTGGATTGGACGCTCAACCAATGATGTTTATGTCAAGAACAGGATTCAAACCGCCATCCTTCAGATCAGCGGACAAACACTCTTACCCTGTGAGCTATTGTCAAAATGTAAAATAATATGTAAATCATATAAAATGAAAAAACAAACTGAAATTAAGAGTAATAATCGGGGCTGTGTTCATTTTGATTGAGGATTCTGCATCATAATTCATAGTTTGAATTAAAGTAAAGTAGTAAAGTTAGGTATGCTATGTACAATACTTTTAGAACTTCAATTATTATACAAGGAGCAGTTGGTTCGAGCTGTTAAAACTATGTCAGTTTCATCTAATTGTTTATGTTTACAAATCCAAAGTAAGGTCAGATGCACCTTGAAACAATCACAATCATGTAGCCTACATAAAATAAAAAAAATAACAACAAAACAATGCCAAAATAAAATAAAACTGGCCTTATAGATATTATCCATTACAGTTTCTAGCCAAGTTATGCCTGTTGTTATGCAAAAACCTGAAAAGCTTCAACCCAACTTTGTACTAGTAGTTTAATCTATCTGACCTGCTTAGAGACGGCGGGGGTTGTGGTGTAACACATCCCTGTCTCACACACCCATTGAAATATTTTTGGAAATGCTATATATCACTAATGCTTTCTAGGCTTGCCTGAGTTGCAAAAGCAGTGGTAGAATGTAATGAAGTAAAAGTAGTAAAGCACTGTACTTAGTGAAAAATGGAGGAGTCTGTACTTTACTTCAGTACATTTTAAAGACAATACTTTTTACTTTTACTTCACTACATTTGAAAGCAAGTATCTACTCTACTGCATTTTGAACAGGACTGAAAATTAAAAGTGTTTTTATTATTGTCTGAGACCTGCTGAAAAGACAGACAGGTAAAATTTTTAAGCAAATAAATAAAATAAAGACAGCTACAAAACAAGACAAAAACAAAACCATTGATTCCATTGTTTCTATTCAACAACATTCAGCACAAATCTGATCTCATCTCTACATTTGAAGTTTAGATCTGCATGAAATACTCTTTAAGTACATTTTTAAAGTGGTACTAAAACACTTTTGTTCATGTGATACTTTTACTTGAGTATTTTTGCTCCAGTATTTGTAAACTACTTAAGTAACAAAATTGAGTACTTCTTCCACCACTAAATCTGGTCTGCTTTTTTACAGACAATGGGTTGAAGTGTTTAAGGTAGGGAGACCAGACATCTATTTGCCCGGGACAGTCCCAGTTTTGAGACCTGTGTCCCTTGTCCCAGCAGATTTATCTAAAACCATTGATTTATCCCAATTTTATACAAGAAATGTCCCAGGTGTCCCTATTTTTTTTGTCCAATTTGAAATCTGCCAACAGTAAAGAGAGGCATAAATTTGTTTGGGTAAAATACAAAAAAAAAAAACTGCTTAAAAATGACTAGAAAATGTTACTATACTGTTTGTCATGAATAAATCATGAATGGGCTGAGTGCGTAACACTTTCCCTTAATTATGCACTCGTTTCACAATTTATTACCAACCAACCCAAATCAGGAGTGTCCCAGTCCCTTGTCCATGGTGGGTGTAACCATACAGTCTATTGGTGTAACCCATCCCTGCCTCACACCATCTACATATTTTTGGAAATGCGAAATACTATATATCCTAACACTATATCATCAGAGCCTAAAGCTTTCTAGACTTGGCTGCGTTACAAAAATAACAGCAAGAAGTGAACTCACTTTACCCATCCATGCCATCTGTGATCCTCTGCTTTCCATTTCAGGCACACTCAATCCACCCCAGAGCGATCCACCTGCAGTTTAAAGTCTACATTTAGCGGGCTGCAAGGCTTCATGCCCAGCACATGCCCACACAACATGCAGCTGCTCTAGTTTTGCACTTTGACTACTTTATGCGTGTTTAAAGCGCCACATCATGTCGGATCGGTTGTGTTTCTCGTCTCGCCGCTCGCCTGTGGTCACGTTGAGCGCGTGCGTGGCGTCCAGTCAGACTTTAGCCACGAGCGCAGGACTGGGTGAGTGACAGGCGGGCTGTTTCCATGGTGACCAGGTGAACGAAGCTAGACGAACTTAGCGCTAAATGCTAAAAGTTTGTATTTATGAATAATTCCGCTCTTTGCTAACTTAATAGATTGGTTATTACATGTAGTGAAGTCTAAAACAGAAGGGGAAAAAAAATGAACAAATGAGATTAAAATGAATGAAGGACAGAGGTTGCAGCGGTTGTTGACGTAAAAATGTTAAAGCTAATGTTAGCTAGTCTTGAAAACAAGCTAAACTAACAACAATAGTATACACTAAAAGAAAGTTTACATAACTAGGGTAATAGTATGTAGTAAGTAAGTAAATAATAAACCATAATTTACCCTATACTAAATTACAATAACATACTTATGCATGACTATTGGTGGGTTTCAGATGACGTCACAGCATTCTACAGGCCAATGTTATTTAATACAGATGGGGGCTATTGAATGAATATTGTTCACCTGCAGATTTTTGTTGAAAAATTGGTCAGTGATAAAAAATGATCAGCTTCCATATTTGGAACATTTACTTTTCCGATATTTCTTGGTAAAGTACTATATAATTAATAGGAAAATCAGTCTCTTTCCCCCCATCTGAGAGTCTGACATTTTATTTGTCATGAAATATTCAAAAAGTAAAGTCACAAATGTTGAACCTGATCATTATTACTGACAATTAGACACATGAACCTTTTGTATTATGACCAAAATCTATATTTCAACAATATTTATTTTACCTGCCTCCCCATCTGTGTTAAATATTATTAGCCCGTAGAATGTAGTGATGTCATCTGAAATCCAGCAATTGAAAGACATAAACATGCATGTGCAGATCTGTTTTGCCATGCAGCTGTTCAACAAATTTCCCTGCACAATCTGATGCAAATAAGGGGAAAACAATGCATTCTGTTGTGAAGCTTCTTCCTATATTTACATTTTAAGGTGGGCCAAAAATAGACTATAATTAAAGCATGTATTTAGATTTCTGACATTTGATGTTTTTAGAATTAGACCTGGACAAACTTTATTGATCCACAAGGGAAATTATTTAGACAAACGTTCAAATGATCCACATGGCACTGAAACACACACATGATTCCTTACTCTGAGTGAGGTTGCATCTCCACAAACCTGACTCTTTTTTGATCTGGAGGAGGGCCCACTAAAGCTTATCCAAAAACTTCCACAATATAACATAAACTATTACTACTATTACTATGCCATACTATACACCTCCATTGAGAATATTTCAAAGTATGGTTTATCTTTCAATTTGCCTTCAATGGAATTGTGAAGATGACATGTCACTTCCAGAAAGTTACATACTATCACTTCAAATAAAACATTTTAATTTTGTTTTATAGTATGTTTTATGAGCTCATGTCACACACTAACATTCCAGCTAAGGGTAATTCTCAATGTCCTTTTGCTTAAAACATAACACTGTAAAGCGATACCAATTACCAACAAGAGAATATAATATTGTGTTGTGTGTTTATAATCGTGTTGTATGCAGACATCCTGAGGCAGGGGGGGAACGCTGCAGATGCAGCGGTTGCCGTGGCAGCAGCTCTGGCGGTGACTGAGCCCTGCAGCACTGGGCTTGGAGGCGATGCCTTCTGCCTGTTCTATAACGCACACACAAAAGAGATACAGGGGCTAAATGGGAGGTATGGACCGTGGTCTACTGTACAGTGTTAGTCTAAGATTACCATCAGACATTTCTGAATACTGCACCACCCTCTGATACTGTGTGAAGAGAGAGAGAAAGAGAGAGTATAATTGCTTCTAAAACTTCCCAAGCAATCCCAAGCAACTGGTGGTGGTCCGCCACCTGCTTATCTCATTGAGATGTTGTTTTATCTCCTTGAATGTTCCATAGTGTGGCATTAAACTGATTTATTTTGCATGTATTCAGTTACAGTTGTTTTTGGCTAAAAAATACTTAACCTGTCACCCACTTGCATCCATGGAGATAGACTAGTTTACCTCACTGTAGCATTTCTCAGTTTGAGCTCTTAATATCCACTGACCAAAGTCCCCTCTCTCTCTCCCGGTCAGTGGCCGTGCAGCTGAGGCCCAGTCCTTGGATTTCATGGAGGGGCGTGGCTTCACTGCAGATGCCCCTCCCCCGCCCTTTGACGCACTGAATGTGACTGTCCCTGGAGCTCCGGCCTGTTGGTGTGACACACTGCAACTGTTTGGCAGCCACAAGGTTAGAATCTTGGCATTGTTGTCGAGAAAGTTCCTCAGTATGGCATTAAAATATGTCTTTCTTGCATGTATCCATTTATAGGAATATAAATGAATACATGGAAGAAAGCAAGTTTTTATATTGCTAAAAAATACTTAGAAAGACATGCATTCTTACTTTGAGCGAGCTCGCCTCTCCACTAGGGATGGGCATGATTAGTCGATTAATCGACAATTAATCATTAAGAATTTCATCGATTACGTAAATTTTAATCGACAAACCGAATGTAGGTTGCTGTGCGTAGCGTGACCAAACGGGTCCGTACAAGTAGCTCTCTGCACTCAGAAGGAGCGAGACACAAACAATCAGTCCGCCTGCAACGTACCGAAGTGCATATGCGTATTTAACGATGACTTGTACAAGAAATTCCACGCTTTCCGTTGCGTTCGGGAGAAGTGTGAGTCCATGTGCACAGTGAACAAAGCAGGAACACATGTTTCGGTGTCCAGTGGGAAAAAGCTTTACCAGGTGAGAGTTGCGCAATGTCGATGACGAGTCCCCACCTCCCAGCTCCCGTACGGTGCCCTGGTTTTGACAAACGCAAATATGGTCACACTAACCTGTATTCCACTGAGTCATGTCTTTTAATCCAACAGAAATTGACCGCATCAGGGCACAAGAGCTGTAGTTTTATCTTCGCTGAGTTTATGCAAATTAGCCATGCGGTTTCTGTGAGCTCAGCCCGAAGGAGCGACGTGGGGCCGTCCTCACGTGGGCCCACCACCCGCAGGAGGATCCATATGGGGCCGGTGCAGAGAGATCTGGGCAGCAGTCGACGGCGGGGGCCTCGGTGACCGGATCTCCGGACATGGAGACTAGCTCTGGGGACATGGAATGTCACCTCGCTGGGGGGTAAGGAGCCTGAGCTTGTGCGGGAGGTTGAGCGTTACCGACTAGATATAGTCGGCCTCACCTCCACGCACAGTTTGGGCTCTGGAACCCAACTCCTTGAGAGGGGCTGGACTCTCCATTTCTCTGGCGTTGGCCGCGGGGGAGCGGCGGCGGGCTGGTGTGGGCCTGCTCATTGCCCCACAGCTCAGTCGCTGTGTGTTGGAGTTCACCCCGGTGAACGAGAGGGTCGCGTCCCTGCGCCTTCGGGTCGGGGACAGGTCTCTCACTGTGGTGTCGGCCTACGGGCCGAACAGCAGTGCAGAGTACCCGGCCTTCTTGGAGTCCTTGGGAGGGGTACTAGACAGTGCACCGACCGGGGACTCCGTTGTTCTCCTGGGGGACTTCAACGCCCACGTGGGCAACGACAGTGACACTTGGAGAGGGGTGATTGGGAGGAACGGCCTCCCCGATCTGAACCCGAGTGGTGTTTTGTTATTGGACTTCTGTGCTAGTCACAGTTTGTCCATAACAAACACCATGTTCGAGCACAAGGGTGTCCATAAGTGCACGTGGCACCAGGACACCCTAGGCCGGAGGTCGATGATCGACTTTGTCGTCGTGTCATCTGATCTCCGGCCGCGTGTCTTGGACACTCGGGTGAAGAGAGGGGGCTGAGCTGTCAACTGATCACCACCTGGTCGTGAGTTGGGTTCGCTGGTGGAGGAGGAAGCCGGAAAGACCTGGCAGGCCCAAGCGTGTAGTGAGGGTCTGTTGGGAACGTCTGGCGGAGCCCTCTGTCAGAGGGACCTTCAACTCGCACCTCCGGGAGGACTTCTCCCGGATTCCGGGGGAGGCTGGAGATATGGAGTCCGAGTGGGCTTCATTCTCGGCCTCTATTGTCAATGCAGCTGCTCGGAGCTGTGGGCGTAAGGTCTGTGGTGCCTGTCGCGGCGGCAACCCCAGAACCCGGTGGTGGACACCGGAAGTAAGGGATGCTGTCAAGCTGAAGAAGGAGTCCTATCGGGCCTTGCTGGCTCGGGGGACTCCTGAGGCAGCTGACAGGTACCGGCGGGCCAAGCGTGCTGCAGCCCGTGTGGTCGCGGAGGCAAAAACTCGGAGCTGGGAGGAGTTCGGGGAGGCCATGGAGAAGGACTATCGGACGGCCTCAAAGAGATTCTGGCAAACCGTCCGGCGCCTCAGGAGGGGGAAGCAGTTCTTCACCAACACTGTTTACAGTGCGGGGGGAGAGCTGTTGACCTCGACTGGGGACGTTGTCCGGCGGTGGAAGGAATACTTTGAGGATCTCCTCAATCCCACCGTCACGTCCTCCGAGGAGGAGGCCGAGGCTGGGGACTCGGAGGCGGACTCATCCATCACCCTGGCCGAAGTCACTGAGGTGGTTGGCAAGCTCCTTGGTGGCAAGGCTCCGGGGTTGGATGAGATCCGTCCTGAGTACCTGAAGTCTCTGGATGTTGTGGGGCTGTCTTGGCTGACACGCCTCTTCAACATCGCGTGGCGGTCGGGGACAGTACCTCTGGACTGGCAAACCGGGGTGGTGGTCCCTCTGTATAAGAAGGGGGACCGGAGGGTGTGTTCCAACTATAGGGGGATCACACTTCTCAGCCTTCCCGGTAAGGTCTATGCCAGGGTACTGGAGAGGAGAATCCGGCCGATAGTCGAACCTCGGATTCAGGAGGAGCAGTGTGGTTTTCGTCCTGGCCGTGGAACACTGGACCAGCTCTACACTCTCCATAGGGTGCTCGAGGGTTCATGGGAGTTTGCCCAACCAGTCCACATGTGTTTTGTGGATCTGGAGAAGGCATTCGACCGTGTCCCTCGTGGTGTCCTGTGGGGGGTGCTCTGGGAGTATGGGGTCCGGGGCCCTTTGCTAAGGGCTGTCCGGTCCCTGTATGACCGGAGCAGGAGCTGTGTTCGCATTGCCGGCAGTAAGTCAGACCTGTTCCCGGTGCATGTTGGACTCCGCCAGGGCTGCCCTTTGTCACCGGTTCTGTTCATTGTATTTATGGACAGAATTTCTAGGCGCAGTCAGGGGCCGGAGGGGGTCCGGTTTGGGGACCACAGGATTTCATCTCTGCTGTTTGCGGACGATGTTGTCCTGTTGGCTTCATCGAACCAGGACCTGCAATGTGCACTGGGGCGGTTTGCAGCCGAGTGTGAAGCGGCTGGGATGAGGATCAGCTCTTCCAAGTCCGAGGCCATGGTTCTCGACCGGAAAAAGGTGGCTTGCCCTCTCCGGGTGGGTGGGGAGTCTTTGCCTCAAGTGGAGGAGTTCAAGTATCTCGGGGTCTTGTTCACGAGTGAGGGAAGGACGGAACGTGAGATTGACAGGCGGATCGGTGCAGCTTCGGCAGTGATGCGGTCGCTGTATCGGACCGTTGTGGTGAAGAGGGAGCTGAGTCGAAAGGCGAAGCTCTCGATTTACCGGTCAGTCTTCGTTCCTACTCTCACCTATGGTCATGAGCTCTGGGTAGTGACCGAAAGGACGAGATCGCGGATACAAGCGCTCGAAATGAGTTTCCTCCGCAGGGTGGCTGGGCGCTCCCTTAGAGATAGGGTGAGGAGCTCAGTCACACGGGAGGAGCTCGGAGTAGAGCCGCTGCTCCTCCACGTCGAGAGGAGCCAGTTGAGGTGGCTCGGGCATCTGTTCCGGATGCCTCCTGGGCGCCTCCCTCGGGAGGTGTTCCGGGCATGTCCCGCCGGGAGGAGGCCCCGGGGAAGACCCAGGACACGCTGGAGGGACTATGTCTCTCGGCTGGCCTGGGAACGCCTCGGGGTCCCCCTGGAGGAGCTGGAGGACGTGTCTGGGGTGAAGGAAGTCTGGGAGTCCCTGCTTAGGCTGCTCCCCCCGCGACCCGGCCCCGGATAAGCGGACGAAAATGGATGGATGGATGGATGGTTTCTGTGAGAGTTGCGCATAACTGAATTAAACACATTATAATGTCAAACGGATTGATGTGGCTCTAGAGTCGTTACGGTTTATATGTCGTAAAGTTGAATTTATTTATGCAGATTAGTAGTGCAGATAGTAATAATAATGATGATCATTTTAATAGAAAAACGTTAATGATTAATCGATAATCGATCGTTAATTCTTCCGACGATCGATTAAGAAAATTTCATCGAATGCCCATCCCTACTCTCCACCGATCTGACCAGCACTTTGTGCCGCCACAGCCCTATTTCTATAGGGATAGCTTATTGAAAATGCCGTAATGTGCAACTTACATTACTTTACAAAGATATGAGTCTGATCACCGGTGAATGTCCCTGACTTCAGTGAGGTGTGATTGACAGGTGGATTAGCCAATCAGGGTCCGTCCATGTTAATCTGACGTGAGGGAGATGTGATTTTGTTTGAATGAAGAATGACCAAGTAACTCTTTTGTTTCACATGTTTCACTGAAAAAAACAAAACAAATCTGATTGGACAAGGAATTCACTGATATTGAAAGTTTTGGTGGATGTCTGATATCGGCTTCTAAGATATCAGTTATGTTTATGTGTTAATGTGATAATATATGTCCATTTTACCATTTGTGAATATTTCCCAAACCCTACCGAGCCAGTCCTTTCGTGTTGGTAGGGTAGGATTAAATCATTTCCTAATTTATTACTGGAAATCAAAGCAATATTATCAGACCAATCACAGTCTCATTCCCCACACCCCACATCCCCTCTCAGTGCGTCTCTTCCTCTTCCTCTGGTGTTTCCGGTGAGCTCATAGTTTCACATGTGTTTCCTCTGGTAGCTGCCCGTCCAGGACGTGCTGAGGAGGGCTGTGGAGCTGGCTGAGGGGGGGTTTCCTGTGGCAGAGGTGACTGCGCATCACTGGGGTCTCTGGGTCTCGGAGCTTCAGAAGGCCGGGAGAGGCTTGGATCCAGACCTGCTCATCCAGGGAAGAGCACCAAAGTCTGGGCAAGTCTTCAGGAACCCAGCCCTCGCCCAAACTCTGAGGGTAATACATGAATTTAAAGGTGCACAATGTAGCTTTTTGGTTGGGGCTCTGTCACCTGCTTGTTTCTATGGAGATGTCATTGCTCTGCATGGAATGTTCCAGATTATGACATTAAACAGCTCTGCCTTACATTTATTCAATTACAGATGGTTTAATAGCTCTAAAATACCTAGAAAAACAGACATTCTGAGTGTGAGCGAGATTGCCTCACCACAGATGTGACCTGTAACTTGGTCTGCTTAGGTCTCCATGAAGATAGGAAGGTTTAATGCCATACTGTGAAACATTCTAGACAAAGCAATAACATCTCCACAGAGAAAAGCATTTGATGGACCCTCCACCGAGAAAGTTACCTATCATATTTATTTGTCTGTTAAAACTAGGGATGTCAAAAGTGCCATATTTTCGGACTATAAGTGGCACCAGCCAAAAAATGCGTAATTGAAGAAGAAATAAACAAATATAAGTTGCACCGGACTATAAGTCGCACTTTTTGGGGGAAATTTATTTTATAAACCATACCAGGGACAGACTTTTCATGCCGAAAGTCAAGTTCTAGTAAAAACAATAGAACAGAGAACAACAGGCTGTTAACATCACATATGAACAGTTCTTCAGAGAACTATAGCATAAACAACAGAACAGAACAAGTTTACCAAACTCTCCATCTCACTCCAAATTACTAAATCCATTCAATTCTTCATCCTCGGTGTCACTTTTGAGCAACTCCACGACCTCCGGAGGTAAACAGAGCGCTGCTTCCTCTTCTGTGTAGCTGTTGTCAGACTCAGCATCAGTTTCCAGTTACAATTATTCGGGCCTTTCTGAATCCCGACAGGATGGTTTCAGTGTCACTGAAGTCCAGGCTTTGTCCATCCATCCAGTGACTTCCAGGAAAGTTGCATGGTGCATCCTCCCAGTGTCACAAGATTCTCGCTCACTCCAAACTTTCTTTCTGCTGCTTGATTACCATTTTCAGCTGCAGATTTCACGACTTGCAGTTTGTAATCTGCAAAATATAATTTTCCTTTTGAGGGCATTTGTGCTTAGTTTTCTCAGTCGTCTTTATAAGTTTTGTTTAAATGTTCAATTGTCAGTTGTACAGAAGTAATGGTGCGATTGACTGACATGATGCAGACAGGACAGAGGCTCTTTCAGCAGGAGACATGCGCAGTAGAGTGAAGTGACAGTGGTACAGGAGGAACAGGAGCAGCAGATACTCACACAAGACTAGAGCCTCTTGGTGCTGTCACTGTGAAAATTTTAATATATAAAGTCGCACCGGAGTATAAGTCACAGGAAACACCCAAACCATGAAAAAAGTGCAACTTATAGTTCAAAAAATACACTACTGAAAATACTAATCGATACTAAAACTAGTGTAGAAACTAGATACTTATTTGAACCGGTATAGATACTGAAAAAGTCACATTCGCAAGACAGAAATGATCTGGAGCTGTATCAGAACAAGTATAAGAGCACATAGACAAGTATACACCCATGGACCATTATGGAACCTACCTGGACCACTGAGGGATTACACACACACAATAGAAAAGAAAGTACTATGATTTTATATTGAAAATCACATTCTAGTCAGCTAATCATTTTATTTAGATTAGAATAATTTATATGGAACAACAGCAGAAAGTTAGTGAATGAGTGAGTTAACTGAAGATTTGGTATTTTTGGTATTTACTTATTTGTGAAAGGCAGATTAAACTCATGATTCACACATTTAATCTGTCTTTATATGAATACATTGTTTCCTAGTACTTTTTTCGGCATAAATAGTAGTTTTTGCATGAACTCCCCAGTCCTGCTGCAGGTGTAGTCTTGTAACATCACCCTGGAGTTGTTGAATCTGAAAGCTCAAGAAAAAAAATAGAAAAAGGATTTAAACAACACATTTTCAGAAGCTTGCGATCAATACAAGTGTTCACGGTCGACTCGTCTATATGAGTTTCATTTTCAACAAAAAGGTGAGAGGGACTAACTGAAGATTAAATTGTTTGGAGAGCTTTTCCCACACCCCCTTTTTAGTCGAGCATGAGTAGGTATTCACTAAACTAGATATGTAACTCAACTAGTCCTGCTCTGTCAGGTATAGTTCAGTTCCATAGGTTTCCATTGTTGTTTTTCTTTCCTATCACCCCTCTTCCTTTCCTCTTTCCTGCTCCTCCCATCCTCCTCCTCTGTACATTTTCCTCTTCTGTTTTAGTTCATTGTCTTCACAGCTATAAGTCCTTCCCTTTCACAAATTTTCTTGTCATCCCTCCATCCTTCTCGCCATCCCTCTCGCCGTCCTTCTCAGATACCTTTGCTCCTCATGAGGCGTGGGTTTACACAGACCACCCTTCCTACTGCTACAAATAGAAAGCCTAGATTCATTGTCTCAAATAGGAGTGGTGCAAAGGAACAAGACATTCAAATATGTTAAAATAGTCACCCCACAGTCTATTGCTTCCTTCTCCTAATTCCTAGCATAACTCCGTCCACCAAAGCGAATTTAACATGGACTGAGCATTTAAGTAGTACTATTATGCAAAATGTATTTTTCAGGCCTTTTAACCATGTTATAGTTGTGTCCCCTTCTCCTTTATCCTCTGAAGTTGTATTTAGTATGATTCCTGCATGTTTGAGTAATCTTTATTCTCCTGTATTTAAGGCCACTGAGACGTACTTATTTTGTTGTCCAATTTTCTTTTTTTTATTGGTACATGTAGGTCTGTCAACAGAAATTTGGGGGCCCGGAGCAAGAAAGCTTACATGGGTCCTCCTTTAATACAAAGTAAGAGAAAGAGGGTCAATTTTTGGGCCCCTCAGACCCTGCGATACATGTAGAAATGAGGAATGTAATTTTGACACAAAAAAAAAACCCTAAAAATAAATCTGTTGCTTGATCTACAGCTACAGTATGTAAGAGGGGCCAACTGGGAGTAAGGGTGAAACTTCTGTCCAGCAAACAGAATTTTCTTTTGCTATTTATATTGTCCTAACTAAGCAAAGTTGAAGAGGAATGACCCCTTTCTTGTTTAAAGCTCTGAGTCACAGTGTGTCTCTTTATGTCTCCTCACATGTCCCTGTGTTTTCAGTTTTAATTTAAATCTTTCTCTCCTCTGGTGCCCCTGATTGTTATAATTCAAGTTATGGAAAGTAAACAAGAGAGTCTGCTACCTGCTTGTCTCCATGGAGATGCTATTTCTTTCCCAGGAATGTTCCATGGTATGACATATTAAACATATCCATCTGGCATTTATTCATTACGGCTGTTTTTGTTGCTCATTAATACAATAATTCCTTCTGTAAACAGAGGCGACTCTCCACAGATCTGAATTGTAATGTTGCGTTGTGCTGTAACCTGCCTCCTTCATGATAAATAGATTTAATCTATGCCATGGAACATTCTAGACAAAGCAATAACATTTTCATGGAGACAAGCAGGTGGCGGACCCTCCACTAGATATGTTACGCAGTGCACCTTTAAGTCCACCTGTCTGTTTTTAATAAGACAGAATACGATTGCATCAAAAATTTTCATTGATCAATATGGGGAAAATTTTCCAATATTGCCCAGCCCTAGTGTAAACTTGTTTTTCATAGTAATAAATCTCACTGTATTCTCATCAGACATCACAGGACCACTGTAGTCCTGTGTGTGTGCGCAGGGTGGAGTGTTTGCTTTCTCTCTGTCATATTTTAAGTATTTATTGATTGATGATTCCTTGAAGCTAGCTACTCATTTACCTTAATCATTACTCTGGTCCAGCATAATGATGATAAACTCTTTCATAACTTGGTCTATTTTTACTACTTGATAAAGGGACCTAACAAACCTATTTTAAGCCACAGATTGTAAGTATATATGGCCATGAGCTCAGAATGATTCATTTCTGGTTCATCTTTGGTGACTGTTCTGTGTGTCCCACTCAAAATCCGACTGCGCCAAGACAAAGTGCAGTACTGCACGTCATGAAGGAACCCCCACTGAGATTACACACTTTTTATGACATCATTCAAAATGATCATATGTTTTGGGTGTATATTGTAAAATACACTACTGTGAGCTTTGAACAATAGTTGAGAAATAGAATTATAGTCCATATATATGCATAAATCACCAAATAAAATGTTAACTGCTGTAGCTCGAGAGTTGAAGAGAAGAGGCATGACTCTGGAGTTTTAATGCAGATATTTATTGACCATCAGTACAGACCCAACACCTGGAGACATAGACAATAAAGGCGAGTGGAGACATAGACGACAATTACTGTATTAACTTATCATTCAGTATATGATATCTGGAACAATATATTTTGGAGTTTTATCATGTGCATGTTTGTGTTGCAGTAGTGGGCAGGTTTCTGTTCTTCTTTAGGCAATACGGTAAGATCTGAGTTGTAGAGGGTTGAAAAATTTACGTTCTAAAATAATTATGTGTTCATTCTGCTATTTATTTGTTGTAGCTCAAAGAGTTTACTGGGGTCTTGCTTTATTTTTTCTTGTGTCAGTGGCATAAAGTAGTTTCAGTGTTATGGATTACGGATTATGAATTCCTTATATTTCTCTTAAGCATTATGTTGTTCTTCAAAATCCCTTATTATGACAGACCTACCCATAGCACATTATGGTAGTACTGTTCATTCCAGTCTAGTGCAGTCCAGTTTGACTATGCTTCTGTTGTAGGGAGTATTATACCTCTGATGATGTAGGCCTCGAGCAGTCCAGGCTAGTCTGGCTATGCTTCAGTTGTAGGGAGTATTATACCTCTGATGACATAGGCCTAGTGCAGTCCAGTTTAATCTGGCTATACTTCTGTTGTAGGGAGTATTGTACCTCTGATGATGTAGGCCTAGTGCAGTCCAGTCTAGTCTGGCTATGCTTCTGTTGTAGGGAGTATTATACTTGTGATGATCTATGCCTAGTGCAGTCCATTCTGGCTATACTTCTGTTGTAGTTAGTATTATACCTCTGATGATGTAGGCCAATATAACAAGGGCTGAGCTGGCAGTGAGATCCCTCGGTACGGCAAAGTAATTGTATATTACCCATTCATATTGTGCCTGTTGTTTTGTAGGAGTTGGGGGAGGGCGGTAAACCTGCGTTCTATGAAGGCAGAGTGGCCAAAGCCATCGTGGACGTGATCAGAGAAAATGGAGGAGTCATGACTGAGGACGACCTGAAGCGCCACAGCAGTGAAGTCATCTGTCCAATCAGCATCCAGTACAAGGTCAGTGTGTAGTTACTATAGTGAAACAAGCACATACCGTAGTTTCCAGACTATAAGCCGCTACATTTTTCTCACACTTTGAACCCTGCAGCTTATACAATGATGTGGCTAATATATGGACGGGTTATTTGTTTATGAACACAGCGAATGCGTGCACACCCTGAGTGTAGAAAGCGCCACTGTCTGTGCAGGTAACATGAAGTTGCAACGCGAGCTAGTGATCTTGTCAGGACTAAAACAGCTGATGTTAAATGAACATTAGTGAGTGGAATATGTCTTAATGACCCGTATGTGTTAAATGCAGGTGAGTGCATAAGTGACAAGAAGAAACATCTCAAACTTCAGTAGCAGGACATCCACTCATTCCTGATCGATACACCTATCCCCGCCCCTGGGAGAGCCTGAAATCTGCTAAAATCCTACAAGACACTGACATGATACGAGATAGGACAGCAGCTCTTTCTGCAGGAGACATGCATGTCTGATAATCCCTCTGTAGATTCTTACGAGCTAAGGCCTCCAGGGGGGTGCACGAGCGAGACAAACAGGTGGAAGAGATGATGTGCTGAGGAAGATGCTCGTTTGATTGTGTTTTGAGCAGATATTTTATGCTTCATACACACACCCTCCTCATGGAAAACACACAAAAAAATGCAGAGGATGCAGTTTTTAAGTTCAAGGCGATTGATGTGACTGTGGAAGAAGGAAATCGAGCTGCTGCACGTGAGCTCGACATCAATGAGTCGATGGTGAGACATTGGCGACGGCAGCATAACGAACTGACTCATTGCAAAAAGATGACAAAAGCTTTTATAGGCGATAAAAACAGATGGCCCCAACTTGAAAACGTTCTTGAAGACATGGACACCTGTGGCTTATAGACAAGTATGGTCTATATATGTACAATTTTTTATTTATTTTTTTTTATATTCAGATGCGCTTAATAGTCTGGAAAATACGGTACATATTTGAATCATTTTATCTTAATTTGATCTCTTCTCCCAGGAATTCACACTAGTGTATAGGCATGGTCTCTTGGTGTTTTTTGTTTGCTTTTGATTTGACTTCATTTGAATTTAAAAGTGCACTTTGTAACTTTTTAGCTGCAGCTCCATCACCTGCTTGGATATGGATTTGTCATCACTTTGCCTGGAATGTTCTACAGTATGACATTAACAGCTCTTACTTTACTTTTATTATTTTACAGGTGGCTTTATAGCTCAAAATTACCTAGGAAAACCAACACTTACACAGGTTTAATGATATACTGTGAAACATTCCAGACAAAGTAATAACATCCAAGACAAGCAGGAGACGGACCCTCCACCAGAAAAGTTGCGCAATGCAACTTATACTGTATTTGGACCTCTTCATCATAATCATCTATTGGTGGTTTTCTGTTTCTAGAATTTGATGATGAGGGGCAAGAGTCACATTTTCCTTTTGATTACATTGTACTTCGCCATGAAATACCCAAAAAAGTAAATTCACAATGTGCTGATGTAATTTCCATTAGTGACGTGGCTTAAAAACTCACTGTATTATAACAAAATCTGAACTATAAAACTATTTTAGCTATTAAATAACACTGATCTATAGAATGTTGTGATGTCGTTTGAAACCCAGCAGTAGACCCTGAAGTGGCTTAATATTTAATTAAGCCACTTCAGAGTCCAAGGTATATCAGCTGATTGAAAATATTAGATACATTACAATTTTTTCAATAACACATCTTGCGATAAAAATCTGTCTAGTCATTCATAGGGTGAGCAGATTTTCAGAATTCAAAACTGGGACACACTGGGGTTAGGATAGTTGGTATAAATAAAATTGAGAAAAGAGCGTGAAACATTGTCCTTTTTCAACATATTTTGTGGGTCAATTGTAACTTTTTTTTGTTTCTTATAGTAATTTTTAAGCTCAATTTTCAGTATTTTAGCTACACAAATGAATATTTTCTCCTCTTTACTGTTGGTGGGTGTCAAAGTGGTCAAAATAGAGACAACGGGCACATTTCTTGTATAAAACCGGGACAAATAACTGGTTGTTGATAAATCTGCTGGGACAGAGGACACAGGGTTCAAAACTGGGACTGTTGAGAATAAATAGGAACATCTTGTCACCCCAGTCCTAACACTTCACTAACAAGGTTTAAATGTGACAGAAAGTGAGGTAACAACAAGGCTAAGTTAGTGATAGTGGTGACTGGCATGTTGATAATCCAATGTAGTATGTAATTACAAAATTATTTTCATGTCAGGTGCATAATGTGGTTAAACATACATTTTTGAAAATAATTGTCTCAAAAAGCAACGCAGCACTGTGAAAAGTCTCGACAAACAAAGAAATCAGCTGTTAAGTGACACCACTAATTAACAAGCCTGTAGTCTCCTGTGTCAGTGGTAAACACGGTGAAATGTACTTCATGTGGACATGTGTACTGTGTGTCCAGGGCGTGACTCTGTGGGAGCCTCCTCCGAACGGGCAGGGCCTGTCCGCTCTGCTGCTGCTCAACATCCTGGACAACTTCCCCCTCAAAGGTTTGACAAAGGGCAAAGGGCAACATTTGTTTTTAATCTCTAATAATAATCATGCATTGACTTTATATATGATACACTTAAAGGTCCTATAATCCAAAAATTCACTTACCGTATTTTTCGGACTAAAAGGCGCACCAGATTATACGGCGCAATATCAATAATGGTGAATTCTCTCATCTATTTTCATGCATAAGGAGCACCGGATTATAAGACGCATTAAGTGAAACAAAAGAGTCAGATAAATCAAACTTTATTCAACTCATTCACAATAACTCTCAGCATTGTTCAGTTGTAACACGCAAAATACAAAACAATACGCTCACTTTTTCAGTTTATTCCTCTTCCGCAAATCCATCAAATTCTCCATCTTCAATGTCTGAGTTTAACAGTTGGCCGATTTCAGCATCAAGCCTGGATCCCTCTCAGTCCGAGTCAGTCTTGTCATTGTTACTTCTCTGTTCATTGATGATTCCGGCCTTCATGAAAGCTTGGACGACACTTGAGACTGATCCTTAGCCCAGGCGTCCACCATCCATTGGCAGATCGCGGCATAACTTGCCTGACGTTGCCTCCCTGTCTTGGTGAATGTGTATTACTCCTCAAATCTCTTGACTATGGTAGCTGTATCCATCAACCGGTGCAGCTTCATAGTTTACCAAAGTCGTACTAAAACATTTTGACAAATTTTTGAACGCTGTGTGCCACATAAAATCTGTTCGACGTCAGTAAGCACAACCAGAATTAATACATAAAGTGCACTGGATTATAAAGCGCACTGTCGTTTTTTGAGAAAATGAAAGGATATTAAGTGCACCTTATACTCTCTTGTATCAGGTTATTCATCTTGTTTTCAGATTTATTATCTACTTACTAGTTCTGATACTGCTTCATTCCACTCTAGAAGTACCGGTAGTTTATTTTCAGATAACATGTCAAGTAAAACGATCTTGCTGCATGGACAGATAATTTCACTACTTTTAAGTCATTTTCTGATAAATTTAAATGTTTATATCTTACATTTTGGCCAAGCTTTTCTGCAGTGTGGAGTTGTGTCACACATGTTTCAGTAACCCTTGTTTATTAGTCTGTCTAAATCCCCAAAGCTCAATATTTTCTGTTCCACTTTGTGATGTCATGAAGTGGTAATTTTCAAGTTAAAAGCTACCTTTTATCTTTTGTTCTGTAGTGATTGAACTCATCCGAATAATTCTAGTGAAGATGTATGAAGATGTGTGAGTTTAAAACCCAGTGGAGCATTCCCTGTATGTTGTACATGACATCACAAGGTGGAACAGAGTGTTTTTAGTTTGAGAGAAGAACTTAGTCTAAATGTGCAGGGTTTGTGTTTTAAACATGTGTGAAAGAAACAAAACACAACTCCAGGTTTGTTTGTGATGACGAATCAACATTATAGCATAGATCAAAAACAGCGCAAAATAAATATCTTCGTAAATTAGTATGGATTTTTATAATTTCTTGGCATTGAATATGTCTCATTATTATTTCTCAGCTGTCATTATGGTCTTTACCGGTTATAAAACTAATCTCTATTCCTGCTAACTCTAATGTTTACAGTTAAGGGCCATAACAGCGCAGACTACATCCACATTTTCACTGAGGCGGTGCGATTGGCCCAAACAGACGTGCTGTGTTACCTAGGCGACCCCGGTCATGTGACTGTCCCCGTCGACGCCCTATTGGACAAGAGCTACGGCCGCTTAAGAGCCCAGAGCATCAGCATGGACAGGTGAGTCGCGGTGCCAGGGAGGACCAGGCACCTTTTGTTTGCTTTAGATACCACTCCACACTGCAGCGTCACCCATGGCAAAGTTAACTCACTATAAACAAAACTCATGTTAATGCCCCACTTTGGAACATTTCAGCTATTATGTGTGGTTTTAGATACCATTCCACGCTGTCACTTCACACATGGTAACAAAAAATTCCCCCTCATTTGAAAGATGACACAACACAAATTTATTTTATTTTTAATCTGGTCTTTTTAAAGCCTTGCTGCATAACTTTTGAGCTAAAAATCTGATTAAAGTAATGTTTTAGTTTGGATGTTTTCATTTTTTTGAAATCATAGAAAAAACACATGACCTAATTGTGAGCAGGCTTGCATCTCCACAAACCTGACTCTTATTAGGCCTGGAAAAGGGCCTCTACCTGCTTATCTCCATGGAAATTGATTACACAATATGGCATAATTTACCTGTCTCCATGTAGAATGTGCTAAAGTATGGTTATTATGTGGTTATTTAGTTGTTAATGTTTGGTTCTTAAATTCATTATCTAATAAGAAAGCAGATTGAGCTGCTCACTTGTCAGATGTTTGGATTAAATCCAGTTGGTTTAAACCTCGACTCTCTGCAGCCAATTATGAGTCAGTGCTAGTGCAGTCTCTGCAGCTCATGGAGGGAATTCTGGAGGTTCTGAGCTTTCACAGGAGCGATGGCCTGTCCGTATACTGGGAACTCATCATACATGTCGTCTGTTCATTGGTTTAGCCTCTTGTTTATAGGCGCCTTTTTTGTCAAGGTTTATTTATTCACAAAGATATTCTAACAATGTTACACAACAGGTCTTCATAATTTTTAAGTTTTTCTCCCTAGAACCCCACACTCAACTTGTAAAAATGAGCCAGACAGGTATTAGAAATAGGCATTGATGAAATAAAACAATAAATAATGACAAAAGAAAATAAACCTAGTAGAAAAATTTATACAAATAAATTATATAAATAAAGTAAGTGCTAAAAAAAATTATAAATTAAATTTATGTAGTTGCAGTTGCTTCTATGGTTTGGAAATGAGCCAAAAATTGATTCCAGATTGTATAAAATGTTTTAACTGAGTCTTTTGTTGTGTACTTGATTTTCTCCAACTGAGTGTAGTACAAGGCGTCCCTGACCCAGAGCCCATATGCAGGCGGTTGTGGTTCCTCCCAGTTCAGTAGAATCCTCCTACGAGCCATTTTGAGGTCCTTTTCACCAGTCACGATATTGTATTTGATTTGTTAATTGCTATGACAACAGTGCTTAATGTTTTCTTCACTCTGACCCCACAAATATGAAGGTTAAAGCGCTGGCAACTCAACCCAAGTTCAGTTGTGATTGTAGTTCCCTTTTAAACCAGTAAGAGCACAGATTCCATACCATGTTTAATTTCACTACATCAGACTTCTATAGTGCTTTTTGGACTCTTTACAAACAGAAAACAGTGTAAAACATGATGGAAATGAGGGCAATGCCTGTTTGAACAGGTGATTTCAAGTTTTATAAGGAGTTTGTGACACGATATTAGCTCCAAAACACACAGTGCGTCTCTGTGGTGATGTTTTTCCATAATAGGCGTCTGGATGTGTCATGTGTTTATCCTCAGAGATACAGGGACAGGGACATGTGTGTGTTTATGTGCGTGTGTGTGTGCGTTTGCGTATGTGTATGTGCGTGTGATGGACTTTGGACCACAGCTCTTTATCTGCTCTTAAACAAACACAAACACAGCACAGACCTATAAAACTCACAATAATCCTCTGTTCACACACATTAGACTCACCACAGTTTAATACGAACTTTATAAGCTTGTTTTACTTTATGTGGACTTTATAAACTCGTAAAATTAAAAATCAGCATCTCTTTCCAGGCCTATTTAGATTTTAAATTGTGATATAGAGGAACAGATTTCAACTGTGCATTAAGCAAGATTATCAGATTAAAACTATTGTAAACATTATTTTTTTCTTATTGTTTAGTGTCTTTTATGAAATATCCTTATGCCCTAAATGACAGTTGTGATTGTACAGGTATTACAATCGCGACTCAACCTATGTTCCCAGTGCCTTAAAAGTCCTATATCACGTAAAACTGACTGTTGTCAGCTTTAAGACATGTTATAATGTTGTTACCTCCTCAAAAACACACCTGGAGTTGTGTTTTGTTTCTTTCACACATGTCTGAGTAACCATGAATTTAGTCTGTCTACTTCTCCAAACCTCAAAATGCTCTGTTCCATCTTGTGATGTCATGAAGTGGTACTTTTCAAGTTAACAGTTAACTTTTACCTTATGCTCAGTAGAGATAAGGACTTCCAGGCCTGAAGTGATGTAAATGATTCTAGTGAAGGTGCATGGAGTTTAAAAGACAGTGGAGCACTTCCTGTATCACCACATGACATCAGATGGAACAGAGTGTTTTCCAATTGGGAAAAGAGCACAGCCTGAGCAGGATATGTGTGTTAAACATGTATGAATGAAATAAAACACAACTCTGGGTATGTTTGCAATAAGGAAACATGACAACATAGGTCATGAGCTCTTTAGCCTGGAGATAGAGGACACATACATGTTTTTCTCATTCTTCAAACTTTATATGTGTCAAATAAGACATAATTGTATAAATATGTACAAAAAAAAAAAAAAAAGATTCTGGAGTGAATTCTGGAGGGATACGGACACACCATTCCTCATGTGAAAGGCGTGGCCTGTCCATATACCTCCAAAATTCACTCCAGAATTCACTCACCTCATGAGTGAACCTCCAGAATTCCCGCCCTGAGCTGCAGAGGCTGCACTAGCACTGACTCATGATTGGCTGCAGGGGCTGGGGTTGAAGGCATGGCCAGAGAGAGGCATTTTAGCTGAATTTACAGTGTGGATTTTATAGGAAATAAAAGAGAGTGGAGCAGGAAATGACAGATGAGGTTTACAGCTTCAGTTACCTGGAGACCACAATAGTTTGACCTTATGTCATATCACATAACATTTCCATGGAGACAAGCACATGATGGACCCCTGACAGAAAAGTTACACAATGCCTTTTAAAGTTTACTAAAGTTGAATTTTTGTTAGTGTTTTTGCTTCTATTATTACAAATGTGCACTGGAATATCCTCGTTGTAAATATTTAAAGGAACTGCATCTGGTTTTTACAGTCTTAAGACACAGAAAGCAGAACTAATTAATTGTAAGCTTCCTAATTTCCTAATCCAGGTCTGAAATCATCCAAATGATTTTAGTGAAAGTGTTATGGAGTTTAAAAACACAATGGAGCACTTTCTGTATTATCACATGACATCACAAGGTGGAACTCAGCCTAAATCAGGAGGGTTTGTGCATTAAACATGTGTGAAAGAAACAAAACACAACTCCTGATCTGTTTGTGATGAGGAAACTACATCAGAACATAGATCAGAAAATGGCGTAATATGAGCCCTTTAACACATTTTCATTTTATTATTTTTTTTTATTTGTCTGTTTTCAGGGTGATGGATGATGTCAAACCCGGGCTGGAGACAGGAAGTGACACGGTGTATTTCTGCGTGATTGACAGCGAGGGGAACGCCTGCTCCTTTGTCAACAGTAACTACATGGGTTTCGGCTCTGGTCCTCGTCCCAAAAGACTGTGGATTCACTCTGCAGGTCTGAAAATGTGAAAGCTCGTTATGTTATTATTATTGTCTTATTACATCAGCACTCAGAGTCTAATCAGGGAAACCAAACAAAGCTACGGGACGCTGTGTGTGCTCAGCTGTAGGTCAACTGTACAACTGGAGTCAAAAGGCCAGGGACGTCATTACAGCTTCAGAGCTCATTTTTCAGTGTGTGGAAAGAGTTAGGTTTACATTTGTGGTTATGATTTGCTAAAAATGTATTCAAATGTAGGTTGTATATGAAACAATTACAGATTTTGAGCTGAGTCAATTCTATATATTTGTTTATAGCCTTTTTTTGATTTGACACGTAGTTAACGGCATGAAGGACAGCATGGGGAAGAGACCGCGGGGAGAGACATTCATTCATTTTCCTATCTTGTGTTTTAAACAGTAACTCAGGGTAATTTATGTTGTGTGTTTGTAAAAGTGTAAGAGAGAGGGGAGAGACCAACGACCCACGATTTTAAGACATGCTGCAAGATAAAATGGTAAATGGTCATAGTTTTATATACCGTATTTTTCAAACTATAAGACTTAAAATCCTTTAATTTTCTCAAAAAATTTGCTATAATCCAGTGCACCTTATGTATTAATTCTGGTTGTGCTTACTGACCTCGAACCAATTTTATGTGGTACATGGTGCTCAAAAATCTGTCAAAATGTTTTATTACAACTTTGGTAAACTCTTGATGGATTGTCGGAGCATTACGGCTACCATGGTCAAAAGCCTCTCGGTGTAAAGCTCAATTTACAGTCTGTAGTCTGACAGAAACTGACCGCATCAGGGCAAAAGGAGCGAACTGTTTTTTCAGTGCTAACAGTTTATGCAAATGAGCCATGTGGTTTTAAGTTTCATTTCTGTAAAACATAAACAAAAGTGCGCAAAGCTGCATTAAACACATTATTACTTAATGTATATTTGAGTCTTCCTCGCGAGAAATAAAAAAAAATAACTTAAATTATTTGCCCACATTCACATTCATAATCCACATTCACCAAGACAGGGAAGCAATGCCATGGAGAGTTACACCACGATCTTCCAATGGATCGTGGACGCCTGGGTTAAGGATCAGTCTCAAGAGTTGTCTGTTTATTTTGCTTAATGTGCTTTATAATCCGGTGCAATTTATGTCTGAAAATACACCAGTGAATTCAACATTATTGATATTGCATTTTATAATTCGGTGCACCTTAGTCTGAAAAGTATGGTAGTGCTTTTCCACCTTTTTAAGGTTCAAAGTGCTTTACATCAAGAAACCACTCACTCATTCACACATTCACACCAGTGTACGCAGACACTGGGGTGAGTTCGGTTAAATGTCTTGGCCAAAGACATAAAAGTATTCATTTGTGGGAGCTGGAATCGCACCATTAAGCTGTTGGTCAGTGGATCTGAATGCTCTACAAATGATGTTAACGTCAAGAGTGGGATTTCAACCTCCAACCTTTGGATCAGTGAACAAACACCAACAGCTACTGGTGCCCTGAAACACTCCTAAAAACTGCAAATATGTTTTAGATTGAAAACTCAGATCACATGGACTTGAGACAAATGTTAGATTTTATGTTTAAAAAATGTTCATAATTTCCAAAGAAACATAAACAGTGAGGTGGTGTGCACATCTTTTCAGACTCCATGTTTTACTTTGTTTTCTCAGAATCGCGGTGCAAACTTCTCCCTGCTCCGAGGCCATCCAAACTGTATCTCTGAAGGAAAACGCCCGTACCACACCATCCTCTGTGCTCTGCTTACTCACTCAGACACTCAGGAGCTGCTCGCGGCGCTGGGGGTCATGGGAGCCTTCATGCAGCCTCAGGGACACGTGCAGGTACAAACTACTGGACCACACACTGTAAGCAATTGCTGTAAATTTACGGCCAATTTCCAACTGTAATATACTGTATTACTGTAAACAGTTTTATACTGTAATTTGCAATGCATTGTGGGCTGCTGAACGTGAAGCAACAGCACACATGCCTTCAACAGTATGTTAATGTAATAAATCCGAGTAAATCACAGTAAACTACATTATTTTTGAAATCTGGTGCGTGCTAAACTTGCGAGGGAAAGTTTTACTGCCAGTGCATCGGAGACATGCGTTGCAAGACGACCTGCTTCCTCTGCATCGGATTGTGCATCTACAAATAAAACGGTAAGTAAAAACTGTCTTTGCCAAGAGAATACAAGTAAAATCATGTTTGAAATCGAACTGTTGCTCAACAAGTTATCTAGTGAGTGAGTGTGTTATTGTAATTTATTTTTTGCATTTGATTTTGCTATGGTCAATTTAATATACTGCTCTTCCTTCGAACGAGTGACAAAAGCAGCTCAGTTAATGCTACACAGTCACGTTAGCATAACCAGGAGGGAAAGAGGTGCATGAATTAAAGCTAGAACATATTTACATCTAGCAGAGTGTATTAAGAGGTTATAATGAGTAAACTACAGTTGGTGGATGAGGAAATAGTGAAATGACAGAGAACAGAGATGCTGTGGTGAGTTTATTTTACTTTCTGTCGAGTCTGAATGAAATTTGTTAAACACTGAATTGAGGCAAGTTAGCTAACGTTAATCCTTGTTTGGTAAAACAACTTTTACATGAGGCGTAACGATTTTTGTAACAATTAGACTGTTGAAAATGGGTTTGCTTTCCTGAAATTTTGAATTTAATTTATCTAAATTGTCTGTCTGTTGCAATATGTTATTTGGTCTCCTGCGTGCCACAGACACACACACACACAGACAGGAATAAATTGGCTGATGAAAAGTGGTCTCATGGAAAAAAAAATTATAATAATAATTCCAGTGGCAGAGCGTGCATTTCACACCTAGGCCTTCAGTAGTGCTCTGTCTGAAACAATCCTCAATAACTATTTTATGGTTACCTAGCTTACAAAAGGATGTAATGTTATTGTACATCCCTTATTTTTGATTATTGTGTTTGTTGCTGTTTAGAGTGGCAACGCTGGAATAAAGACAGGAAGAGGAACAACAACTAGCCTGGTGACACTCATTTCTCCATGACTGAGATGATTCCTCTTTGATTCACTGTCCACACCTACTCATACGAATGCACTTACTTTTAAGAGGTAAAACACAAGCCTTACGGGACTCTTTGGTGGTAAAGCACAAGCCTAACTCACAGAACTTGTTTAAACACAAACTTCACCATACTATTTTAAAAGTTTAAAACATGAGTCTATGTCACAGAACTCCTTTAAGAAGTAAAAGTACCTCACAGACCTATTTTAAGAGTTAAAACTATGGAGTAAGAAAGCTTTTAGAAATATTTGTGTGCATAGAATCTGTGCATATTTGGGAAATCTGTGCATATTTGTCTGTGGTTGAGCATAAAATAAATATTCGTAAAATCTCGAATGCGTCCAGTCGTACATAAAATATATTGTGTGTATTTTATCCATCAGAATACGAACTGAAAAGTTATGACATCAAGAATTACAATCACAAAATGAAAATTTACAATTACGCTTTCTTCAGTACGAATATGAATTCACAGACCCGACTCAACTGTCAAAAATACAACATCACTTCACAAGCAGAAGAAACGTCAATCGAGATGCATGGTTACATGGTTTAAACATGTTTTAGTCCTGGTTCAGTCCTGGTTCAGTCCTGGTTTAGTCCTTGTTTAGTCCTTGTTTAGTCCTTGTTTAGTCCTGGTTTAGTCCTGGTTTAGTCCTGGTTTAGTCCTGGTTTAGACCTGGTTCAGTCCGTATGCGGCCCAAAAGTCCGGCATCTCGATTGATGTTTCTTCTGCTTGTGAAATGATGTTGTATTTTTGACAGTTGAGTTGTGTCTGTGAATTTGTATTCGTACTGAAGAAAGTGTAATCGTAAATTTTCATTTCGTGATTGTAAGTCTTGATGTTGTAACTTTTCAATTTGTATTCTGATGGATAAAATGCACACAATACATTCTATGTATGACTGGACTCATTTGAGACTTTACAAATATTTATTTTATGCTCAACTACAGACAAATATGCACGGATTTCTATCCTATGCACAAGAATATTTCTAAACCAGGACTGATCCCAGGACTGAACCAGAAGGACTAGATAGTTTTTTCCCCCAAATGTTGCCATTGACTGAAATTCTTACTGAGGTATAGTTCTATAGACAGCAGATAATACATTCCAGTAAATCTATATGCTGTAGATATAATTGCTTTTTGATAGAACATATACATGTACCTCACAGGACTAGTAAAAACTGCTTACCTACAGTTTCTTCCCAAATGTTGCAATTGATGCCTATTTTCGACAAGTTCTTACTGATGTGTAATTTTCACAATTGTCTTAATATACATTTTCAAAATCTTGGAAAAGTGTGTTTTACAAATGTTGTTATTGATACATACTTTTAGATGTTCTTAGTGATGCATATTTGTAAACAGCAGAGAATACACTGGAGTAAATTTATACTTAAACTGCCTTTTGAGAGCTTATAAGCATTCCTTAATTCTTTCTAGGTTAAACACTCATTTCCTTTGTATTAGTCGCCTCAGTGTTTGGCCCAATTGGTTGATCTAAGGTAAAGTTCAATATGATATTTGTTAAACAATAGTATGGAAACAACTTTTTTTGTGCTTTCATGTTTGGGAAGGTCTCTGACATGCAAATCTGAGAATTTTTTGTTAATTGCCATTGCATCCTGCAGACACTATTTGGCTATTTTTATTTTGCTACTCAGAATCTCTTTGGCTTATCATGTAACTTTAAAAAAAAAAAATATTATTATTATTATTATTATTATTATTATTATTATTATTATTATTATTATTATTTTTATATATTATTGTATTTTACAGTAACAGTATTCATATTGACAATGCCTGTTTCAATAAATATTTGTGTGATTTATATCCTTTGTAAATTGTTTATTGGTTATTATGCATAGGTTTAAGCCATAGTCCACAGAACAATTTTAATTTTGATTGCAGTGAATTTTGAGATTTTAGATATTCTAAAGTGCTGAGTCACTGTATTATGCCTGGCTACAGTAAACATTTAGTAACCCAAGGATGCTGTAAATTAAAATAATCACTGAAATACTGCATTTTATTTTTACTGTAATAGGTTATGATCTGTGAATTGGTCAACAGTATGGAAACTACAAAATTACAGTATATTGGAGGATCTCTGCTGCCAGTTGTTAATTGTAAATAAATAAAAAAAAAAGCACACATATATACTGTATTTCACCAAAACAATAATAAGCTGTAAAGTCAAATTACTGTAAAATAACAGTAAAGTGCTGGCGTCTCTGCTGCCAGAACTTTACTGTATATTTAAAAAAATACAGAAATATACTGTAATTCACTATTACAGCAATATGCCGTGAGGTGAATTCACAGTACAAATACTGTAAAATAACAGTAATGTGCAGGCGTCTCTGCTGCCAGCTCTTTACTGGTATTTTACAGAGAAATTCTTTACAGTGCAGTGTTAGAAAAGGAACTCAAACACACAATCATTAAAGTGCATAGTATAACAGGGTATACTAATAATTACTACAATACTATTTTTTACATTTTTATTTTATCTAGGAAGTTTAGAATTTTACTTAAAACATCAAAACCACATTTGTGCAGCAAAGAGGAAGAGGATAGCCCTGCACATTTGGGTAGTATAAAGAGGGAAATTGAGGGCACGACAGCACCCACTGCCCTTGTGAGGCGTAGGTGTAGGCGTGGGCTGATCATTGCCTCTTGCTGCCATATTATTTGTTGTTTCATTAATGTTTTTGTCATGTTTTCTTTTCCAGGTTTTGTTAAACATGGTGGAGTTTGAGATGAATCCACAGCAGGCTTTAGATGCTCCTCGGGTCTACGTTCACTACGACCAGAAAGGTACAACTCCTTTTCGCAACAAAATCACACAGTTACAACAAGAGATAGGAGTTTTTATGAGACGTATTCTGCCATAAAGCCCGTTTATTACACTCTGATTAATGATTACTTGATAAATTTACACCACATCCTCATCACACCTTTGCCTCTCATTAAACAGCCATTCTCAAGTTCCTCTGACTAACAAGAAATATACTTCGTTTACTAGTAGAGATGGGACAAGATCTCGTGCCACAAGATCTGCCACGAGATCAAATTGCATCACGATTGGGCACACTGGAGGAAAAGTATTTCGTGAAATTTTTTCCCTGTGTATTTTAGCATTTGGTTTGGACCAAAAAAGACTGAAATGTTGGTAAATTATTGAAGAAGCCATAGTTCCAAAAAACAGTGCTAGAATGACAGTGAATATAAAAATTGTAAGTGCCAAAAGTGTAAACTGAACTACACAATTTAGTTATTATAATTTGGTCAAAATCTCGTTTTGTCCCGATCTTGTGGATACAATCTCGTCTTTGTGGGAATTCTATCTTGCCCCATCCATTTTTACTAGTATTTTATGCAATTTAATGACATGAGAACAGTACAGTTGGTGAAAACATGAGTTGATCTGCAATATTGTGTCTTGAAAATAAGTGATTAAAAATTGCGCAAACATTCACAAATCACTCCAAATACAACTCTTGAGAGGGTAAATGGTGAGACTAGAACATGGTTAGAAGCTCTGAAAAGTCAATTTTGCATAATAAGTCTGCTTTAATACTATTTGCGATACTTTGTGTAGTATTTCTTGGCATCAGATTGAAACTAAAATCACATTTGCCTATTTCCCATCACTAGAACACAGCACGCAAATATGTAAAAGTTTTTGTTTTTGTTGGTCCTGCGCAGATGGACAGTGGATGGTGAATTTGGAAGAAGGTGTTGATTCAGAAGTAGCAGAGGAGCTGAGGAGGCGAGGCCACACTGTTAACTACCCAGTCACAGGTGAGTGTATCTGACTGTACTTCTGAAAAACAGTCTGCAGTGTTTATTATTTATACAAAAGACTAAAATTCTCCCCCAGAGTCTAAAAAAAAACTTGGACTACATATTGGTATAACAAAATTTGACTTTTCTGCTCATTGTATCATCATAAACTTACTGTATAGAAGTGAATACATTATGTTCTGATCTTTGTTTCCTCATCATATACATACCTGGAGTTTTGTTTTGTTTTGTTCCTGCATATTTAAGGCCGCCACACACTACAGGAAAATTTGACCAATTTTGGCTGCAATTTCTTCTCCCCGAGTTCGAGGAGGCGTGACCCAACTTTTAGTTTTTTATGTGCGATTTTGAAGTCGCTGTGCTCCTCATGTCTCTGGTGTCAGTGTGACTCTGAGCTGCTCTGTCAGATCATAACCACCAAACATGAGCAACGTTACGGTAACAGCCAATAAAACAGAGCATCAGGGACAGAGGAGTGATGGACACAGAGGACGCAAGATACAAACTCAGGAAATAGTGAAAATAATGAGAAAACTTTATTCCTCACCTCTTGTAAAGTTTTAAAGTTAAAGTGCATCTCATCCATATTGTCCACAGAATTTGTCCTCCACAACTGCACCCAGTCCACAAAACATCGCTATTATTCCAGTTTGAGTCATTCTTTAAAAGTAAAAAGACGAGAGTAGTTCCTCACATGTGTCTGTTTACATCCACACAGCGCATTGATCAAGGTGAAGCTGCAGATTAGCGGTAGTGACTCTACTTCCTGTGGACTTTATCTCCAACTTTCTGTGCGTTAAAAATCATGTATGTGAGCACTTTTCACAAATAATAATAACACAGTTTTGACTTGTATCTAAACTAGATCTGCAGAGCTCTGATCTTTGAACACTTAAGAGTCTCAAAGCGACTGGTTTTACTGTAGACAGGAAACAGCTGACACAATCATGCTCACAACTTTATATCTTGTGGTCTGCAGACAGATCCCACTGCAGTCTTTCTGATTGGAGATTGTAAATCTCATAAGATTCTCCTCATGTGTGGACAGTGTTGGGGAGTAACAGATTACATGTACCGGAGTTACGTAATCTGAGTACAAATTATGAGTAACTGTATTCAGCAGTTACTGTTTCAGTGATTGCCAATTGGATTACAGTTACTTTGTTGAAATAAATGGATTACATGGCAGTATTTTCCTATTTTTGCATTTTGGGCTATATCTTTTTTTTTTTTTTTGATAATTCCACTCATTGCCAAAAACTGAACTAGAGTTTAACCAGGTCTAAACCAGGACTAAACTAGATCTAAACCAGGTCTAAAACCAGGTCTAAAACCAGGACTAAAACAGGATTTAACAGGATTTAACAGGACTAAATCATGCTGTGTGGACCGTGTCTCCTCGTCTTCTATCAATAATATTTTTGGTTAAGTAAAATCTGGGTTTTTATTTTCTTTTAGCAGATAAAACATCTTATGTTACGATATCCTTGTCTTCGCTTCTCTACAGCAAATCAAGTAATCCAAAGTACTCAGATTACGTTACTCACCTTAACTTAATGGATTCCGTTACAAACTACATTTTGAGGTATGTAATCTGTAATCTGTAGGGGAATACATTTTAAAAGTAACCTTCCCAACACCATGTGTGGAGTCCGCTTTTTGTCACACTTTTACAAATTGTTTAAAACAGGAAACATCCTGTAGGGTGGGGCGACCTTTAGGATGAGTTCTTCTCACATGAAGTGGAAGTTCCAGTCGCTACTGAACAAAAGGTAAAAGGAACTGTTAACTTGAAAACTACCACTTCATTACATCACAAGGTGGAACAGAGCATTTTGAGGTTTGGAGATGTAGGCAGACTAATACTAAAGTGTTACTTAAACATGTGTGAATGAAACAAAACATGACTCCAGGTCTGTTTTTGAGGAGGTAACAACATTATAACATGGCTTAAAGTTTGCAAGAGTCAGTTTTTGTGTGATATTGGACCTTTAAAATTACATTTAAGCAATTAATAACATTTATGATCTACAAATTACATCGGATTAAATTATTTGTGCCACCATCGTCTCAGTAAAATGGGAAACACTGGTCTGGTTCAGTTTGCAAAATATTCTATGAACAAAAATAACAGTTTATGTTATTAGGTTCTTGTTTTCATACCTGACAGTTTGGACTACTCACTAGCGGTTTTCCTTAGAGTGGTCACGTGGTGTTGCTGTGATGTGTCCGCTCTGCTGATTTGAAAAAATGGAAAAAGAGCACAGGCATAGTAACATTGCCGTACATCAGGGGCATAACAGAAAAAGTGCAGAGGGCAATGAGAAAACACAATATGAACACACCAGTGAAACCGTACAGAAAACTCAGGCAATTACTTGTTCACCAAGAGCTAAAATAGAACCAGAGCATAAATGTAATGTCATAAACTAAATACCCTGAAAGTCCTGCAATAAAACATACATCGGGGAAACGAGGAGGGCATTCAGTCCATGAAAATAGGAACATAGGACAGAATGCAAGAAGGAAACAGCGAAGGCAAAACACAAGCAGCAAAACACAAAGCAGAACAGGAACAACTCAAATCTTCCATTTGTGACACTGTAAAAGAGAGAAGCACATTCTGGACTGGGACGGAGCAAACGTCACTGGGACAGAGGAAAACACACATTGTCACTGGATTAAAGAAGCAATTGAAATATGGAAACTTGCCCAAGGGACTATAAACTGGGACGAGGGGGCTTTTTTACTCTCACACACCTGGGATACTGTCCTGAGGAAGTGAAACTGCCTCCACCGCTAGGAAGACAGAGCCAAAACATACTACAGGTCTCCAGGAAGAACAGTTGATAGTTAAGGTCAGTTAAACACATACAATCAATGAACCTGCCCAGGGACTACAGGTGGAAATTAGCACTGGTGCTACAACCTGGTACAATGCATCTGTCCTGTTAAGGTTAATGTAAAAATTGTGCGCGGTCCCTGTCTGAAATAAATAAACAAATAAATAAAATAAATAAATAAGACGGCGCCAAAACCTGTTTAAATCAACTGAATGGACACGTCACAGTAACATCACGTGACTCTGAGGAAGAGTGCAGGGAGCAGTCCAAACTATCAGGTATGAAAACAAACTCTTGGTCTGGAAAAAGAACCTAATAACATAAATTATCGGAAGATGAAAATGACAGTTGAATAAAGTTGATACAGAGCTCACCTACTGAGATTGCTTCCCTATTTCAGCTCAAGTATTTTTTTTTTTCTTTTACTCTCAGGTCATAAGAGGGCTCAGTTTGGGCGGGGCCAGATCATCACTGTGGGCGACTGGTGGGACTCAACTGTCAGTCAAACAGATCGGCCAATCCAGAGAGTGCTGTGGGCGGGATCAGACCCCAGAGCAGACGGATGTGCTCAGGGATATTAGACACAGAGACGACAATGAGCGTTTTTACAGATACAAAGAGATGAGCATTTTAACAGATGTAACACAGAGGAGTGCCTTTTTATCATAGATGTTGTTAAAGATATTTTCTAAAGAATTCAATTTGTTTGGAATATAAGGTACAAGTTTTAATATGACATGTTTATTTTCTATATTACTCGCTCAAAGCCGCTGTTTCCGTCCTCTCCCTACCTCAACAACAATGATCAATGCTATAGAATAATGTTTACATGATTAGAATAATGTTTAATTATTATTACAAATTCCTGTTAAATAATACCTTTTTAAACGTGCCTTTTAGCATATGTGGTTGCTATGTTTGCTTTAAAACTGTATGTAAGGTTTTGAGTTTAAATTTCATAAACCTACCCATGATATGAGGTAAACATGGTCACGTAATTTATTCTTAATTTCAAAAATCCTTATGTATTTTATGTTATAATTTGGTGTTTTGTTTCTCAATATGATTTTCCAGAGAGCAGAATGAGCCTGAAGTTTTAAAGCTGAAATCTATTTAGTGTAACTTAAAACCTAAAAGGAATCCTCAGTCCTCATTCTGTGTTCTAATGTTGTTTCCTCATCACAAACAGACCTGGAGTTGTTTCATTCACACATTTTAAACACATAAATCCTGCAAATTCTCTCAAACAGAAAACCCTGTCCCGCCTTGTGATGTCATGTGGTAATACAGGAAAAGCTCCATTGTCTCCATTGTCATTGTTATTCCACACACTTCACTAGAATCACTTGGATCATTTCGTCCTCCCTGGAATCGCCAAACTCTACTGAACTAAAAGTTAAATGTAGATGCTAACTTGAAGACTACCACTTCATGACATCACAAGGACCAGAGCATTTTGAGCTTTGGAGACAAGGCAAGGCAAGGCAAGTTTATTAGTATAGCACAATTTGTACACAAAGTAATTCAAAGTGCTTTACAGAATAAGAAATAAATTAAAATCACAATACAAACAAATTAAAACATAAACAAGCACAATCAGAGATAACAACCTGGTCCCCATGAGGCATCGGTGGGTCAGTTCATCACCACAGAAGCAGTTTATGAGGAGTCCAGCCCATATTACATGATCATTATATCTGCAATAGAATGTGTGTATCTGTACAGGCCCATGAACATTTGTGTGATATTGGTCACACATGAGAATGTCTGTGAAAATATCATTTTTCATGAGTTGTGTATATATTAGTTGTGTGACTGTAGATCAGTGTGTTGTGTATCACCAGAAAAACAAGAAATGGAAATTATTTTTGTTCCATTTAGAATTTTAACAGCTACACTGAAAGAGAAAGGAACTGTTAGGAAGTGATTATCTCAAAAACTATTAATATTTTACTATACAAATGCATAGAATTATAAATAGATAATTTTTCTGAGATTTTGAGACACTCCCGTTGCTCGAGCTCCATCCTTTGTGGAGTTATGACCAAAATGTATATTTAACCTTGGTTACCTTGACCTTCAAGTGACCTTGACCAGTTTCAATCTGTAATATCCAGTGTATCCCGGTTATGTGTGTGCCAACTTGTGTGATGATTGGGTGAATATTTTAGCCCGCAGGTTCAGAAATCGCCGAAATTGCCAATCCTTTATAATGGTGTGACATTTCAATTGACCCGTGTGACCTCAAATGACCTCGGATCATCACCAAACTTTTTTTGCGGCATCGGGCATGGGGGCTTGACCAACGTACCAAATTTGGTGACAATCGGTCCATAAATGGCGGAATTATCGTGGGTGGACACACACAGACACACACAGACACACAGGGTGAATACAAAACCTGGTCAACCCTTCGGGGACCAGGTAAAAATGATCATAAAATTAAAAAGAGAAAGAAACATTTAATGAGAGACAAGAGTAAAGAATAAAAACCTTTAAGTCATACGCAACTAAACAGTCATACGCTGAACTGTTTGAGCCTGGATTTAAACAGAGTTAAAGTAGAGGACTGTCTCACATGTTCAGACTGTTCCAGGTTTTAGCTGCATGAAACTTAAACTCTGACTCCAGTGTTTAGTCCTGACTCTGGGCACCAGCAGGAGGCTGGTCCCTGAGCTCCTCAGATTGCAGATGGAGACACAAACAGACTAATAATAAAGGATTACTCAAATGTGTGAATGAAACAAAACCCAACTCCTGGTATGTTTTTATTGTGGAGGTAACAACATTATAACATGACTTAAATCTTACAAGGGGAATTGCCAAACTCCAGCATCTGCAGCCAGTCATGAGTCAGTGCTAGTGCAGCCTCTGCAGCTCAGGGAGGGATTTATGGAGGGTCTGAGGTTCTTACAGAAGAGCCCTTTCCATATACTGAGAAACACTCATGTATGTGTCCTCTCTATGTAACTGTAAGTTCAGTCTGACAGTGTATTACCTTTTTTAAACTGTGAGAGTGCAGGCTACATTAGGGTGACCAGACATCCCTGTTTACCCGGGACAGTCTCAGTGTGGAGCCCTGTCTGAGCAAATTTATCCAAAACTAGTGATTTGTCCGAGTTTTATACAAGAAATGTCCCAGGTGTCCCTATTTTTAACCAATTTAATCCTTGCCTACAGTAAAAAGAAGCATACATTGTCATATGTTTTGATAAAATACAGAAAAGCTGCTTAAAAATCACCAAAACACACACAAAAAAAACTGACTCAAATGGTAGTCATGAATGGGCCAAGTGCAGAACAGTTCTCCTTAATTACACACTCATTTTACAGTTGTATTATTTGGAGAAAAATCCCACACACCGTCTTACTTGCAAATTGTGAGATTTATAGGGTGACACCCTATTTAAGATGGCCACCTGAGCCCTCGTTCTGTTTGACTGACGAAGGCCTAGTGTCAGAACGTTGCACGGTTTGTCCTAATAAATCTCACAATTTGCAAGTAAGACAGTGTGTGGGATTTTTCTCCATGTTCTTGGGCTGCTCCCTCTCCTCCGACGCACCCATCTCAAGTAATTGATGTGCGAAGTTCTCATTCTTCTATACAGTTTTGTTATTACCAACCACCACAAACCAGGGATGTCCCAGTTTGTTATTTTGAAAATCTGGTCACCCTAGACTATATACACTTTCTCAAATGGCTAAAAAACAAGTTGTTATCCTGTGTAGTTGATCTGTTTACATTTGTTTATAACTGCAGGAGTGTTCTCTGTCCACAGAAACGCTCTCAGAAAGTTGAATTATTTAAAAAATGTCTTTCTAATCAATTGTGCAAGAACAGAAGCATGTTTTAAATCAGCTTTAAATGCAGTTGATCTCCTTAAGTCCTGGTACCGAGCCCTGGGACCATAAAAGACACTGTGTTCACTGTGGCCTGTTCTGTAATCTGTGTTAATCTGTCACACTGCAGACAGGCCGTTGCTCGGTGGTCACTTCCAGATAACAGATCAGTTTATCAGGATGTGGTACGTTCTCGGTGGTTCAAAACGTGACATATTGTGCTTTATTTTACTCCAACCCTGTGCAGTGCTATAACAAGTTTAAAGTCGAGAAAAGCAATATAAAGAATACCTAGGTCACTGTATGTGCCCCCTGCTGGCAATAGTGGTGAATGCAGTAGAGCGAATTTGAGGATGTCCACTAGCAAATTGTGGCAGAAATAATCAAAACAGGTCTGGTGAAGGTGTTTTAAAATGTTAAACATGTCCTGATTTACACTTGAGTCCTAGTAAAAAAGTAGGTTATTGCTTAAACTAAAATCCAAAACTCTTAGAAACAGAAACGATTTTGGTCACAAATTCTCCAAGATTTCCGACTAAAGACTTTCATAACTCTGCTTGTTAAATTGACCACCACTTTTGTGTCACTCACTAGTATGTTTAAAAGTGTTGTTTGAAATTTTAAAGCTACACTATGTAACCTTTATGGTGGAGAGTCTGTAACCTGCTTGTTTTTAGAGATATGTTTTCAATTTATTTAATTATTACAGTAACAGAAAATAACTAAATGCAAGTTAGACATGTTTAATTTATATTATTAAGTTATTTTTTCAGACCAAGAGTTTGTTTTCATACCTGACAGTTTGTTTTGCTCTCTGCGCTCTTCCTCAGAGTCACGTGATGTTGTTGTGGCATGTCGCCTCAGCTGATTCAAACAGGTTTTGGCGCTGTCTTCCTACCGGTGGAGGCAGGATGACAGCGCCATCTGCAGTCCCACTTCCTCAGGACAATATCCTAGGTGTGTGAGAGTAAAAAAGCCCCCTCGTCCCGGTTTATAGTTCCTTGGGCACGTTTCTGTATTTCAGTTGCCTCTTTAAAGGGAGAGTCCAGAATTTTGGATATAGTGTTGGAGACGTGTGGAGACACTTTTTGAAATATTCCATCCAGTTGTTGTATTTGCAGAGGTCACTGGTGCTAGGCTAGTGCATGTCAATGTTCATAGTTATCCAGCCACTAAAAACAGTCTTACCCACTCCACAAAACACCCAAAGAAAATCTATTATTACACCAGACTATCCATGAAAATGTCTGTGTTGATAAAGTAATGTTTGTCGCATGTTGAGGGACTGTTTTCTCAGCAGCAGTGGAATTTTACTTTGCCGGTAAGATATGTGCTAGGTGATATTAGAGGTGAGATCGGGCCTAAAAAATCCAGCCCGACCCGGCCCGCGGGTATTAAAACCCGGCCCGAGCCCGACCAATTAACTTGATTTGCAGGCCCGAGCCCGAAGCAAACCCGAAATGTCATATTTTATTTGTGAGGACTCGGGAGGAGGAGCAGTGCTCAGCGTCGAGGTGCCAGTCTTTTTGCTCTCGTATGAAAGCAAAGCGCCACATTGACGACATTCAGCGAAGCCACCGCAAGTTTCTGTAGCATTTTCAACAATCAATTTGAAGCTTTTCCGCACCTCACTCTTACCGGTGCGTGTTTGTCTTTTCAGTTCTCCTGCCTTTAGTTTAACTTCTTGCTCCTCCATATTGGGGATACCAGGTCAAAATAGATGCAGACTTGCGGAGGGGAAGATTATTAAATTAAGAGGGGGCGTTCACGTGCGCAGAGCTCTGGCTCTGCGGATCCTGTTTAGTAGTTAAATAGCAATTACATTACATTACTTCTCTGTTTTATCCATATTATTTATAAAAAGTATTCCTTAGTTTAGTATCCACACATCATTTTAGCATACATTTTATAAACATATATTTATTTGAAGCCCGAGCCCGACCCGACCCGAAGTAATGATTGACATTTTAGGCCCGACCCGACCCGAATTTCGGGTCGGGTCGGGCTTGGGCTCGGTCTTAAGATCTTACCTCTAGGTGATATCAGTCAGCCGCTGCCAAACTTTCTATCAGGAAGTACAATTTACTGCTGCTGCTCAGACATAAATCCTTCAAATGCAAAGTTGGTTTTACTTTTAAAATTATTCTATCGACACAGACATTCACATGGACAGTGTTTTTTAATAATAGATTTGTTTCGGGTGTTTTGTGGAGTGGGTAAGACTGTTTTTAGTGGCAGTATAACTATGACCATTGACATGCACTAGCACCAGTGACCTCTGTAAATACAAGGACTGAATGGAATATTTCAAAAAGTGTCTCCATACGTCTCCAGCACTCTGACTCATTAGGAAATGAGGTCATATGTCCAAAATTCCAGACTGTCCCTTTAATCCAGCGCCAATGCTTGTTTCCCTCTGTCCCAGTGATGTATGCTCCGTCCCAGTCCAGAATGTGCTTCTCTCTTTTATACTGGTCACAAATGGCCGATTTGAGTTGTTCCTGTTCTGCTTTGGACTATAAAACTGGGACAAGAGGGCTTTTTTACTCTCACACACCTGGGATACTGTCCTGAAGAAGTGGGAATGCAAATGGCACTGTTGTCCTGCCTCCACCGGCAGGAAGACAGCACCAAAACCTGTTTAAATCAGTTGAGCAGACACGTCACAGCAACATCACGTGATCACTAGGGGTGTTCAAAAATACTGTTAATTAATGTGATAATACAGTATCGATATCATGGGCTGTTTTAATCAATATAGCACCAAGAGTACTTATTGGTATATTTTACTAAAATATTTTGTTACAGCTACAGTTTTGTTGCTTGTTCAAAGGAAAGAAACTCTTTTTTTGCAACACAGTTGACATTTTCACTGTTTCGATGATTAAACATAATTTAACAAAGACTTTTAGTGTCACAGCCATGATTCAGTCTTTATTTTTATTGAACCATATCAAATCGATTTGACATATATTGTATTGAATTGTACTGAATCGAAACCTCACTGTATCAAGATATGTATCGTATCATGGCCCATGTATCGAGGTATGTATTGTATCGGCAACTTCTTAATGATACCCAGCTCTAGTGACCACTCTAAGGAAGACCATGAGTGAGCAGTCGAAACTGTCAGGGATGAAAACAAACTCTTGGTCGCAAAAAATAACCTAATAACATAAATTATCGAAAGACCAAATTAACCTCATTGGACTAGTCACGTTTAATGCCATACTGTGGAACATTCAAGGCAGTAAGACAAGCAGCTGGTGAACCTTCTATCAGGAAAGTTACATAGTGCCTGCTTAATTTTTTTTGAACATTTTTTGTGACTTTGTCCCAGTGCAGACGTGTTAACACATGTTTTCATCATCTTCCATAGTTAGTCCACACTTGGCTTCCTTCACACTCATAAACTGTGTGGATTTGTTAAACAGACGACTGGCTCAGCATCAGCAACAACTTTAGCTCTAAATGTAAGAAACACGCTTTGGAAAACTGCAAGACACATCTCCAAACTGAACTAATTTGGTAAGTTTTCCCAAATCCTCCTTAAAGAGCTCATATTACACTATTTTCTGATCTATGTTCTAATGTTTCTTCGTCACAAACAAACCTGGAGTTGTGTTTTGTTTCATTCACACATGTTTAACGCACAAACCCTGCAGTTTCAGTAGGGATGTAACTATTCAAATCTCTTGATACAGTATTTTCACAATATACATCCCATGGTTCGATATTTATTGTGATATTTTATAGACGCAAAGAAAATTGTGAAAAGGCAACTTTTTCCTTTTAAAATGTCTCGTCAAGACTTTTGTTCTGTCATAAACCAAACAATTAAGATTAAAACGTGCTTAAAAATGATGATTCTGATTATTATTTGCATTACTTTTCATGTAGTCTGCACTGTAACGGAGCAAAGAATCATGGTATATGCAGTTCACTCCATTTTTTTTTTTTTTTTAGCTATTACTGCACCAAAACTAAGAATTTAAGCAAAGAGACTTGTAATTCGCCCACGGTATTTCTGTGAGACTTTTGACGATACAAGAACACGATATTTCAGTTATTGTTACATTTCTAACCCTATAAAGCCTGACACATGAAATAATAGATAGAAAATTCTGATTCTTTGATATTTAACTCTTTATTGGACCTTTGAACAAAATGTAAAAAAATATATATTGATAAATTTGACCTTTTTATAAAAAAAAAATGTATCATATTTGATACGTTGGGCCTTCGTGGCCATTTTATAGAACCCAACCATGTTTATTTTAGGACCAAACAAAATTGTCTCTGATGCATTTAAAACTCAGAGAAACTTTTCTGAACATTTCCTTTTATGTTTTTAAATGTCTGAACAGGATGCTTTTAATTTTGCCGTGTGGTAGACGAGAAAGCAGTTTGGGTCCTTGTTCAAGCACAGATGTACTTTACATTTTCCCGCCATACACACTATTATAAATATATGTGAAAACTAAATGAGTGAATCTTCTATTTCCTCTGAATCAGTCAAATATAGATTATTAGTTATTTTTTGTGTGAAATTTGAAGAGACAGGACAGTTACACCAAATAGACCATTGCACGATTCATTTATATATGTGGCAGACAGCAGGGGGCGCACTTAATTTTTTTTTTTTTAAGACTTACCTGACACCACCTTCCTGTGCCTGCGGAGGTCGGATTTAAGTAGCCCACGCGGCAATGGTTCAGTCCCGACTTCTGCTGGATGGTGTCAAGTAAGGTTTTAAAACAGGTCTCCTTTTTAATTATTTTAGCTCTTTTTAAAATTGGTTTTCATGTTTTTTTTAAATCTTATTTATCTTATCTTCCCGAGTAGTTACATTCTGAAGATCTGTCCTTATTTTACATACTTACCTGTGGCTTTAGTCACTTTATGATTTGTATTTACTTATTTATCTATTTTATTGCAATCAAAGGGTACCTAAGGTCACATATAGTCATGTAAAGATCAAATCTCCACCATCATGCAATAATAATAATAATAATAATAATAATAATAATTGAAAACATATTTTTTAAGGCAACGTCTTGTCTTGTCTTGTGTGGTGTTAAATTTGCATTGAATTGCATGAAGTATGAAGATTGCATTATAAAGTGCAATATAATGATGAATGAGGAACATAATCAAAAATACCTGCTGTATCAAATTTGATACATACAATTTTAACATGATTTTTCTAAAAAATTATGTAAAAATATGAAGACTTCATAGATCTAAGAAAGTAAATGTTCATATTGCAGAATCACTCACAATATCTAGGCAATTCTTACTCTATTCTTTTTACAGATGTGTTCCTCCAAAAACAGAAAGTCACGCTCATTTTGAGGTTTGGAGATGTAGACAGACTAATAATAAAGGACTCAAACATGTGTGAACGAAATAAAACACAAACCCAAGTATGTTTCAGAGGAGATAAGAACATTCCAACATGGCTTAACACTCACAAGAGTCAAATGTGCGTCATGTAAGACTTTTAAGATCACCACAAGCTTTAATATGTCAAGGAAATAATGTCACAGCGATAATTTTGTTTCTTGTTTTGTAGGAAGCGTGAGGATAAGAGGCTATGGGAACTAACTCCTCCAGGCTAGATCTCTCAGACCTCTTCACCCATTGGTCCAGTCGTTCTCGTGCATTTCCTGTCTGTAGACTAAAGGGGGCCTTGCCTTACACTCCCTTACACTCCCTCACAAACCCTCTCATTCTCTGGCTTCCTCTCTCCCAGCTGCTGCTTGGACCCTGCTCTTCCCCGGGACGTTGTTGGACTTGTAGCCCCCCCCCAAAGATGTGCTGTTCGGTGGGATTCGCGCGGTCTCTCGGCATGGCCCTGGTCCCTCTGGCTTTGTGTTCCATAGTGGCCAATTTGCTCCTGTTGTTTCCAATGGGGACGATCAGCTACATGGAAGAAAACAAAATATCCCAGTATATTTGGTACTTCGGAGGGTTAGGAGGCGGAGGAGTGCTGGTGAGTGATAAGACTTTACTTCAAGTTTCTATGTTTTCTGATAATTCAACCATTTAGTGCAGTGAATTAAAGCTGCAGTGTGTAATTTTTCTAGTGGAGGCTCTGTTAAACACTTTTCTCCATGGAGATGTTATTGCTTTCTCTGAGATTCTTCACAATATATCATGAATTAAACCTTTCTTTCTTTGTCGAGACCAAACCAGACCAAGTTACAAGTCAGATCTGTAGAGAGGCGACGTGGCTCACACTCAGAATGTAGTTTTTCTGGGTATTTTTGACCTAAAAAAACCACCTGTAATTAATAAATAAAGTAATTAATAAAGTAGAGCTGTTTAATTAATGTCATACTGTGGAACATTCCAAGCAGAACAATGACATCTCCATAGAAACAAGCAGGTGACGGACCCCTCAAACATACATTTGTGGATTTGGAAAACATCACTAGATGTAAAATTAAATCTTAAAAGAGCATTCTTGAAATAGAGTTAGTGACTTCCTGGCAAATTAATATGGTTTCCTTAAGACTGTAAGTCTTAATGTCATAATGAAATGTCTTGCCCATTGACACAACAACAACAACGGTATCCAAATCTCACGATACGATATTATCACGATATTTTGGATGTAGACAGGATACTTTTTGCTTTTAAAATACCTGGACAAGACTTGCAAATCATTACCATCATAATCCCACGAATTCAAGTAAAAAACATATTTCTTCATGTTGTCTACGCTGAAATGAATCATGGGATATGTAGTTCCCGATGGTTTTAGCTGTTGCTACTATAAAATAATGCATTTAACTAAAAGAAACTTCTAATTCGATATATATTGTGACAGCTTTTGATATAATTATGAGAGTTTTAGCAATACGATATCACAATATTTTGGTTATTGTTACATCCCTAATAATTTATGAGTTGTAGATGGGGTCAGAAGAAAGAATCTAACATCATATTGATTAAATTGTCTTCTCAAGTTGTTGTGTGGTCGTTAAAAGTTCTATATTACGCAAAATGGTCTCTTGTGAGCTTTAAGTCATGTTATAATGTCATTATCTCATCAAAAACAGACCTGGAGTTGTGTTTTGTTTTATTTATACATGTTTGAGTAACTCTTTATTACTGGGCTACGTTTATATGACGACGGTCTGAACAGAAGACGCAGAAGTGGTGTCATGTCTTCACTTTTTATTCCGCGTTTAGACAAGCGTTTTCAGGAGGAAATCTACGTGCATACAGTGATGTAAAAGTGTGTGGAATTGGATTGTGTATGCATGAGAGGCGGCTCAGTGGTGACGTTAGGTGGTGATGTATGTGACGTAAACTTGTACGCGACGTGAGCAGATCTGACTAGAGTTTTCCATTTTTCCGGAGCGTATTCAACTTTTACACTTTGGAGGGTGGTTTCAGATTTTTGCATTTTTAAGCCCCAAAAACACCGTCACCGTCTAAACGAAAGGCACTTCCCATAAAACATTTCATCATTTTACTCGCAATCGTTCTCGTGTAAACAGGCCCACAGTCTGAAATTGTCCAAATGATTCTAGTGAAGGTGTATGAAGTTTAAAAACACATTATTACCACATGATGGAACAGGGTGTTTTCTGTTTGAGAGAAAAACTTAAAACACAAATCCATTTTGTGATGAGGAAACATTATATCATAGATCAGAAAATTTTGAAATATGGGCCTTTTGATTAACTCTTTGGATTCTGAAAGACTAAAAATATGATTTCAATATCTGATGAGTTAAATGCCTGGTTACAATTCAGATTTTTACTGCTTTCAATGCTAAGAGTCCTTCCTAAACACGTATAGTTACCTGTTATCTACATTCAAATTAAATTCAAATTTCAATACAGACCATTGTTCTGAAATGTCCCAAAAAGGTCTAATTAATTAAACAGCAGCAAATATGTGAACTGTGCATGTTTCTCTTTGCCACTTTAAAAAGAAAGGGAGGAAATGACAGAACAATGGTTTTCAAAAGGAAGTCCTGCTCCTCCAGAGAGATGACATAAAGACTGGCTGGGGTCCAAATTAGATGAGTACACACCTAAGGACTCTACAGCGGTGGAACGTAATGAAGTACAAAAGTAAAGGTACACTAGTTAAGTAAAATTTTTAGGTGTATTTAGGTGTATTTGTACTTTCTTCTACTTTTAAGAGCTTGGACTGAAAAGTAAGAAGTACTTTTTATGGTTTAAGACCAGCTGAAATGGCTGAGACTTTATTTTTTTAACACATTTAATTTGAGTTTCTGTTCCAACTTTGAGCAAACAAAACACACAAACACAAAAACACAAAAACGGATAGAAAAAATAAGAAATCAATTGAACCACTTAAAATCAGCTAAAATCTTTGTCAAAATCATTACATTTCATCTTTCATCACCTAATTTGTCTGAACTGCTGAACATTCCACCATAGAGACGCATGTAGGACACCGGCGCGATGTCACTGCAAAATATCAGTTGTGGTGTCTTTATGAGACAAAACTTTGTAAACACTGATATCAGCTCCGGCTCTCCACGGGGCCGGGTACTGTTTTCTTCTGAGATATGACGAGCAGTGAAAATGTGGTCAGGACGTGATAAAAACCTGTCTCTGAGTCCATTGTCACCTCGTCCATCGCGCTGTCATAACACATTTTGAAGTGCCATATATTGCTGAAGTAAATATAGATGATAAACAATAATACTGAAAGCAAACCATAAAACATAAAGACTTTGTAACTATAATAAGTCATAATCCAACCTTCTACAGCTCAAATCTCATCATAGTTCAGAAAAATAACAGAAGCATTTCCCATTAGTATAAAGAAAAAGTACCCATCAAAATGATTGTTCCATCTATCATGTTGAACAATAGATGCATCAAGAACGTCAGACTTCCGGTCATTGTGCAATCCATACTGGGAAAGATTTTCTGAAAAAGTGAGCATCAAACCACCATGTTTGTTTTCCCAGTGGGATGAGTTAATTGACAAAGCCGATCTTTTCAAGTCTTTTGAACCATATCACTTTTGTTTCTGGTTCTGATATTGTCATATTTTAGTTTTGGGATTCGGACATCGTTAATTGTGTGTTTTTTTCGGAAAATCCTTCCCAGTATGAATTGCGCGATGACCGGAAATCCGACATTCTTGATGCATCTATAGGTGGATATAGTGTGTTATATGATAGAGCACTGTGGGTCTGCTGAGTGAGGAGGTGACCATCTCTCCAGGAGCTGCACGTCCAGGACTTGGGACGACCAAATTTTATTGATCCACAAGGAAAATCATTTGGACACAATAGATAAAATAACATGAGCCTTTATTGTCTCCAAATGAAGAAATCTTGGACATCAAGGACACAATGAAGATAGATAACATCAAACTAAATTTCATTCAAAATACAAAACTCCAAACATTGAACTGACTGAGAGCTGCACAGTCCACAGGAAAAGGCGTTACGCAGATTCACACCCTCACCGCACACAAAGAAGGGCCCTGCTTGATAATTACAGAAGTATTTGTTAAGCCTCTATACATGCCTTCAGTGGTGGATGAAGTACTTAATGGTGTTACTTAAGTAAAAATACAGATACAAAGGTAAAAAGTTACGCAAGTAAAAGTTAAAGTATCACATGAAAAAATTTTCTTAAGTAAAAGTATTAAAGTACCAGTTTAAAAATTGATTTTAAGAGAAAAAAGTAAACATATTTTGCAAAGTTTTTGAAAAAGAATATAGAATATATATTTAAGTGATTCAATCGATTTGTTAATTTTTCTAGATGCTTTTGTGTGTTTTATTTTACTCAAAGTTGAGATGGAAACTCATTAAATTTTCTAAAAAAAATAAAGTCTCAGCCTTTTCAGCAGGTCTCAGACCATAAAGGAGAGTATTTCTTACTTTACTTTTTACTTTTTATTTTCAGTCTGATCTAAAATGTAGTGGAGTAGGAAGTGATGATACGCACTCTCAAATGTTGTAAAGTAAAAGTAAAGAGTATCCATTGTGAAATGTACTTACAGATACATACAAATTTTACTTAAGCATTGTACTTTTACTTTTGTACTTACCTCCCCCCACTGTATAGTACTGACATGTGTACTCATCTAATTTGGACACCAGACAGTCTTTAAGTAGCCATACTGGCACCACCTAATGTCTCTGCTCTATTTCATTTCTCTCCAGCGATTAGGTCAGGAATCAGAATACACTAGAGGGTTTGCAAGAACCCCGGAACGTGTAGATCGCACACTAGCCAATCAACTGTGAGATGTGAAGCCATGACGTCAAACTCGTCGCTTCTGTCTGGGTCCCTTTTGTGGAACAGCACAGCAGTAAACAAAGCGTCGAGATGGATGCAGACGAAAACAGACATTCTGTGTTGATTCCCGAGATCGAGGATTTAAAGCCGGAACAAAGAGAATGTTTGATGAATTTTATCAAGGGGAAAGACGTTATTGTCCTACTTCCTACAGGATTTGGTGCATTACATACATCACGACCAAATAACAGCGACTGGTTAAATAAAAAAAAAGTACCCGCCTGCCATCGAGCAAACGGTCAGACGGTTTCCATAAAGTGAAACCGGCTGATGAATCAGGCTGGTCTTTATCTATGCTACTATACTATTTGAGGAGGTCCAGCTAGAGACAGTCTCCTCAAGCAGAAGTCCGGGGACATCATAATGTCTAACTTGCATTATGATTGTCATACAGAAGTAGCCTTTTTCTATCCGTGTCTGAAAGTATGAACAATAAACTGCCAAATCAACAAAAACACAAAACATTGGTTGCATCATTTGGGTGTCTGAGTAAGTATCCACTGTAAAATGTACTTACGTAATATACAGATACATAAAATGTGCACTTTAGTATTGTACTTAGCACCCCCTGTAGTTTAGCTCCAGCTCTGTCTCTCAGCCTCCTGTTTTATGTTGCAGTTTCAGGCATGGTTGGCTCTTTAAAGAAATAATATTTTGTTTTTAATTGTGAATTGCCATGGTA